TAGATAGATAGATAGATAGATAGATAGATAGATAGATAGATAGATAGTCAAGCTTTTAGTCCCGTCTCTTTTCATTTCCGATTTCAAACACTGTACTGTATATAAAAGTATATATTTGATTGATGGGAAGCGTATCCAATTAAAATTTCATGTTGGTATTCGGGGGGGTCACGCTTTTACCAATCGTGTTGAAGTTGCTCAACATTCTGACCTATCACACTTTAGGGGTGGGCTCTAATTCAAGAAGCGCGAACGGTCAATGACAAACAAAAAAATGGCGAATTTGGGATTTAGTTATGCAAGTAACGTTGTATGGACTATTTAAACATTCGATATCTAAAAAAGTTTGGTCTTGTTTTCTCTATCAAGTAAGTGTTACGGTATTTAACATAGTAATGATTGTCGAAATGTCGCTAACGTCCATTCGTAACCCATGTAACTTGAGTATTCACTTTAAGGCAGGTTGTATTTAGCATGAAGTTAGCCAATGTGAACTGCTATCAATGTAAGTCCCGTAAGCAGAGAGCTGCTGAAAAAAGACTTCGTTTGCATTTGACAAAGACATATCTGTTTTCATGGCATAGTGTTGAACGAAGGGCTTGAGAGCCATTCGTTGTGAATTTTGCAGTTATTGAAATGACTTTAAACAACTTGGTTTTCGTCATTGATATCGATTATGAAGATGACAAACCCGGGGATCGACTGGATATCAGGAATAAATTAATACAACGTGGAATGTTACACATCCTGTTACAGTTTGGATACAAGTATGGTTTTGAGAAAGTTCGATGGGGCTATAAGTTCTTTCAGTCCAAGGGTGGTCGCAATGGCAGCATCATATCCAAAGTATCAGATTTCAAAGAACTACGGTACAAAACATACGAGGACTTCGAGCAAGAGTTTGAAGCAAGATTCGATGTGAAGGATAAGGTTTTCGCCTCTCAGCGGAAGCAACAATCCAACAAGTGTGTTTCAGTGCACACCGTTCTTAAAGAAACCCTGTTGGACTTCCAGTGGGACAGACCAGACATCACCTCTCCAACTAAACTCACCCTGAGGCCCAGGAAGTCAGGTCGAGGTGGAAAGCTCAGCCTGTCACATGAAGATGACGCTTCAAACAGTGGGAGAAATGTTGTTTTTGTTGTCTCACAGTGTCCCCTGTCAAAGACACAACTTGTGGACTACTTATCTTTGAAAAATCATGACCTGCCCAAAGATGTGACTGAGTATATTATTTCTAAAAGCCTTAAAGAAATGCTGTTTCAGCGGCATGTTGTCCTCCACTGGATTGACAGTACTTCTCACATTCAGGTGAGTATATAAACATAGAGTATATGTTTATTCCATATTACTGTATGAGTATCAGTTCATGCTTTCGCATGAATGAGAGGTTAGTCTTTTGAGCATATATGTACAATAATTGAAAGCATTATTTGTATGTATGGGGAAATTTCACAGCAAATTATATTAATTGCTTTAGAAATTTGTTGCACACAGCTTTTAGGGTCAGATAAATATCACTTTCCATACTTACACCCAGTATGTTGCTGAAAAAGGTTTACTTGTGATTGAAATGCTTTAAAAAGCTGCATGATCAATATATTTGCTCAGATTTAAGCCATAGTCTTCAAACTGTAAACATTCTGTGGTAGATTTTAAAACTGTACTGTATACATCTGTCAAAATTTCTCTTAGGACATTATAAGCAATACTGACTATTTGCCTTATTGCAGGTTGGGCAGTGTGAGGACTATCATGGCTTTGACAAGCTATCTGAGGTCCTGGCTCAGGTGGGGGGCAAAGTGATCCCCTTGGTTGCACTTTTGAGCCTTTGCTGCAATCCTCATTCAAGCACAGGATTTGTGGGAGAGGGCATTCCATTCCAGTCCAGCATTGGATACCTTCTTTCTTCTGAAAGGCTCTATCATATGGCTTTTCCAGCAGTTGGTGGTGTTCTACGATGGGACCAAGGTTGGTAGTCTAGGATAGCACTTCTTTAAACACCGTGTTGACTGTGTTCCCTGAAAAAGGTGCAAATGAGGTGATCGTCTTTAGCCACATGGTTCACGAGTCGCAATTCATTAACTAGTTGAAAGTGTTGTGATTTCTGACCCCCAGATGTGAGTGACGCTCATACAACATTGCGCTTAGGCACACTCTATTAGTCCCATTCATAGCCAGCCGTAGTGACAACAAGAAGACACCCTAACAGCAGTAGTAGCAAAATGTCAATGTCAGGTTAATATTTGTATGTGAGCTGTTGTTAGAAACATAGTATGTAGGGGCAGCAAACTTACAGGCCTGCACGATAGCCTGTGTCCTCATCCTATAAAATTTTTTAAAAAGCTACTTGCAGATCTTCCTTTGCATTCATGGTAATCTGTACTCGATGCTGACAAAGTCTTTAGGCAACCAAACAATGTCTTTTAAGTTCCATTGCTTAGGTTTGCTCATTGTTGATTGGGACTAATATTTTTTGCTCAAAAACATTTTGCTATTAGCTTATAGTCTCAGATACTGACGAATGCGAATATTATTTTTGCACAAATCATTTCCTCATGATACAGGCCACCTCTGGTAAAATCATCTAAAACGTCAGTTGAGGAGATCGTGCCAATCCACCCCTGTTGAATAGTAATATATATTATTTATTCAATCTTTTTGTGATTTATGAAAAAAATCACTAGAACTGTATTGTAGTTATTGTTTAAGTTAGACGGTTTTTGAAATGATTCTCCAAATAATTTTCTTTCTATTAAATTTGATTCCTGCAAATTATCTTGCGTCCTTACCCATTTTGTCTTGGGACCCCACGCATCATCCCAACCCCATTTTTTGTAATGTTTGATCTATACTTTAAAATGTACACACATAAAAAAAATCAAGATCGTAAAGAGGTGTAAATTAGTCATCCAATCATTAAAAAAAACATGTGTACATATGGAAACATTAAGTATTTTAGCAAACGTGAGTTTACGTACACCACAAGACGTTAATTTGTGTGGACAGATGAGTTAGGAACATCAATGTGAAGCTGGGAATAACCTGTATTTATTCATTTGTGCTCGTTGATTATTCACTAAAGCAGGAAATGTGACGCAGAGCTGCGATGTCAGGGTGGAGCCCGTCTTTCGCAGACAGAGGCTTCTCCAGGAGTCTGTGGAAGTTTGTTTAAAAGGAGTGCTGCAGGGCTGGGATGCCTCATCACAGTCACAGACCACCACAGAGTCATGGGTTCTTCAGGGCTCCAGTAATGGTGACCAGGATGCTTATGCCTTCCAGCATCTCTTAAAGGAACTGTCTGCTTTTTGTCGTCACATGGTGAGAGAAAGAAAGTTGTTCTGTTCCACAAAAAAAAGTTCTTTAATGTAGTTCTGAAGGATGGTATAAAGCTTTCATTTATATTCTTCAGTAGCACATGACAGAATTGGTGAAACCACCATCAGTCATAAATCCACCAGCTATAACAAAATTGTGTTTATTCACAAAAACTAAATAGTTTTTTTTTTTTTCTTTACTCCAATGATTCTAATATTTATCAGTGTGAAATAAAAAAAGTACACATAAAAATCAATTGGCAACTTATCATCCCAAACTATTTGTTGATGAAATGTCTTATATTAACGCTTAATGGCACAGTGTTTAGTGTCATTATAAAATTGGCTATTTACTATTTGGGTGTATACATCGAGAGGGTATATTTGGTTTTAGAAAGTGAAATTTACAACATGACATTAAAGAAAGGGAAGTATTTGTTTTTTTTGTGTCCTGTATCCAATTTTGATGATATTTTTGCTCTTGTTACAGCTTGCTGAAGTGAATGACAATGGGCTGGTGTGTTCGGCTGTATTCTCCCCACTGTCAGACTCCACAGCTCTGCTCACCATTTTCAGACCAATGGTAGCTCAGCACTACCAGCTCCTGAGGATAAACGCCTCGCCCCATGTCACTGATCAAAACACTGCTGACCTTCCAGATGTTGTGAGCAGCATCCTGGGATTAGTATACGACATAAATGAGGATGGTGATGGAACTAATGGTAGGAATTTGCGTGTGTACATTTGCTGGTTTGAAAAAAAGATCAGGTCCCATGCTTAATTTTGATGCAAATGGATAAAGATGCAACTTTTGCCCTGAAATCCATTTTTCTAATTGCTAAAGGTCTCTTCCAAAAGTGTAAATAAGAAAGTCATATTCATTTGATGTTTCTGAGGACATTTTTGACAAACGGTACCTACTTGTCATTTGGGAGCCAACGGAGTAGTTCTGCAATTAGTGATTGAAAACATTGCTTTTGTAAATGATACTTTAGATCAAAAGTCACTGGTTTTTCAAAGTTATCTGTTATTAACTGTTTGGTATTATCTGTTTGGTAAAGAAAATAAAGACCAATCAACTGTCTATGACATTCCCAGGTTTTATTTAAAAAATGTGCCTCTCTTGCTTAGACTTGTTTTCCATACATTTGCTTTGGTTTAATCCTCAGGAAATCTAGGGGATCATCCCATTCCTGAGTGGGCTCTACAGGAATTCCAACATAGCCCAGTGTCAACCAGCATGCTGGAGACTTGGTTCCCCCAGTCGGATCAGTCGGGAGTGAGCTCTCATTTAATGGAGTCATTAAGGTTTGACATTTTGGACTTCTTTGCAAAATCTTTTTAGTATAGTAGATACTAAAAAAGTACAATATGCATGTTCAATGTGTCCTTCTAACATTAAGGCTCAAAGGTATGGCACTTTACATTTTAGTTTCCATCACTGCTTCCATTTCACATTAAGTCAGTTTTATCATATCATTGCACTCTTATCTGTTTTCAGTTTTAAATCTTTTATACTTCCCCCAGACTGCGTTTTTAAGAATGATAAACCAGGACACTGACAGCAGCTTTTAACTTCACAGGTTGTTACATGCAGTGCCAGAGCCAACAGAGGAGGATGAATGTCCTGTACATCAGCAAGATCTAATCAGCAATCTGTCTGAGCTGTACAAAACATCCCAGGAACCAGCCGAGAGGAGAGGCAAGAAACGTTAGCGAACTACTTGTTGTTTTTATTTTTTTATTTTTCATAGTACCCATGTTGATTATAAGGTTTCTAATGAAGTGAGAGTCAATTTTCTGACATTTAGTGTCACAGATTAGACATTTGGTTTTACTTTAAAGCAGTTTTTCTTCTTGTATGTTGCGGAATCTATGATTAAATGGGTGATTGCTGTTTTTTCCCTGTGATCTGTAGGTGGCGCACACCGCACACCAGTGAAACAGAAGATGAAAACGATGAGCCGCTCTCTGCAAATGTTGAATGTGGCACGACTAAACGTCAAAGCCCAAAAGACCCAGAGTGAGACAGAGCAGCTTGGTACTGAAGGCAGGGCAACAGACAGACCAGTGAGGAAACGGCTAATTGACAAGAGCAAATCTGGAGGAACAAGTGCTATTAGTGAGTGCCTCTCTTTAAATGTATAAGAAACTTTCAAAGCACGTGTTTGAATGAACGAAAATTATATATTTTTATCCATAGATATGAAATAAAGGGTATTCTTTCTTCAGGTTTCACATCTGAGGCAGAGCTGTTGGCCTATCTGAAGACCTGTTATGACAAGACTGTTCTAGAGAAAGATTCATGTCTCCCAGAAGCTGTCCAACAGCTTCTCACTGCTGTTAAAGCCTTTCTCTTGACAGAGTCGGATGTGGAGGTGAGAAGTGGTGGCTTTTAAAGAATACCAACAATGTAAAAGAGCTAACAGCAGTGAAGTTAAGTGAAGCACGTGTACTGCCATTTACTTTATCATTGAATACATATCTTCTTTTTTTTAGGTGAATACCTTCACATTTGTCCAGCAGCACCTCCTCAAGAGCAGCAAATCAGTCCGACAGCTCCATGGAGCAGCTGCAGAGGCAAACTGCAAAGTCAGAGAGTGAGTTTGAGCTTCTTTTCAGAGTCTTTGCCGAACAATGGCACATGCTCATGCTTTGAACTATTTAAGTCTGTTAGAATCTCACATAGGTGGAATTCAGTCAGTGACACAGGCTGTCTAATCTAGGTGCAAACTGCAGGTTGTGCTGAGGCTGGAGCTGTGCAGACTTTCTGCTTCAGAGAAGACCAACTCACTGGATGCTGATCAGATGGCGGAAGAGGTGAGCTGCTCCCTTGCCACCTGACACATTTTTAGTTTAGCACAATTTAACCAGGAACCTTCATCAGGACTATTGTGAAACACACAAACAGTATTTTGAATTAAACTAAAAGAAACAATCAAACATTGTGATATTTCAAGCCATGCATGTTTTATTTTTTAAGGTATTTTTATTATTTGTGGAATTTAGAAAGTGGAACTACAAAAAAACAGAGTCTGACATCTTGTGCTCCTCAGGCAGCTGAAATGCTCAGGATAATCTCACTGACCAAGGACCCAGTTTGCTTAGCAAGGTTCCTTCAAGATGAAGTCCTGCCAGGGTGAGTATCTGCATATATTACTGGAAGATTGTGATTTATTAGTTTTAATTGACATATGATTGTTGAATTAGTTACTCCAGTTTGCAAACACTTATTTACTAACAACTTGAAGATGAAATTTTGATTATTGCGAAAAACAATAGCATTTTCATCAATATCAGATAAGAATGAGAGCTAGGTTTTTCACATTATTGGATTTTCAGAAACTCTTACACAACACTTTTTTAAATTAAACGTTTTTGGCAAACTAGTTTTAGATGTTTATTATTAGTTTTTTTACAAATGGGACCACAATTTACAAAAGAAGCCACTTTGATATAAAACGTTGGTGTGGAATTGGCTAAACCTTTTGTTCAACACCAAATGTATTCAGTTTTAAAAATAATTGTCACCTCCAGAGCTTTGCCCCTTTTGATCTCTGACTATTGTGACTAGTGTGCTAGTTGTAGTATGGTAGGTATCTGCCTTGAAAACGTCGTATAGATGCCCCCTGCTGTCCATCAGCACAGGTGTCTTTATAGTTTGAATACAATCAAAACGTTGGGAAGTTTTGCTGATTACACCAGCTCAGTTTTATTAAATCAGCATTGTGTAGTTTAGTTAACTAGAAGAGACAAAAATGGGATGTTAACACCTCAGGAATGGGTGTCTAATAATTGTTCTTTTGTTGTTGTTTTTTTAGTGAGCATCTTTTGTTGCTTTAAAATAACTTGAAGCTTTCTGCATGATGACAGGTTCCTGGCTGCTGTTCCCAGAGTGCTTGCAGACATCTATCACAGTCTGGGCACTCAGCTACCTGAAGCACTTGTTGGTGCTCTGCCCGCTGACTTCTTCAGCGACGAATCAGTTGCCAAGGACAGCATTTCCCCCTACACATCCTCACCTTCAATATCAGCGCAGAGCCTGGTGTCAGATGGCTTGAAGGACCTGAGAAACCGATCGGCCAGTAAGAGGAGGTGAGGCACATATGCTGCAGAGGCACTGTTTGACTATGGAAACCTATAGAAATCTGTGATTAAAATACATAAATTGTTCAGTCTGAGTGAGAATAAGACTATTGCTGCTTTAATTTCCTTATTCTAAGCCATATTGTGTTGGATATTTGACTTGTATTAGTTCCTCGTCCCTCAGGAGTGGGATGCTGACTCGGCATCGCAGTATGACTGAATCATCGCAAAGCCTTCGTCAGATAGAGATGCCCAAGAGGATCACAAGAGCAGTATGATAATGACCTTCACCGGTTTTCTCCTTTTAAAAATTATGGTTGACTTTATCGACTGGCATGCAAACTATTAATTGTGCTACTTTGAACATCTGATATCTCCAACGTGCGGTCTGTGTGTGTGACCTATGTAACTCGAGAAGGCATCTGAATCTGATTACTTATGTTGTCTAATCCAAGCCTGCTATTTTTTCTGTTTTTAATTAGTCCAAATCAACAGTGTTTACTGCGTTTGAAAAACTTGCCGAACCAAAGCAGCTTCAGAAACAAGAAACACAAGGTACGTTAACATGACTTTTGACAATTTTACAATATTTTTAACCTAAGTATTGGACAAAATGCAGTCTGCTCCATGAATAGTGTGATATTTTTAGTGCCTCCTGATCTGTGCCGTTTCCTCTTCTTTGGCCTAAATACAAAAATGCTGGTTCAGCGACAAGCTTTTTGAAAGGCTCAATTTATGTTTTACCTTTTGGTTTTGATTTAGATTGTCACAATGATTCTGCTGTTGTAATGTGACACAGAGTTGTTGTTTAAGGTCATAGATTGGACTCCTTGGACTAAAGCTACAGTGTCTAAAAGGATTATTACATTTACTTGTGATTAAAAGATTTTGTAAAAACTCAATCTTCTGAAAGTTATAGCAGACAGAAGATGTAATTCTAATCTGGTTATAAGGTGCTGTGATTCATTAATGCCATTTGACTTCTTGAAAGAATAAAATTTCGTCATCAAGCTGATATTTTAGACTTAAACACACTGTGATTCACAGAGGTGACCAAAGTGAGACGAAACTTGTTCAACCAAGAAGTAGTTTCCCCCTCAAAGAAAGCCAAACTAAAAAGGAGCCAGTCTGTCTCTGCTGTAGAAGGACTTAAACGCAAGCGGTCACACGAATCTGAAGGTTAGTTTGGTCAAGTATGCATTTTTTAGAACTAAAGAGGTCATTAACATTCCCCGCAATAGTTTTTGATAATTTTTTTCTTTTCAGAAGGGCACAGGCTTCTTACAAAAAAAGTTTGTGAGACACCCCACCACAAGCAAGTGTCCAACCGCCTTCTGCATCGTCAGAAAATGGGGAGGTATGTCAGTTATTATTAAATAGGTTCAGCTATCATTGTTTTCTTACAAGAATAATGTGCCATCAATGATTGGCTGGTAAATAGATGAAGATGAAATACAATTTTCTATTTTTTTTACAGAAAATCTGACCTTGCAGAGGAGTGCATCGTTGAGGAATCGCCAGTAAAACCCACAGAAGGTATTTTTTTCCATTTTTACTTTTTATTTATCAAATAATTTTGGGTGAAAATCTTGAAAAAACTCCTGGCTGAGAATGTAACTAGAATCCAACAATTACTTAAAAAGAACTAAGGGTTGAAACGGCAATATTCAACAGCTTAACCCTTATATTATGTTAAGGGTCAATTTGACCCGTTTCAATTTTTGTGTTGATCAAAGTGCTAGTTATCCTTTTTTTTTCTTCATGAAATTTGGTGACTTTTCCTGATGTGGGGTCATGAACTTGAGTGTGAAATCTGGTCACTCTGCTGTGTAAGGGGGGGTCTGTGCAGAGTTTGTATACAAAGATGATGTTGCGGGTCATTTTGACCCGCACACCATTAATGTGGGTAAGTAGCTGTTCAGATCCAAAATAAACATGTCTCTACAGTGTACTTGTATTTTCATTGCCTCTGAGACCCAGACCAAGGTGTTTGTGAAGGGTTTGGGTCTGAGGGTCTGTGTAAAATACCCAACATCACCACACCAAAGTCGAGGCAGACTGTCATCATCCAATGTGATCAATATGACTCCCGTCATACAAGATTTGATGTCTCAAGAGTTGATTAGCGTAATCAGCATTTGAGATCTTCATATCCCCACCAATAGAGAGAATGATACTGGAAATGACCAACTTAGAGGGGAAACGTGTGTTTCAAGAAAAAGGGAAGCCACTGGATCAGACTGACTTGCATGCTTACATTAGAGTTCTGTTATGAGCTGGAGTGTACAGGCCAAAGGGGAGTAGCAACTGCAAGTTTATGGATTGAAGACAATCCTTGTCCCCATGTTACTGTAGATGAGAGTCTTGTTTCATTCAGGGGGGCGCTGTCCTTTCCAACCGTACACACCCAACAAGCATGCCAAGAATGGCACCAAAATATGGGCAGTCTGTGATGCAAAATCCAGCTATGCATGGGATCTGCAAGTATGCACTAGAAAAGCTACCTGGAGGAAAATCTGATAAGAATCAGGGGATGCATGTGGTGCTGGATATTAGTGAAGGGTTGCAAGGTCATATCATCACCTGTGACAACCTTTTTACTTCCCATCGCCTTGGAAAAGAACTTCAGAAGAGAAAGCTGACCACGTTGTGATAGTCAGAAGAAATAAGCCAGAACTTCTCAGTGAAATTCATAAGATGCAGGGCAGACCTCAGTATTTGCTTTCATTGAGAAAGTGACAGTTGTCTCATACCACCCAAAGATAAACAAAAATGTTCTTGTATTGAATACAATGGAAGCTGATGCATCTCTGGGACCTAGAGAGGACTTGAAGCCACAAATTATCCTGGATTATAAATCCACCAAAGGAGGAGTTGACAATCTGGACAAAGTCACAGCAACATACAGCTGTCAGAGCCAGTTTGAGCCAGACTCGAGCCAGGCTAGCTTGATCCCCAGTAGCAGCAGCTAACATTGAAAAGGTCAAGCTCAGGTCCCCCAACCAACACCCAGTGGACAGGTGAAAAAGAAAGGGAAAACCAGGATGCCAGGTCTGTCCATCCCAAGAAGACAGTAAAATAAGTACTTCTTGTGTGAAATGTAAGAATTACACCTGCAGAAAGTACTCAGTAAAATTCCGAAATGTGTTTGTGAAGAGGGAGAAACTCAAACAACATAGTTCTTAAAGAAAGTGTTGGAATTAAAAATGTTTTTTATGTCACTTTTCTAAAGGTTCATTCAATATTACATAATTTTTTATTGGTTTAACCTGTTTTTGTGACTGTTTTGTATACATTTACATGGTGCGGGTCAAAATGACCCGCAACATAATCAATGTAATTTTTTTCCAACATAATATGAGGGTTAAATTTGAATTCAATATTTTATTTTGAACATTTAGATTTTATTTGAAAACAACAATTTGTGGATATTTTTTTCTCTATCCCCAGATGATTAAAATAATACCTATAATAATTTTGTATTTTTTGTGTGTGTTTGATGCCAGATCTAAGAAGAAGTCCGAGGATAAAGAAGTTTGCCAGAAGACACTTGAACATCTTCTACTCAAGCTCTCAGCCTCGCTCCCGCAACCTAGCCAGGGCTCTTTCTGCATCCCAATTGATACTTAGCGAGGGAAAAACCATTGAGGTCCACAAGAAAACAGTTCAGTCTCCCATGCGTCTTCTTTTCGGGGCTGCCAATTCTCCTGCTCGTCCATCCATCCAGTCTGTTGAAACCAGAACCATTAGGTCCCAACTGTCCACAGACTCAAGTGTCTTTGAGGTAACTTTTCTCTTCAGTATCTAGGTTTGGCGGAGGGGGGTTGTTACCAGCAGCTTCTTCATTACTTCGTTACTCTTTTTTCATCTTTTCTTTTTTTCTATTTTTCAGAGTCCAACTGAAACACCCCCAAAGTCCCCTCGCAGAAGCAGGAGGGCTGTTCCCGGAAATTCATCTCCAAAGGCATCCAAGACGCCTGCAACGCCAAAAACGCCCCCTTCATCCAGGATGCGTGATTCATGGCTGCCTGAGGTGTCTACGCCGGGCCTGTGGATGTGTCGGCGGGAGAGTCCTCTCAGATCTCCTGCCAGAGAGACTTATGTTGTTGAGACTCCTACAAAGCTCAGCCCTATGATGAGCCCTTTAAAGGGCATTCTCAGGACTCCAGTCAAAACATTACAGCAGCCTGCTTCTTCCTCTGGGTTATGTCCCCTCAGCAGCCCGGGTATTAGGACTCCCAAAAAAAGTGTCACCTGGTCACCCTCTCCCCTGACGTGTAGAGCGGCAGATAACAGCACTTCTTTTAAGGTGCCAGAATCTCCTAATACTGCATCTCCTCGTTCTCTGAGACAGCTGAAATCGCCTAACAAGCTTGGCAGCCCCGTCCAAGGTAAAAACACTGAAAGCGACAATTTCAAAACCTCAGATAAGGTCTGTCAAGTACGTCTGTTTAGGATGCCTGAAAAAACCTTTATAACTCCAGAGAAAAATCTGCAGTCACCTGAAAAATTGAACAGGATGAAAACACCTGAAAGGGTTGAGGATGCTCACCTTCCAGAGAGGCTTCATAAACAGTCCACTCAACTTTCACAGCAGTGGACCCCACCTCTGCTCAACACTGAAAGTCAAGCCAGGACCCCCAGTCCCAATCACCAAATGATTACTCGCTCGGGGAAAATTATTGATACAGTATACCTGTGTGATGCAGCATCTTCAGCACTGTGTAGCGCAAAAGATTTAGAAAGCACGGATCCTTTATTAAAGTCCCCAGCAAAGTCATTGTCGACAACAAAGTCCTGTCAAGGAGGCAGAGCAAGTACACATAACTTGATGTCACAGCATGGTGAGAGTTTAGCCTCTGAACTAAACAGTGCAAAATCTGCTAAGAGTCACACGGAGGGGAACACGTCATTACATAAAAGACAAGAGGCTGAAAGCTCTCAGTCATCTGAGACCAATTCCAGCCTTTATACAGAATCGCAGGAGTTTGACTCTTCTCAAGGTAATTCTGCCACCACGGAGGATGACAGTCTGGACATTGTTGATGCTGCTGTAGTAAATACCCAGTTAAGGGGAGGCCTTAAAATGAGCATTAGCTTTTCAAGGAAACCTTTGGCAACCAGTAGAGACGCAGTGTCTCCTAGTCAATACGTGTCATCCCAAAGCACACCAGCACGGAACTACGGCTTCCGGAAGACCCCTGACCGCCAACAGAGGGAGGCTGCTGCTCGCTTGGGATACAGCAATGACTCTTTTAGATTTTCAACTCCGAGAGGGCTCGCAGGAACTGGCAGGCAAAAAAGCAGTGGTACTCCAAAAACGCTTTCCTATCAGGTAGAATTGGAAATGCAAACCTCAGGGATTCCCAAGCTCAAAATCAAACGCACAGATTCCACGAATGCAAATGACTCTCCCTCAAGTGGAGGTCAAAGTTCTTTGGTGAGCATGAAACCTCATTCAGACAGCTCTTCTGCTTTACTCTCCAAACACCGAGATCCTGGGTACGTCTCGCCATCTGTCTGTGCTCATGTCACCCCAGCCAAAAGTACACCTGGAAAAGGCGGAGGTGTCCAAACCTACATCTGCCAGTCATACACCCCTACACGGCACCCTGCAGCAACAATGTCTCCAGTGACAATGGCAGACATTATTCCCCTAACACCGTCTCCTCAGAGTGTGGGGAAAGTGACGCCAGATAACCTCAACAGCTGGCCCCGTAGAAAGAAGGCTCAGATTGGAACGCTTGGCTTCAAAGATCGCTGCCTGAAAGGAGAGCCACAGCTGGAGGAGCTGCTGGAAGAGGCTGAGCTTGGAGTTAGCAGGCTGCAGGAATTTGATGATGCTGATGAATCCTCAAGTGACAAGGCAGAAGAAGTCCTTACTGGGACAGCCAAACATTCACCCTCAGTTGAAACAAATGTGTCCCCTCTTTCACCAATGGAAGACTTGTACTGGATGGAAAATCTGGCTGAACAGACGGGCGTCTCCAATCCTCAGAAGGTTAACCAAGAAATAATCTGGTCTTCTGAAAGTGAAGATCCCAGCTCAAGTAAGTTTTGAAAGCATTTAAATGATTTATGTTCATTAAAGAAAAATAATTATGTATTATTAAAGTAAACCCCTTATTTGTGTTGTTTTAATTCAAATTCTTCAGGTTGCTTGTTCGAATCTCAGCTATATGTGGAGTTTGCATGTTCTATTGCATGTTTTGCTGTCCATCATTTGGAGCAATAGCATGTGTGGTCACGATAATAGACCTGCATCGACTTCTGATGTGCTCAGCACCCAGATGATCAAAGCAAAAGAGCTTTCAACGACCACTATTAATTGTTACTTTTACATTTGTCACATTTGTTTGCATAAAAGGAAATTTGCTACAAGTCAGTTTCAGTTTCAAATTAATTAATTTACTTTGCATTTTGACAGCCGTGACTTCTCCCAGCTCAAATGTGAGGAAGCCTGTGACGGCGAGCGGTATTTTAGCTCTCACTCAGTCTCCGTTGTTGTTTAAGGGCAAACCAACTTCTGCCCATAAAGCACCTCATTTTAAAGGTATGTTTTGTTTTGTTTTCCTTTTTCCTTTTGTTTTCTTTAATACCAGCAATTAATTGCACCGTCTACATCTACACAAGCCACTTCATCAGAGTTTTACCATAAAATGAAGAATCTACCAGATAAATTGAATACATTTGACATTGTCTTGTTGCAAACTAACCAATCAAGCCTTTGTGTTTTCTAGACAAAGCTGAAGGTGCATCAGTTAGGACAGACGTAGAAGGAGAGGACATCTCCCCCTTCAGACAGCCAATCAGACGCTCTAGCACAGCCAAGACTTACAGGAGAAAGAGGCTTCTTCATTGACAGAAAAGGTTTAAAAAGTACAGAAAGACATCTATGAATCTTTTCTTTGAATCACACCATTGTGAATGAAGACTGCAAGTTGTGAAGCTGGGGTTTGTTTAAAAGTGAGTTATCTGTATCTGTTTTTAATTATTTTATCATTTTTGAAAGTCCTGTTTCCTGCTTTGCTCTCTTCGATGCTTAGACGTCGTCTTTATTTCTCAGTTTAATTAGCTATTTTACAATCAAGTCAGAATGTTGTTCATATAAATATATTGATATATTTATTAGTTTGTTGTTTTTCATGTAAAAGGGAATTTTGTATTTTTGTAAATATATGTTGCCAGATTTTTGTAAATAAAATGTATAAATAATTTGAAAGTCTTTCAAAAGCTGCATCTAAAACATGAACCCTATCTTCCTCTATTTGGTGTGATTAAATGATTTTTTTATTAAAATTTATCAGCTGCTAGCAAGTATCTGGAACTGTGATGCTTTTGCTTTGAGTTTGCTTAAGTTTTCAAAGGACAGTGCTCTGAAAACTTTTTTTTTTTTTTTTTTTAACTGTTCAGCTGCATTAGGTATCTTGTCTGAATATTAGACAACATAGCTGTTACAATTAATATTTTTATTATATGCAAAATACCTTTACAGGTACTTGCCCCTGCGGGCCAGTGGCATCGCTCTCTCTTTCTGTCTCCTTCCCTCAAGGCACCACTACGTCTCTGTGACTGGAATAGGAAATTTCAGCTGCTTCTTTAGGTCTGCCCGCATCTCCCAGTCATTTGCTGTGGCCAGGACCCCCTTGCTCCTCCCTCCTGCTGCTCCACTTTCTCCTGCCCTGGTAAAATATATGAAACGAGGCCCCTTGGACAGCTGCCTTGCCCTTTTCCTTGCCTGCTCGATGCCGTCAGCCAGTTGAGCAAGGATCTGGTCATGACGCCACCGGAACTTGCCATCCGCTAAGCTTGAGTGACATGAAGAGAGGACGTGCTCAAGATTAGCCGTCCTTCCGCAGAGCTTGCAGCTTGGGCTTTCGACCATTCCCCAGGTGTGGAGGTTTGAGGGAGTAGGTAGGAGGTCATAAACAGAGCATAAAAGAAACTTAATGCGGTGGCCTTCCATGCGCCAGATGTCCTGCCAAGTTAGAGCCCTCTCTCTCGCACTCTCCCATCTAGTCCAGCTGCCTTTTTTGTTCATGGCTACAGCCTTGACATGCCGGCTTTCCTCCTCCACCTTTCTGGCTTCTTTCTGCACCAAGCCTCGCCTCTCCTATTGGTCTGCTTTGTTCCAGCTTTTTTCTGGTGGAGCAACCCAAACCAAGCCTTCCCTGGGCTACCGACCCGACAATTTCTGCGTGATGCAGTCTGTCCTCTGCCTCCTTTAATGCTCTGCTGGCTGACCACTTACGGCCTGTCCAGATGACGATGTCTGCCTGACGTACTCTCTCTTCTTTACTGTCTCGCAGCATCATGGCCTGGCGTGTTTTTTGTCGCCTTGTACTCTTCCACCACTGATGTTATTAGAAGCTGTAGCTTGCTGCCTGTGCTGTACAGGCCAAAGGAGCAAAAGCTTTTTGGGATGCCCAACCATCTCCTCAGGTGTTCAGCCTCCTCTCCAGTCCCTCAACAGTGGAGACAGGTGCCTCGTAGACCAGGAGAGGCCAGAGCAGTCTGGGGAGAACCCCCTTGTTGGTAGCCCCAGACTTTGTACTTGCCCAGGAGGCCGCTTTTCTCCAGAGATGTCATCCAAGTTTCTGCCTGGCTAAGCACCTCCTTCACACTCTGCCTGTCATTGAGGTCCGCCCTGTACCACTTCCCCAAGCACTTCACAGGCTTTTCTTGGACAGTTGAGATGATGTTCTCTCCGATTTTGAAGTGGTACCGATCCTGAACGCGCCCCTTCTTCAGAACCAGGCTTCTAGATTTTGCCGGTTTGAACTCCATCCTTGCCCAATTGGTGATCTCAACCAAGTCCTCCAGGATCCATCTTCCTTCTGGTACTGATCTTGCTGTTATGGTGAGATCGTCCATGAATGCTCGAATGGTCAGCATCTGGACCCCACTTGCAAGTACTGCACCTCAACGTAACTTCTCTGCTAATTTGACGAAAAGGTTCATCGCTGCTGAAAGCAGGATATTTGTTTATGGCCTTCATCAGAGATAATATACACTATATTGCCAAAAGTATTTGCTCACCTGCCTTGACTCACATATGAGCTTAAGTGACATCCCGTTCCTAATCCATAGGGTTCAATATGACGTCGGTCCACCCTTTGCAGCTAGAACAGCTTCAACTCTTCTGGGAAGGCTGTCCACAAGGTTTAGGAGTGTGTTTATGGGAATTTTTGACCATTCTTCCAGAAGCGCATTTGTGAGGTCGCACACTGATGTTGGACGAGAAGGCCTGGCTCTCAGTCTCCGCTCTAATTCATCCCAAAGGTGTTCTATCGGGTTGAGGTCAGGACTCTGTGCAGGCCAGTCAAGTTCATCCACACCAGACTCTGTCATCCATGTCTTTATGGACCTTGCTTTGTGCACTGGTGCACAGTCATGTTGGAAGAGGAAGGGGCCAGCTCCAAACTGTTCCCACAAAGTTGGGAGCATGGAATTGTCCAAAATGTCTTGGTATGCTGAAGCATTCAGAGTTCCTTTCACTGGAACTAAGGGGCCAAGCCCAGCTCCTGAAAAACAACCCCACACCATAATCCCCCCTCCACCAAACTTTACACTTGGCACAATGCAGTCAGACAAGTACCGTTCTCCTGGCAACCGCCAAACCCAGACCCGTCCATCAGATTGCCAGATGGAGAAGCGCGATTCGTCACTCCAGAGAACGCGTCTCCACTGCTCTAGAGTCCAGTGGCGGCGTGCTTTACACCACCGCATCCGACGCTTTGCATTGCACTTGGTGATGTATGGCTTGGATGCAGCTGCTCGACCATGGAAACCCATTCCATGAAGCTCTCTGCGCACTGTTCTTGAGCTAATCTGAAGGCCACATGAAGTTTGGAGGTCTGTAGTGATTGACTCTGCAGAAAGTTGGCGACCTCTTCGCACTATGCGCGTCAGCATCCGCTGACCCCGCTCCGTCAGTTTACGTGGCCTACCACTTCGTGGCTGAGTTGCTGTCGTTCCCAAACACTTCCATTTTCTTATAATACAGCTGACAGTTGACTGTGGAATATTTAGGAGCGAGGAAATTTCACGACTGGATTTGTTGCACAGGTGGCATCCTATCACAGTTCCACGCTGGAATTCACTGAGCTCCTGAGAGCGACCCATTCTTTCACAAATGTTTGTAAAAACAGTCTGCATGCCTAGGTGCTTGAATTTATACACCTGTGGCCATGGAAGTGATTGGAACACCTGATTCCGATAATTTGGATGGGTGAGCAAATACTTTTGGCATTATAGTGTAAGTGGGCAATATTTACCCTAGTCAAAATCCTTAAAAAAAATCTTTAAAGCAATACCATCTTCTTATTATATAACAAAATCCTATCCCGCTCCCTACATATGCAGGAAATACTTTTTTTATTTTTCAAAGCTTTACAGAATCAGAATCAAAATTAGGTTTATTGCCAAGTAGGTTTTTCACCTACAAGGAGTTTGATTTGGTGTTTGGTGCACAACACTTCTATGAGAAACAAGAAACGACAGACAATGTAGAAATAAAAATATAGAATAAAATAAAATAAATAATAAAATAAAATATTGAATGTCCAACGACAAACCAGAAAATGTTGAACGTACTATTGGATAAATTAGTGAGGTAGAGGGGGGTGAGAGAAGAATAGTTGAGGGTCACTGGCTTCGTTGATGAGGCCAGTTGCTGTTGGATAAAAACTGTCTTTATGGCGTGAGGTTTTGGTCCTGATGGTTCTCAACCTTCTGCCAGAGGGGAGGGTTTCCAGAAGTTTGTCACCAGGGTGAGAAGGATCAGACATGATCTTTCTTGCACGCCTTAAAGTCCTGGAGGCGTACAGGTCCTGAAGGGAAGTAATTGCTCTTTAATAAGGTATTATAAAACTTTTTTCTTGTTTTCTCCCTGTTTGTTTGGGGGGAAAAATGAGTTGGATCCAAACACAAATTATTAATGGTTCCACAAGTGTGCTCTTGACATGTTTTTTTCCTCAGCTTTAGTACTTTCATGTTCACCCCAGCAACAGACCACGTCTGAGGGCCCCCTTCAGAACACAATACTGACATCACCAGTTTTATAGTGCAGACAGAGATGTGTGATATAAAGATGTATTGTTCAATCAGTTAAAGTATAAGTTTGATCATGAGTGATGATGGATTACAATTAAACAAGTTGAAGTGCATCGTACACATTCCAGGGACACTTCATGTATCTAGGTTTTTCCTCATTTTTGTGTACTTTATATTTCTGGTGGCTCTTTGCAGCACCACAGAATTCCCATCAAACCTATAGCTTTTACACTTGAAGTGCATCCTGTTTGTGTGAGTGAATTCCATTTCCTGTTAGAAAGCAATGTGAACTTTAGTCTCAGTTCTTTACACTCATTGTTTCATCTGTAATCTACAGATTATAAATTAATCTGCCATAAAGAGCTCAGACTGAATATAGAACGGTATGTTCTAAATCATATGACTGTAATTCTTGTTTGCATAGGTTTAATAACCAATTTTGTTAGTTTGTGGTTTTTCTTTTTGTCCAATCATTGTTAAAGGTATCTATTAAATCTCTGTAGTTGGAACATGCATAAAGTTAGACATGAAAAAAGATTGAGGTGAACTATTTTAATGCTTAAATACCATGTATATCATTTGACAAATAGGGATCCTCTCTTTTTTTAAAAACTGCAATAGAATAGAATTACAATATTTTAATTCAAAGGCAAAACATGAACATATCAGATTTTAGACACAAATAACTAATCTTTTGCAAATGATACAGTATTAAAATTTTAAGACAGTAGGTTTAGATCATTTTTGATGTCCCACATTTTAAGCAGATATCTCCTAGCGCAAGGCTGCGGGGAGTTCATTAGTAACACAATCTGGAAAGGAGTTATGAGTGGGTGCCGCAAATTTCCCTTTAAATCTAAATCAACAGTGATTTGCTGCAACAAGGAAGTAGCAGTTTAGATTGACTAAGATGACCTTGTTTTGTAAAACAGAAAAACATATTTTGTCCTCATCTTTGAAAAATACTATCTATATATATATATATATGAAAAATGAGAATAGGCGTGCATGTATTGTGCATTTTGAATTTCCGATATGCTTCTGTAATGTGACATCTTAAATGTTGCAGCCCTTTCCAATGCCCTTCAGCATTCTCTCCATGTGGCTCACCACCACTGTCAAGTCAGCCAGAATAAGCAGAATTGTTTCCTGTCGAAAGCTAATTTAACCCTGTAATCCTTATTGTCTAGCGATGCAATCTGTAAAGTAAATGGCAGAATTACATCCTGATATGTTATAATATGATGATCAGAAACCCTGATCACTTGACATGTGATATGTTTTTGGTTGGAAATTCATACATAAATGCTGTTAAACTACCTCTCCCTTCATTATCGGATGTTGGATGAGGGTGACACAAATATGTTTCTTTTCAAATTGAAATTATTTTCAGATTCAAATTAGTCCAAGGGGGGCGGCGCGGTGGTGTGGTGGTTAGCACCGTAGCCTCACAGCAAGAAGGAACGGTTTGATTCCCAGAGGCACCAGGACCTTTCTGTGTGGAGTTTGCATGTTCTCCCTGTGTTTTCATGGGTTCTCTCCGGTTTGCCGGCTTCCTCCCACAGCCCAAAAACCTGCATGCTAGGTTGATTGGACATTCCAAATTGCCATTAGGAGTGAGTGTGAGTGTATGTGGTTGTTTGTCCTTGCGATGGACTGGCGGACTGTCCAGGGTGTACCTCGCCAATTGACCACATGGATAGGTTCCAGTTCTCCCTGCGAACCCCTTTGGGAATAAGTGGTAACGATAATGGATGGATGGAAATTAGTCCAAGGTAAACGCAAAAAATAAATCTGGGAATTTCAGTTAGAGGCCTCTTCAGCCTAGTTTCCAAGATGTAATTATTGTGTTTATCCGCAACATTATCGGTTCACAGTGGCAATTTTATCATTACTTACAGTTAAAATCGTTAAAAAAAAAATTCATGTCATCATTCAACTTGGCATTATTCAGATAAGTAAAATGCTTTTGAGATTTGCTTACACACACACATACATATAACATATATATTGTATGAGTCCTTTCAAGTTTAGACACAAGTATTTATACTTGTTATACTTCTTACTTTTGCCTTAATTGATTTTTTCAAAAATCCCTTTGTAACTACCTTAAGGATCAGTAGACTGTCAGTTCTATATAAATGTTTAGGTTTTATTTGGTTATGAAAAATTTAAGTCTGATCCGCACTCTGTTCTCCTGTTAAAAACCACAAAGGTTCTAGTTTAATTCAAAACAGGGTAGCCATGTTTAATTAATAAGCTAATGTAACTGACGGAAAGAAATATGTCAAGAAATAGTGAAAAGAGAAGGAAACGGAGATGCAGTTCTCAAATAGCTTATGTTTATTAAATTCCACTTGATTTAATTTGATTTGGACTTGATTTAATTTAATTGGATAGTATTTCATGTCCTTTTATTTTGAAGGCGAGTTTCCGGTCTGGTCCACCTTAACGTCTCTTGTTGTTAACCGTTCTGCTCATTCCATCAGGAGCCTCATCACAAACGCAGACGTTTATATGTCCGTCTCTCCGTCTGTGCGACTGTGGAAATATTTACATTTGTAGCACCCAGTTTTGGAGGAATTTAAAATGGCCAGCAGTTTTTCAAGAATACTGTCCTCCAAACGAAACTTGGGGATCCTGTCAGTAGTTGGGGGCTCCGTAACCGTTGGATTTCTTCTCCACCGGGAACATGTCAGCGCCGGAGTGCCTGTCCGTCGGACGTACCCCGCCAGGTAAGGTTTACCTCAGCGGCCTATTTCCCGTGAACGTTTTTTTAACGATACGCTATGTAATTACATGAATTAATTTCCAACATTTTTGTCGTTTTTTTCAATCGAATGCGGCGTCTTGTGTAAAGACAGCCGTTAGAAATATACACGTTAAAAAAACGGAAGAAAGGAATGGGTTGCCGTTAAATAATGCTTTGCTGCCACCGTTGAGATGGCGAAGATGTAACAAAAAAAAAAAAAATAGACCAAATCTAGCTTTGAACTATATTTTTAAGAACGCCTAAATGCACGAATACATCCAACCATTACAACGATAAGAAAGGCAATTTTTTCTTTTTAAGACGCCCAGCAGTCACAAAGGAACGACTGTTTCATAATTAGGCTTACAAACCAGAGAACAGAATCATAATGCAAGTTATGTCTAACTTAAAACACCTCATTAAACATATTCCTTTTACATTGTAAATTCAAAGCAAAGTGGAACGTACACTTTAAATGGAAACCTGAACTAAACAAGGGTTTTTACTGGATGCAGAGAGCTCAACAAAGACCTTTGTATCCTTTTTATACTTCAGAGATAGATACTATACTAATGAAGAGAGTGGGATATAAAGATAATCACTTTTTGTGGAAGGATGCTTACACAGTGGTAGGTACCTACTGCAAATCGGCATTAGTTTGGTGACTATCTGAGATATAGATATAGAAACTCAGCTGATTGTATAGACACCGGGCATATAGTTTGATTTCTTCCTAACATTTTGCATCTGGTTGACAAATTCATGTGTTTTGTTTTAGTTTTGTCTTCAATTAGTTATGTGTAGCCTTCTAAAGGACAGGTAGCAGACTGAAGGATGACAGACTGTTTAAACATTTTAAAGAAGCGAAGGATGCTTTTTCCGGCACCCACAATAATTTCCCCAGGGTTTTGTTTTAAAGCCCATTTTGTTGCAAGCAGAAATTTTATTTGACCTAAAAAAACAAAAAAAATGTTCAAACTGGTCAAATAAAGGCCAAATTAATATACAAACACATGCATACACGAGTATGCAAACTACAGTTGGCACACTTTCAAAATGTATGGAAAATTTGTCCAAACCTTTGATTGGTATTGTTATGCAAAAACTTTTTTTTCAACTACCAAGCAGTTTGTCCATGTGTAATCATCCACTTTGGCTATTAAATTCATAATTATGGTCCTCTGTAGCCAATTGCCTGCTGAAAACAGTGTATTTAACGATTGGCAGAATTACATGATTCTGTTATGTAATATACTGTGAGAGACCAAAGAGCGTTTTATCCTGATGTCAGATCAGTGCAGAAAACTAAAAACTATATGTCTTTAAAAAAAAATCTAATTGTAATTTGAGTATATAACTAATATAAATCTGTAGTATTCTCCTTCAGAATGAAATATTCAAAGTATCTAGGTGTAGATTATCAGTCTGATCAGCCATATCAGCCACAGCACTCCTATTAGCTTGAGTAAAGGCTGCTGGACTTATTCTTGAATCTTAAAGAAGCAGAACTGAAGAAGCCTTTCAGATGAAAGGTAAAATGTCTTCAACATCCATGAATAAGTCTTATCACTTTTACTCCAGCTCTCAAGATCCCTCAAAGTGTGCTGCCGGTGATACTTTACAGGACAGCCTATAACAGAGCATTTCTCCCTTCCCTGTGTGTGATCAGTGAATAGGTCTGTTGCATTGTTTGCAGCAGGGCCTACCTGTGTACGTGCCTGGTGAAAAATTCCTTCAGTGAATCACCCGATCTGCACCTGCGCACAATACACAGAACCACTGTTAACCCGTGACCACCATTTACAAACTTTAACAAAGATTTACAGGCCATCTTTTTTCTCAAATGTTTATTTGTGCAGTGCGGAGTACCCTGACCTGCGCAAACACAACAACTGCCTGGCCAGCAGCTTGACGCCTGCAATCTACGCCAAACTGTCTGATAAGGCCACTCCCAACGGATACACGTTGGATCAGGCCATTCAGACTGGTGTGGACAACCCAGGCCACCCGTTCATCAAGACTGTTGGCGTGGTGGCGGGAGACGAGGAGTCTTATGAGGTCAAACATAAATATGCAGGCCATTTGTAGGTGGGGGAGGGAGCACAGGTTATGCCTGTTCATACTGTTTGCCTTAGAATTTTTGAATTTCAGTCAACCAGATCTTTTCATTCAACCAGGACCTCTGACTCATCCTCTCAGACTGTCTGCCTCAATCAGGAGGCCTTCCTCCTCTGTTAGCTTATCTGCGTTGTTTGCAACAAAATATGCTAACTTAAATTGAATAAATAAGACATTTGGTCTCCTGGTTGAACACCACAAATTGTATAAATTTTATGTGGAAAAGTACATTTTTCTTTCTTGCTTTATATTATTTTTTTAATTAGAATAAGTAAACAGGCAAATTATTAAAGACCACTACAAGTCATGACTTACAACCTCATTCTAAATACTGCAGCCTGTCCTGCAACAACAAAATGAGGTTTCGTCGGGGAAAAGAGGCAGATTTAGAAGCCAGGACACCTCATTGGGGATTTTTGTAATAGCTGACTAAAATAAGTTGAAGTGCATTTCTAATTTGAATACCCACTTCATTTAGAGGCCATAATACCTTTACTTCTGACTGCAGTCAGCTAGTCTCTTTCATGTGATGCTAACAATGGATGGAACAAAGTGTGAAGTTATAGGCTCCAGACAAATGGTCGGAGCTCTAAGTGACTGAGCTGCAAATGAGCTCCACCATTTCCCCGAGTATTTTCTTAATTGACATTGACCTTATTACCTTAAAAACATTAGTTGGACAAAAGGTATGATACCGCAATTTTACATACGGTCAGTCCATCCCTTTTTCATGGTAGGATGGTAAGATGTTGAGCTTGGTATGGACATTTGATATATAATGGGAGTTTAAAGCTGACATTCATGCTGTCATCAACATTTCATTGTTTTCAGCCCACCAGAATTCTTTTTTAGTCAGACTGGAATACAGGACACCTGAATAAAGTACAAAAATTATAAGCCGAGTAAGAAGCTTTCGGAGGAATTTGGTCCAGATTTGACGTCATTGTAAAAGCTCAAAAGGCTAAAGACTTTTCTAATTTTACCTTAAATAAGCCCCTAATTTTTTATCAACATTTTCATATTTTTTTCTGAACACTCATAGATATTAACATCATATATATGTCTTTTGACACATGAAGACTTTCTACAGTATTTTCATGGCTTTTTGTAGAATCTCCTGGTCTTGATGATCCACAATCGACCCTCCTCCACTGATAATAGCCCTATTGTATCAGCTGGTACAGAATGCAGCGGCTTATCTTTTAAGACACACATAAGGGTGTATCTGGCTTCATGTACATTTTAAGACTGATTTGAAGGTTTTACTATTGACCTGTGAGGCAATTAAAATCCCCTTAGAATCATATGTGCCTTCTCTGTCCCTCATATCGACCAATCGTTTGCTTTTAGCCATCCAAAGGTCGAGGCTGATACATGGAGGAGAACCTGTTTTTACTGGTTTAGTCCTTAAATAATGTCACCAATAGCCTCTTTGTCCTTGACACTTCCTGGTTTTGGATCAATTAAATTGTGTTAAAGCTCTTGACTTTTATGTTCATATAGTTACTGCCCACTTTATTACTTCTGCTCTACAAAGACATTTGATCTGACTTAACTGAACATGCAACTTGAAATTTGTTTATGAAGAGCATTGAAATGAAAATAAAATACATTTTCATAGAACAACAAATGTAGTTTTGGAATCTCAATGCCTACTTTACTTAAATCCCCTACCAGGAATTTTAAGGTGAGATTAAAATATTTCTTCCTAATCAAAAGTCAGAACCATCGATCAGGTATGTGTGCTGACATTAATAATGTACACAGAATGTGCACATATATTTCTAACTATTTATTGGTGTGACTGTTTTAGGTATTTGCAGACTTGTTAAACCCCATCATCAAGGAAAGGCATAATGGCTATGACCCCTGCACCATGAAGCATCCAACAGACCTAGACTCCAGCAAGGTACTGCATAATTCATCTTGTTTGGAGAAAACAAACATGAACCTGTTGAGGTACAGGATTTTCAAAGGGAGAATCCAAAGTTCCGCATGAGTAAAGACAGTAATTATTACCTGACCCCTTAAAGTTTACTCAACTTCCTCTACAACAAAATGTGGAAATATTAAATGATTAATTCTTCCCGTTATGTGTGTTTTAGCTCCAATCAGGTCATTTAGATGAACGCTACGTGCTGTCCTCCAGGGTGAGAACAGGCCGCAGTATACGGGGTCTGAGCCTGCCCCCAGCCTGCACTCGAGCAGAGCGCAGAGAGGTGGAAAGGGTGGTGGTAGATGCCCTCGCTGGTCTAAAGGGTGACCTAACTGGGAGATACTATAGTCTCACCCAAATGACGGACGCTGAGCAGCAACAACTCATTGATGTGAGTGCAGCACAGATGTTTCTCTCTCTCTCATTCTGAAATGCAATTCACCAAGAGACTGTGCAGCTGAGCATTTCTGTGTCGTATCACTTCAAAATCGTCTCAGTTTGACACAACAGAAAATATAAAGTATATGAAACAGAAAACTCCGGGCCTTCGAGGTTTTGCTCTGCAGATTGTCAGCCAATAAACTTTGGGCCTTTTCTAAATGTAAATACAAAATGTGTAAAAGGTTTAGCTCAGGAAAGAGACGGGGAGCAGAGGGGACAATTTTATCACATGTGATAGGAAATGTGTCTGCGAAAGCATTTTTCTCCTACTCACAATGAGTCAGATCAACCAGATAATCTCAAAAGTAATACAATGCTCTCCGGGTGTTTGTGTCTAAAGTTTTGGAATGTTTTTGTTTCTTGCCAGATTCTCACAGATTATGTCTAAATAACAATAACAAACGTTTTTTCATTTTAATCGGTTTATGCCATGCCCTTTATTTGTGTGTCTAAATAGGACCACTTCTTGTTTGACAAACCGGTGTCACCCCTCCTAACCTGTGCAGGCATGGCTCGTGACTGGCCGGACGCCCGTGGTATTTGGTAAGCGGATATTGGAAGTCTCATCTCTACAGATAAAATGCATTTATGGCTTTTTTTGTGTGAGGCCAAACATTTTCAATTTTATTCCATTAAGAAAGAAATTCCCCAAAAAATTAAAATAGCTACCGATATTGTCCCTGACTGTGTTTCATATAGCAGCAACTTAGACAAGGTACTCTGTAATGCTTGTATTAACGAGGTCTTAGTTAAGGATCAAGAGTCAGGCTGAGCAGCCTTGTGTTCCCCCTAATCCTGCATCTCTACCAACGGGAAGCTGCTTCATTTTTGCTCTCATTTCCCTTTTTAGGAAGCACAGTTGACGTTAAAAGGAATAAAGTATTTCTTAAACTGTTATTTTAGGGAAAGTTTTCTATCAAAAACACAGCAGTTAGCTTAAGGGCCACAGTGACAATATGATGAAATGCACTGGTTAACTCACAGTGCTAAAGATTTTATGGGGTTGCTAAAAGTGTGCAAACACAATGCAAATGTGATAAAGCAGTGTAACCATAATCCTCCAAAAGTGTCATGAACAATAATGATTTGTAGTATTTCAGAAAGATCAGGCAACCCAGCAGTGGAGCCATATCCCAACATCGGGCCAACACTGTAACTGGTGGCCTGAAATATTGCCTGGTTGGTCAAATTAACACTTGTCTCATCAAGAAATTTCTGTGATAGACCTTCACATATATTCTCATTTACAACTTCTCATGGAACTCTTGACATCTTCAATACGGACACTGCAAGCTTTTTTACAACTAAAGCATGGAGAGATAGCAAGCAATCATGGACAGATGTTTGTCTGCCATAGATTTTAAAATGTTAGCAACTCGTCTGTCTTACAATGTTCAGAAAGAAGCTGTGCTTTCCTTCAAACCTCATTTTCTATAAGAACACTATTGGGCCAAGTGGTTTAAAGAGCTGGGGATAGTGCTCTAAAAAATGGTGTTTTGGGATCAGGGTCGCTTGTGGAAGAACACTGGTAAGGCTATCAAGGACACCAATGGTTTCATCTGTGTGAGTAGGTGACATAACCAGCTCAACAATATATTTCATTGTCATCAATAACTGCCATGCTTATTCTTCTTCCTGTACGTAGGAGCCAATCATAAGTGGAAGTATCCTCAATATTAACCAATTTTCAGTTGTTTCCTTTTTTCGCATCTGGGACTCCAAACATCTGTCTTGGAGTCCCAGTGGTTATACAGTATGTATGTGTTATGTTTGACAATAGATGAAAATATTGTAGGAAAAAAATGTCACACAGACAAAGACATACGAAATGGCTACATAAATAGGAGAGATGTAAACTTAGTGTTTAGCTATACAGGTTGCTGTATGAAATAATGAATCAGGCAGCTGTGTGTTTCACCACTCAAAAAGAATAGCTGTAATAAACAGCCAAAGACCTCCCCGTAACTCCCAAGCATCACAGCATAACTCAAAATAAACTCTTTCCATCCAGGCACAACAACGAGAAAACATTCCTGATTTGGATCAATGAGGAAGATCACACCAGGGTCATCTCCATGGAGAAGGGAGGAAACATGAAGAGAGTCTTTGAGAGGTTCTGCAGGGGCCTCAAGGAGGTAAGGTGTATGAGAATGGATAATTGAATATTAGCTAATATGTTAAGTAAAAATGGTGTAGTGGTGTAAATCAGAAAACCAAGTCCAGAGATCGAAGGACAACAAAGCTAATCATCATGATAAAATGACAAAACAAAAGCACACTTAAAAAGCAAGACAAGAAAAACGATAAACGGTGAACCCAGAATCCATGACACCAATCTTTCCAAAACAGTGGCACTAGACTAGATTGTGGAATCCTCTCCCTATATCTTATATATCTAGATTCTTTCAACTTACTGACACTTTTATTATAAAAGCTAGTTGTAGTTGTATGTATTCTATTGGGTCTCTTTTTCTAGAAACACACTTACTTGATAGTCATAAAAGTACACAGCTTCCTCTACTTAGCGTGTTGAAAAAGAATCAGATGTTGCTAGTTACTCACTGTTAGCGATGGTCTTCTGGTTAGGTGGAGCATCTGATCCAGGACAAGGGCTGGGAGTTCATGTGGAATGAGAGGCTTGGATATGTCCTCACCTGCCCATCCAATCTGGGCACAGGGCTCCGGGCTGGTGTCCACGTCAAACTGCCACTACTGAGCAAGGTAACAGAAAAAAGTCCTATGTCATGTAGAATATATTCTTATTCTTCACATTTTGGAGGTTTTAGGAGCTGCAGGGTTGGAACTACACACGGAGCTCATTTGTTCAATTTCCTGATAATTTTACAACATAAAGACTTGTTAAATTAGATTTTAGTAGTAGGCAGTATTTTCATACTGTTTCGGCACTCTACTGCCTCACAGGATCCCCGCTTCAGTAAGATTCTGGATAACCTGCGTCTTCAGAAGAGAGGGACGGGTGGAGTGGACACAGCAGCTGTGGGCGGCGTGTTCGACATCTCTAACCTGGACCGCCTGGGACATTCTGAGGTAATGCGACCTGGGCAGAGGTGCACAGATGTGTGAAAGGGAAAGATTGGAGTAAATTTTTCTATCAGACTATTTGATAAAAGATTTTTATATTAGCCAGTTGTCCCACCCTGTTATTGATGTGAATTTGGACCAAATGTGTCATTGTTGTGTCTAGGGTATTGCTGCCTGCCGTGCGACAGAGTATCACAGTACAATAGATGAATTCTCTGTTGTTTGTGTGGTTGCACACTTTGATTACTTAGAAAACAGAAATTGCTCCTTGTGATTTTTAGCCTGACTGCAGCATTCAACCCTAGGTTCACTGTGATGAAGACCAAAGATTTTACCTCTTATAGTATTACTGTTGCGTACCACTGCCTGACTCTGGGTGTTTGGGTCACTCAGGAACATTCCTGTATTGGCAATGAGTTTGAAGGAGTAAAATACAATAGCTTAAGAAACATTATTCCCTAATGGGATCGCATGGGGAATGGAGCCTAACCCAGTCAATGGGAAAGAGGCGGGGTATACCATGGCCAGTCCGCCAGTCCATCACAGGGCCACACAGAGACACACAAGGACGAACAGACACACAGAAAGGTCCTGGTTCCCCTGGGGACTCGAATCCAGAACCCCCTTGCTGTAAGGCGATGGTGCTAACACACCCTTTCACAAATATGGTCCTAAAAAGAACACAAAAAAAAACATTACTTTTCATACAAAAAGGCCATGAAGACAAGACAGACTGTTCTTTGCTATATTTGTGAGCAGTTTACGGTAGATTCACCAGTTGTTTAATCACAATATGAGACTAAATTGATTGCATCTTCTTTTTTACGTAGTTATGCAGCTGCTTAGCTCATCTTGCTTCGTGTTTTCATGTTTTAATTAACATGCAGCACAAATGTTGTGGTGTCTTTTTCTGACTCGGGAATACTTTTGACCTTCACTTGGAGGAGGCAGCATGTCATTGACGGTAGCCCTGACTATAATGTGCTATGATCTTTAAGACATGAACATTAACTAGTTCTCCTTGAACAGTATTTTACAAATTTACCTTTCCAATGAAGTCCCCCCTCCTTTTTTTTATTGAATGTATAAGTGTTACTCATGATGTGCCTCTTCCTCAGGTCCAGCTCGTGCAGACAGTGGTCGATGGCATCAACTACCTAATTGAGTGTGAGAAGAGACTGGAAAAACGCCAGGACATCAAGGTGCCCCCACCTATTAAACAATTTAAGTAGACACCCTACCATTTATGTCTGCACAGTCCTCTGGGCACTCACACATGCACAAACACCCTGTTCTGTGCCCATAAATATTATAAATAAGCCCCCCCCCCATTCCCTGAAATATACTCTATAATTTAAACAGTATATATCATTTTCAGCAATCTGGCAAAACACAAATTTGGTTGCATTAAGCCCTGTGATTACATTGAATCCAAGTTCCCATCCTAATATTGCTTAAAACAGCAGCTGCATTTACTGGGTTACAGAAGTGGTGGGTCTGTCTCTGCATGACCTGACAGTTTCTTTTGGCAATGCTCCCAAACACTCCTCATCTCACTATACCCGGTTCTTCCTGTCGCATGTCCCATGTTCAGACTGTATCCACCCCTACACTCTCCTACTCCTGTGTGCCGATCGCCTGGTATCTACTGCTTGTGTAGTCCATCCAGTTGTGCTATACTCTACATTGTGGGTTGTGTTTACATAGTTTATTTTTACCATTGTGAGTGTAGTTGCATGTAGATTTAAAGACAAAAGACTGAGGAGACTTGTGTTTTTAATAGGAATTGTTTGTATGGTGACACACTGGTGTCTTATTAAAAAATCTGTAACACACTGGCCGGGTTGGGCTCTGTACTGTACATGATGCAATGTTAATGGAGCTATAACTGAATGTCACACTGTAATGTATTTTATTAAAGAACTCATCTATTTAACAGTACCTCCTCTGCTATCTGTGTCTTATGTGTCACTGTATTATGGTTGGTCAAATTCTCTGTTGTCCAAGAGGGTTTTTTTTCATTAAATAAGAGGGCCAAACTTTAGGTAACCATGGTAACTAAGCTTTCAAGTCGTTATAGCAATCAGCATAGTTGCTTTGAGCCATGTGATGGAGTTCAGTCAGAGGCATAACAAAACTGTACTGTGCTTAACAGCTTATAATCACAAAGTTAAATCCCACTCAAACTTTTCTGTTGCCTCAAATAACAAGTGGCTCACAAGAATCCTGATAGAATATGAATCTATGTGGACAAAAACCTTTGGTCTGAGCAGTGGTGCAGAAATCTGAATCATCCAATGACAGTGACGGTAAAGATGGAAAGGCAGAAAACAAAACTTTCAGGGCGGACAAACCCTCAAATGGAAAAGGGGAAAAAATTCAAAGGAATGAAAAAGACTTTTCTCCGTGGTTAAAGACAGTAGGTGAGTTATGTCCATGTAGGTTTATAAATATCCAGGTTAGCAAAATCTACTTGTAAAATAACAGGTTGTTGTCTTACTACCATGTCCTCATCAGTATTTAAAATATAACAGATCATACCAAGAAACACAAAGGAACTAGTTTGTTGTTAAGTTTAACAGACAGTGAATAATAAAGCAGATAAATTAAGAGCTTGGTAATAAACTCAAGTTTATAAAAAAAACTTGAGTTTAAACTTGAGTCTTCCGCTGAAAAATGTTTTGAATGTGAGTCTTTGATTACAAAGCCTGAAGACGTCAGTGCTTTCTCTGCAGTGCAGGAAGCCTGTAAGCTGCTTTGTCCCACTGTCAGTGAATAGATATTTTCTTCCTCTTGTGCTGAAATGGACAGAAGTTTTTCCAGTGTTTCAGTCTGGCAGCTGATGGGACAACAAAGCGTTCAGTGTTGTTAGGAGACACAGTTGAGATGTCAAGGAGGTAGGTTGTGCGCAGGCATGAGGAATTCTGTTTCTGCTGGAAGAGCTGGACAAAGGCTCTGATGTCCAACATAAACACAGATTCCCTCCTCCTTCGCTTTCTGTGACTTGCAATTGTCAGAGCATGTCTGCAGCAAAACACTGCAAAAGTCATCACTCTTCTATCTTGTTCCAAAAATGACTGAGGAGCCTACAGGTTGTCATGGCAACCACTTTAGAAGAAGTGGGGCTCAGACTGGGGTGGAAGGAGTGGCCTTATGAGTACAGAAAGCTAATCTTTACAGCATTGGTGAATTCTGAAGGGACACAGCTTTTAATCATACTTGATACTCAACTCTTCTTCCCCATATGAATAAAAGGGAAGTGTTTTATTTGTTGTTTTTTATACTATGCTCTATCCTAGTGTTTTGTTCCCTCCTCAGTTGTCAGTTTAAATTAAACAGCAGCAGGTCTGAAAAAAAGCAACACAGGTCAAAAGGAGTTGTTCTTCATCAATGGAGTTGCCAACTGTGAGCCACAGAGATTAAAGGACTTTCTGAAGTATTGTTGGTGTATTTAAGAAAGAAAATGCTGTTACAGGTTAGTATGAATGATTTATGTATGCAACAGCCAGCAAAAATATATAAACCTCAACCAAACCCTACCTAGTTGTGAAAAGACACAGATTTTTTTAGTATCCAACAATCAAAGAAGGATGGATAACTCAAAATCAGCACCACACTAAGAAGCAGAACATTCTGGCAGTGAATGACTGCTGAGCTGGAGTAAATATCCTGTGTTAGAGAAACTTAAGAACCACAGGTAGCCCTATTTCACCAAAGAGGAACCATTGATTTAACATCAGATTGAAAAGTTCCTCACCCGCACAAAGCACGAAGGGTGTGTGCTGTGCTGTCATCACCACACCCTGTACAAAGCAAACAGATACGTTTAAGCTTGAGTCGCAGACAAACCCTGCGTGCACAAAGGTGAGAGGGATTAGACAGAAAGGCCTCCGCTGACATGATTTTTGGTTTAGGTTTTAAAAAATCATAAGGAAGAATTTTTTGTTTTCCATTGAGAAAAGTTGTTTGCATTATTTTGAACTTTATTGTATATTTTCTAACCTTCTTTTTAAACTCGATTGTAGAGTAGCTTATTTCAAGTACATAAAAACATGATCTTGATTGTCACTGCATTTCTCAGAGGAAAACACAAGTCTCTTTTTTTAATTAGTAACAATATTGATAAAAGAACCTGTTGAGATCAAGGGTTTTCTTCTTAAGAAGTTTGAATGTATGAATTACAAAAGTTTTTGAGTATATCTAAAATGAATAAAATTATGACAAGAAGGCTTACATAGTATTCTCAGTCTCTAATATTATTTTATGGTCAGAGAGCTTCATCTGCTGGCAGTGTAATGCAACTGCAAGTTTTAAGGGAAAAAGGGAAGTTGGGCTGTTTTTTTAAATCATAAATATTATATTTGTTCTGATTTGGATAGATTAAATTTAATCATATTTGATCATTAGAAATCATATATGTATTTGTTAGTTAAAACCTACATTGAAGACTTGTGATCAAGAGGTTTTGGTCCTCCATCCTCAAAAATAAGAGAAGCCAATGGTGGTATTTATAAAATGTGCATCCAGGATAAAAACCTTTCTCATTATCAGTACATACTATAATAATAATTTGCCTGAACACTTGTTTGTCCAACCAGATTATGTCACACAGACTTGCATATCAGCAGGATCATAAGTGTACTTGACTTTTTCTCTGACATCTCAGCCAGCCTAAGTTCTGGGACAATAGAGCATTCTCTGTTACAACATGGATGGATAAATATGGTTGCCAACTGGACTGGTGTCTGAAGTGATGGCATAATTCACTCTATTAAACATTTCACCAAACTACATCAGAACATACCTAACCCTCAGGAAAAGAGCTGTCTATTAATAGAATAACTTTTTGTCTCATTATTTGAATATAAGTAGGTTTGGGAACCTTTCCTAAGGTTGCATGTTGTTTTGTAGTCATTCACCAAGGAATAGTTTATTACAATATCTATCCATCCATCCATCCATTTTCTGAACCTCTTATTCCCATATGGGGTCGCCGGGGGGACTGGAATCTATCCCAGTATTCAATGGGGGGTCCACCAGTCCATCGCAGGGCTATTACAATATTATTATAATTTCGGGGATCAGCCAATGTATATTTCCAACAAAAGAAAAAAACGTATATATGTGTCAGCCCACTAAACTATGAAACACTTTGAGTTACTTGCACCTCATCAATTGCCCACAATCTTTAGAAGTCAACTAATAACAACATCACTTCCGGGTATTAGAGCGGCGTTTTGATTTTCCCGAGTTGTTATTGGTTACAAACAGTTAAAGTTCTTATTTTCTGACTTCTTATTGGCTAATTAATGAAGAGTGACACGATAAACAGACCAATAGGAGGATGCCACACTGTGGTTAGGAGAGGTCCCGCTGCCTGTGAACATCTTCGACGCCTCCACCTCTTTCTCTTTCTTTATAGTCCAGTCTGCGGCGGCCCCATTCGGGTATCTAGCAGTTTTGACGTTGACATTGCTAAGGGTCTGAAGAGGGCCAGCCAGGAACCCCGTCTGCAAATAAAGCTTTTTTGTAATTAAAGTGAAGTCTTGTAGCTAGTATCGTGTGCGATGTGGAGGTTTATCTTTTTGGCCGCTCTCGCCGGGTGTACTCAGGCCAGTGATGTACTGGAGTACACGGATGACGATTTCGAAAGCAAGATTGGGGACCATGAACTCATTCTTGTGGAATTTTTTGCACCTTGGTGAGTCTTGCCATACTTTATTCAAAGTATTTCAAGCAGTAGCACAGTGCAGTAGTAGTTAGCACATGTAGAAAGCAGTTCCGCTAGCTTACGTGCTCTGTGGCAGAGGGACGTTCACTAGTGGAGCTCGTTATACTGTAAATATTTGCCCCTTTTTTTAGAAATAGAAAAAATAACAATTTTACGAATCAATTTGTCATTGAAAAGAAATAGGGTTTAGTGACTTTTTCAGCTCATTGTCTTGAGATCAAACATTAGCAAATTTGCTAATGCTAATTCTAATGCTGCCATCAGAATTGCTCTGTTCGCAGCAAAAATCGGAAATTCCCCAAACTACAGAGGTTTAATTATACATGTATGTTTCAATATATATATATATATAAAAAAAATACAAGGTGGGTTTTTAATTGATCTTATCTTTTCTTTTCTGTGAAAGCTACTTGCGAATAAGGCTGTAAGGAAGTTAGGGGGTGTGTCTTTTCGTTGTTGTAATCATCCTATTGGCTGTTGAAGTTTTGGTGTCCAACTCCAATAGGTTTAAACGAAAAATGACGTCTTTCCACGGTGCCAAACTTGAAAGTTAAACACTTGTCAAAAAATGTTGTCTAAAAGTTTCAACTTATTTCCGTATATCGTTGTATGCATTTCTATTGCGTTTGGCTTAACGGTAGCATAGGGAACAATTCGATTATTTATTGTTTAAACCTATATATGTTTAAACCTATATATATGTGCGATAAATTTGACGTAATTTTTGACAAAGTGGCATTTAAATGTCTTATTGAACTTCTGGTGTTTAGGGGTATCAATTTCCATTAATTGAAGTTTACCCTAAAGGTTTTTCGCTCGGCTTCCCCAGGACATGTAACTCATTCTCCTGTTTGACTTAAACATATCCTCTTTCCTTTAGGTGTGGTCATTGTAAACGTCTTGCACCTGAGTACGAAGCAGCAGCCACACGTCTGAAAGGCATTGTTTCAGTGGCCAAGGTATTCACTGATGCAGTTCGCTCCTTTGTGGTGAGGTTTTCTGAAGTGCAATGTTCAAGAAATGAATTATTTCCATCTTTTAGGTTGACTGCACAGCTAACAGTAACACATGCAGCAAATATGGTGTCAGTGGCTATCCAACCCTTAAGATCTTTAGGGATGGAGAGGAATCGGGCCCCTATGACGGGCCGAGGACAGCAGGTATTTTACTCCCGTCATCACAAAGGTCATTGAAATTGGCATATATCTTACCCTGTATGGTAATTCAGCACTTCTCCTGGTCTCCTCTGCCTTCGGTCTGCCTTTCCTTCTGGTTTTGTCTGTTAAGATGGGATTGTCAGTTTCCTGAAGAAGCAAGCTGGCCCAGCTTCTGTGGAGCTCAAGACTGATGCAGATTTTGAGAAGTTTTTGGCAGATCAAGATGCAAGCGTTGTTGGTGAGTTGTCTTGTTTGTTTGTTTTTTAAAGTTTATTTTGAGTAAACGCTACTTCGTCCTGACAGTTTAAATGTATTCAAAGTATTGGCTGAAAATGATATGTTACGTGCCATGATGCAATTAGAAGTTTTAGCACTGCAGTGACAAAGCTCTTTTTGAGCAGTGAGTTTGAGTGCTGCTCCCTGACTGAATGTCTTTCCCAGGGTTCTTTGCTGATGACAAGAGCACAGCACAGGCTGCATTCCTTAAGGCAGCCAGTGCCATGAGGGACAACTATCGCTTTGCTCACACCAACTCTGAAGCTCTCCTCCAAAGCAACGGCATTGATGGAGAGTGAGTACGCCTGTAACAGTCTATAGGTATAAACCATCCAACGTCAGTGTGGCAGTTGTGGATTTGTAAGATCGCAATGGTGATGATTTTTCTCTTTTTCCGCAGGGGTGTAATCCTGTTCCGTCCACCACGCCTCAACAACAAGTTTGAAGACAGTTCAGTCAAATTCAGTGATGACAAATTCACCCACAACAAAATTAAGGGATTCATCCAGGACAACATGTGAGTGGTCCAAATCCACATCTAGCCTTCAAGCATGCACCAGTTACACAGCAGAAACAATAGGTTTTTATTTCCAGGCCTGGATATCTGGTCGTGGGATACGCCGCCATTGTGATATTGCATATTTACAAGTTTTGGTTCAGCCAGCAGAGAACCACTTACAGTCTTTCCTTGACAAGTAAATAGGGGCAACAACCAAGTGGACAAACAATAATTTTTTTGTCCCACTGAAGAACCAATAAGTTATGATCCCTGGTCTCTTTTTTTAATTTTTTTTTCCCCTGAAGATAACCAAATCACCTACATGTATGCATGAGGATGTTGGCTAAGGAGGGGGAGTATAGGAACCAATTCTGTGCAAAGGAGACCTTAGATATTTCTGACTCTGTCTGAGTGATACCATGCTGTGCAACTTTGTTGCTTGACCGATATGCGTTTCTCTGTAAATTAATTCCATGTCCCTTTTCCCTCCAACTCAGCTTTGGAATCTGTCCCCACATGACGGATGACAACAAAGACCAGCTGAAGGGGAAAGACCTGCTGGTGGCTTATTATGATGTTGATTATGACAAAAACCCCAAAGGGTCTAACTACTGGAGGAACAGGTCGGTGTTTCCCTAAGGCTTCACTTTGCCAGCATGATGCTGTTGCAGTTGAGTCCTTATCTCAAATGTAACCACCTGTTATTTGGTTGGTTTTCCATTTTTAACTATTTGTGAAGCTGTTATGCAGATTCTAAAATACGTTGTGGCAGTGTCTGCAACACCATTTTTTGTTTCATGTTATTTTGCCTCCTGTCGGCTGCATAACTGGAAGCAAATAACTGAGTAAAATGAATCACGTTTTAGGGTGATGAAGGTGGCAAAAAGCTTCCTGGATCAGGGAAAGAAGTTGAACTTTGCCGTGGCCAACAAGAACGTGTTCAACCATGAGGTGTCTGAGTTCGGCTTGGACACCAGCTCAGGAGAACTGCCCATTGTGGCCATCCGCACCGCCAAAGGAGACAAATTCGTTATGACTGAGGAGTTCTCGTAAGTTAAAACAACCGACAAAGTCACACTTCAGGCAGCGAAACTCATTGCTATGTGGAGAGGGTGTGAGTCTGAATGACTTATCCGTATTCTGCCAAGAGCAGCATAAAGAGTGTATGACATAAAGACAAATGTGTACAGCAAAATTTAGACATTATCTTCATTGTGGTCCATGTTCTTCTCTCCAGCCCCACTTATGTATTTTTAATCTTTCCCCCCCCCCCCCCCCTTTGCTGTTCTTTCAACAGCCGAGATGGTAAAGCTCTGGAGCGTTTCCTGCAGGACTACTTTGATGGCAAATTGAAGCGCTACCTCAAATCAGAACCCATTCCCGAGAACAACGACGGACCTGTTAAGGTGGGGCAACTGTCAGTTCCTTCATAAACCTGATTGAGACCACTTGTAGGTTCCCGGTAAGGTGCACATAGTTATTCTGAGAGCTTCAGACAGTTCTCTCTGTTACACACTCTCTGAATACCAGTATTGAGTAGATGTTCAGTAGAAGAAGGCTACAGATTTTTAAGTTAGCGTTTTTAGGTGAAAAGGTGCTAAACCTTTTTTTTTTTTTTTAAGGCTAGAAGTGGAATAAATGAGTGTACACCAGCAAAAATGTGAAGCAAGAAGGATGGAATAGTACACTCAGTCTACTGTTGCAGTGGATTTTCGCTAAATTGGTCAATACGCTATCCCTGACTGAAAATAACACTGCCTCAAATGCTGCCAGTAGGGTTGGGGGCTGTTGAGAGGATTCAGAATAAAAAATGTCAGGGACCCTTGAGTTTTTTTTTTAAATTTGATTTATTTGTTTAGATGGTGAAGTTGTAACTTTTTTTTTTTTTTTTTTTAGGTCTTGGTGGCAGAGAATTTTGACTCCATTGTCAACGACGACAACAAAGACGTGCTGATTGAATTCTATGCTCCGTGGTGCGGACACTGCAAGAGCCTGGAGCCCAAGTACAATGAGCTGGGAGAGAAGGTAGGACCAGGAGTGCTTTTGTGCCATTTAGGATTTCTTGAGAAAGGTGAAATGCTCATTTTCAGACTTGCTCAAAATGTGGTCGAACTTTGATTTGCAGAGACAATTCTGACAGTAAAACAAAACATTTCATGTCTGAGTCAACGGATTGTTTATTCTTTGGTCTGCATCCCAGAAACAATATATTAAAACTTAGACTTATTGGGTTGTTTTCTGCCTCAACAGCTGGCCGATGATCCCAACGTTGTCATTGCCAAGATGGATGCCACCGCCAATGATGTGCCATCTCCTTATGAAGTCAGCGGGTGAGTCCCTGAGGCCTTAACAAAGTTTAAAGCATCTGAGATGTTCGAAATCCAGCCTTTTTACATTGTTTCAGCAGTTAAAACACATTTGATGCATTAATTGCATATCTTCACCTAATTTGAAACTCATCATTGTCTGATAGTCTGATATGATGCTTCACTGAGGTCAATTCTAATTTCTGTTCCAGTTTCCCAACAATCTACTTCTCTCCAGCTGGACGTAAAATGAGCCCAAAGAGATATGAGGTGAATTTCTGCTCTCATACACATCATTGGACTGATTTTGTCTTCACCCTGCTGACCATCCTTTACATTGCCTTTCATTGCAGGGGGGACGTGAGGTGAGCGACTTCATCTCTTACCTGAAGAGAGAAGCTTCCAACCCCTTGGTGATGCAGGAGGAGCCCAAGAAGAAGAAAAAGCAGGGCAAGCCAGAGCTATAAAAGCCTCCAAACAGAAACTCGACACCTCCCCATACCAAGAGAAGAAGGAGGCTTGGGGAAAGAGGAAGAACTAAATTATATTCCACGCATAGTGAACTACCGAATGCTCTGAAGCCGAATTCAAAAATGCCCGGCCTTCCCTTTAGGTCCTCTGCTGCTCTGGGAATACTGTGGAAAGTGAAGAGGTGGTGGCCAGGGTCTGCCCAATGCTTAAAAACTAAATTTTTAGGGAAGAGGGAACAACTTTTGAAAAATTGAGATTTCTATTTCCTCTGGTCTGTCTACTACACCTCAGACTGATGCACTTTGGTTTGACACCAGTTTCCAGTCATCTGTCAGTTTTCTTTTTCTTTTTTCTCGTCATCACTGTTGATTTTTTTTTTCTTTCTTTTGTAACCGGTCCTTTTTTGTTTTTGTACATTTGGAAGGATTGTGAAATAAAAAGGCCCACAAAACCAAAATGACCCAGTCAATCTAATGTGTGTTATTTGGTCATGGTTGACATTAAATGTTTGAACAGATTCAATTCAATTTTTCAATTTTATTTATATAGCGCCACATCACAACAACAGTTGTCTCACAGCGCTTTCCAAACAGAGCAGGTCAGACCCTACTCTGAAGTTAACTACAGAAACCCAACAATTCCCAGATGTAATATTTAGCATATTGTTGTACTTGCAATGGTATTTTTTTTTTTTTTTTTTTTTTCCATGTTTATTTTTCTTTGTAGACTTCAAAATGCATTGAATAAATCGACTTGGGAATTAGTTAAAACGCTAAGATCAAGATGGTTTTATCACAAGTCGATTTGGAACAGTAATGGTTAAGTTGCTTAATCAGAAAAGCATTAAAAAAATAAGCCACACACTATAGTCAAAAGATTCGCAGTGTGCTTCTTAAAGTACACATTACTAACCCGAAGTTTTCTAGAAATATAGTGATTTTAAAATGCATTACTTGTGTTTTGCGTAATATTGCGGCAAGCCCTTAGAGGGCGCCCCTATGATTTTGTCAGTGAAATTAAACGAAGGAGAGCCAATCAGGTTGAGCCTCGAGGGAACTTGCCCAGACGTGTTCAGCTGGTACACGTGCTCTATAAGAAGGTACGTATTAATGTAGCCTTTTGCTTTTGACTTAGTGGTAACTCATTATTGACGTCTTCGTGTTCATGGCCGTGTCGTTTGGGCTTTCTTTGTTTTTCCTATACCAATGAAGCGATGTGTAGTTTTTTTCTAAGTGTTTTAAGCTAAGCTAGCATTATGTCACTTTTTTTTGTTTTGTTTTCAACGAGAGTCAAATCCTGTTTAAATGCTTAACAATCACAATGTACGTAAGGTATGGCTCACGTCGAACACTTAAATAAACCATTACCGATTTTTTAACCTAAAATTTGAGATCGCTTTTAATTAGATTTGGAAGTTTAGCTCGTCATGTGGGTAGTTCTGAGCCCTCAGTCAAATCCAAGGCCTGTTTAGATGAATATAACTTCATTCTCGGACGTTTCTTTGAGCTGTTTGTGCATTATATAATATATTGACATTCTACAAGAGGATCAAAGATGATCAAAGCTTGTAACCAAAAGCTCAGTAACGATCAAAGGAACGTGCAACTGTTGACGGATGTGTCCACTACTCCCCCATAATATGATCGATATTAGGTATAGGTGTCAGTTGCTTAAGTTCTTACTATTTACTTCTGTTAATGGTACAACTTTGTGTATGTGGTCCTCACATTGCACGATATTTTTTTGTTTAGTTTTTTTTACCAACATGGGTGACCAAAGGCAGGATATTTCCTTTCAATGTCAGTGTATGAATTGCATATTCTATTTTTCTATTCATATCTTGGGTTTGTTTTTTCAGACATGACAAGGCCTACTTCAACGTCAGATGATCGGGGAGCTGTTGAAAAAGAATAATAAAGCCTTCTCTTGGGGACTTCTTGGCAACCACCAATATTTCTGCAAGAAAGCTATGATGATCAGTGCTATGGAAGATGCAAAAGCCAGGAAGGAACACCACCACAAGACCATACATTTTAACAAAAGGATGAAAAGAGCAGACACTTCCCATGACCCATTGGTAACAAATGAACCAATAAAGAAAGCCAAATTGAGTGATCCAGATCTGGAAAATCAAAGCATTTTGAACTCCAAAAGCATTGAAGTCACAAGATTAGGACCATCTGCCTCTTTACCCGACCACCAAAACTTAATGACCACCCTCAGAGAAAGCTGGGAGGTGGACAGCGGGTTCTGCTCTGAAGCCAGCCCTCCAGCCAGCGGTCGGAGCTCGCCGTGGTTCAGCACATGCCCGACCTCAGTGGTGGCAATGGACTGTGAAATGGTGGGGACAGGACCTGGCGCACGATGCAGCGAGGTAGCCCGCTGCAGCATCCTGGACTACCATGGAAACGTGTTGTACGACAAATACATCAGGCCATGTCAGCCCGTCACTGACTTCAGGACTCGTTGGAGCGGCATCCAAAGGCATCACCTTCACGACGCCACACCCTTCATTCAGGCCAGAGAAGAGGTAAGGCCCGCTTCCTTCAGATGGATCCGTCCCCTCATTCTTGGTTATGCAGAAATAGGATAAGTTGAGACGCTAAATAGCTGATTCACATAATACAATGATTGCTTTCTCTGTGAATTTGGTGTCTGGCTAGTTTGTGACGGAATATGTGAGTTAAACAATAAACAATGTTGTCGGATTATTGTTTGATTATGTCTTTTGATTATATTGTGCAGATCCTCAGGATACTGGAAGGCAAAGTTGTCGTGGGCCACTCTATCTACAACGACTTTGAGGTGCTGGACATTATTCATCCTGGTCACATGGTCAGGGACACGTGCACAACGCGTCTCCTCAGCCGGTTGGCCGGTTTTCCTTGCGGACGCTGCCCCTCCCTTAAAATCCTCTCCTGCAAGCTGCTGAACAGGAAAATACAGGTGAGTGCGATAACCATGTTTAATTCTTAATTCATAAGTGGTATGTGATATATGGTAGGTGCAATTAACAAGCAAGGCTTTTCATCTTTCACAGGCTGGAAGGAGAGGCCACTCTTCAGTGGAGGACGCTCTGGCTTCCCTTGACCTCTACAAGCTGGTGGAGGGTGAATGGGAGCAGGAGATACAGAGAAAACTGACAGACAACAACGCCCCAAGCGAGCCAAGCTATGCCTCATCAAACCACTACATGCAGGACGAGTACTGGCCCTGTGAAGTCACAGGAGACCGACAATGAGGGAAAGATGTTAGACTGTTTTTAAGGGAAATGCATTGAGTCCCCATTTGCATCACGATGCACATTTATGAGAGCAGAACTATATATTTAATGCGAAACCTCAGGCAGTTAAAGATATATAAAAGGAAGCAGGGAGCTCAAGATGTGGAGGGAGAAATAAGAACACTTTAACTTATTACTTTAACCAGTTATTTCAGGACCTTTTTGCTGTAAGGAAAGATATTTGGTCTCAAAGACATGAATAACCAACTTAGTTGGTGCTTAGTGAAAACTTGAAATACCACAGGGGATCATGTTATTTACAAAGTTTGAGGTACCTTACTTGAAATAGCAACTGAGTGTTTCTCTATAGTAGACTATTTAATACAAAAATAGGCTTTGATATTGACATTTGTGACACTGCATTAGGAGCAAAACCGCTTTCTGATAGGGAGGACTTTTAAATCTGCAGGGCAGAACTTCTATATGTTAGTATAGGTCCATTAGTCCAAACCCGCTCAGGTCTGTGTGGCTCTCTTTCTTTAGCAGTTTGCTAGAATTTTAAACCTGAGATGATAACAATCCTTGCGTTGTTGTACGAGCCCACAGGAACAGCTTGTTAAAATTCACTGCCAGAAGAGGGAGACAGAAGTTCTGCACTGCAGGTTCTTTCCAGGGTTTCTAATGTTGTGACACTTCTATGTTCAGGTTTCACGACCTCTGGTTGTAAGCTGCTCTTTAATTAATAAAGCATGTGGAAATTTGAGCTATTTAATGCGTGTCTTTAGGTTCTGAAACCTCAAAAGCTAAAAAGTAGAAACACTGCAAAGTATCCAGACATACGTCAGCAAAAAGGAAAAAGGCCATTTAATATAATTAGGAAAAAGAAAAAAACTCAGTAGAACTCAGTGTTCTACTTGATGAAAACCTTTTTTGTTAATACAATTTAGAGAACTCAGCTTATCACCAGAACAGTTTATCAGCAGGAGGAAATTATGTTTTGTTGGTGGTTTGTTACACATGGCATTTCCTCATATCAAGGCAAGAGTGATACAGGAGGTTTGAGAGTGGCTACTTATTAAATACTAAAAACATGCGACCTGATTCACAAACAAATCAGCAGCTGCAAGCATTTCAAACAAAGCCGTGACTATACTGGTACAGGGCAAAGTTTTGGGAAGTGTCCAAACCTGCTAGTGAGAGATTGTCACAAATACTGGTTCAGTACGTGACAAAATTTTGCGGCATCATGTCCAAACAGGCAATCAAATCTGCCTCTGTAAGGCTGCGCTGATCTAGAATAGATACATTTTTTTTACCTTTAAAATATTTCAGTTCTTTCTGCATGTTTTGATGCCACAAATGTGCAGCAGCTTACAATGTAACGTTCTCAGTGTGACAGCAGAATATGATGCTATCAGGGACACATAAACTGTTGGGGACGCTGTGTGTTCTGGGTTTTAGTTCAGCATTCTGTCAATGGTTTTGCATTTAGGCTTCAGCTCCTCTGTTTTCATTGAAACCTACATGTGCACGCACATACACATCTAAAAGCTGGGGTTAAAGCAAAGGCTTCAGCGAAGAACAGAGTATTGCATTGTTTACCCAATCCATCTAATTTTGCTCCCCAAATCGCTTTATTGAGCTGATCAAACCCGATTTTGCAGATTACTGGCAGACTGCCAGCACTTTTGTCACTGCATCAGGGGGAAAACGTGCGTCAGTGACACTCGGACCTCCAGGGTCATAAGGGGTAAATGGGCAACTTTCAAATATGAACTTTGCAATGCCTGATGAGGGTGTGCTCAGGCTGTGCACTTGTTAGACTAAAAGGAGATCAGATCATTGTTCAGATGGAGGCTCAGAAAGCAACAGATGGATCCATGCAACCACTACTTTGGTTGCATCCAGTGCCACTTACTTGAATTTTTCTGTTTGTTCTCTAAAATGAGATTGTTTATGTAGGTATTCAGCATTTCTGAAAATAAATCTATGTCTCCGTGGGATGGATTTTCTGAACAGCAGCTAAAGAATTTTAGCTAAACTATTGTGCGTCACACAAATGGACATTCACATGGTTGTTTCCTTTTGCATGCTCAGATAAGTTATAAAGAATGTTCTTGTTATGTTACTGAGCAATTTAACCCATTCACCATCAGTCCCCCGCTTAAAACACGGGTGTCTATGGAACACATACTATCCCATATCCTGTTTTCCAGCCATGCCTTTGTAGCGTTGACTATATCTGACAGTTTGACTAAGTTTGATACAATACAAACAGAGTTCAGCCTATTTAGTAACAATAAACCAGAAAAAAAAATCTAAATGTGACTTCAGCCCAGAACATGAACTGCAGCTATCCTGTAGCAATCTCATCAACACTCAGCGGTAATTATAGAGGAAGTGAGCCTCTGTGGATTGTTTGAGAGAGGACTTTAATTACATAAACCTTTCTGGTCAGGGTGGGCTGTACACATATGCACATATGCACAATTCAGCTTTGGAGGTGACTGTCACGTGCGCTGTGTTACAGTGCTCTCTGAGCTTAGACATGCATATGTGAGAACTAATCTGCTCACTGGGGCCTGTGGATAGTTTAAGGGGCCATGTTTACAGATATGAGTGCACCTGAGTCATAATACAAATCCTGGTGGGGGGCTGGATGTTCTCTCTCATGTGTATGTGGAAATGTGCATTAAGATTGACGTTAGATTTGCGGTCTTGTTTTTGCAGCTTCTCCCTCTTGATATGTTTTTCTATTTGCCTTTTGTTTGTCAGATGGAAAAAAAACCCCCACAAAACCCACAGTGATTCTAGTCCGATGGTAACTCGATAGTAGAGCATGTCAAAGGCAGCAGAATGGAACCCCGTGCGAAGCTAAGAGGCGAAGTGAAATGATTCTGTTCTGTCTAAAATACTTATTGGCACATTTGCCTTATCAATAGCACTAAGATAAGGTATAATATCACTGATGAATAACCAGACTGATGTCACTCACTCCATAATTAATCTAAACGCGTGATGACCACTAAAATGGCGGCTCCACCTCCCTTGCCCCCTAACACTTTCACGTTGCAGAATACACAGTTACAATGGTCACTTGTCCCTCCATTCAATTCCTCCTGGAATGCCTCTGACCCCCCCCATCGCCCTCCCCCCCAACCCCAAAAAACACTTTAAGTCTATACTCCACATTACATCATTTAAAATTTGCCCTGGACCTCCCTTCCATCACAGGAGTGCCATTGCCATTGGCTGGACAATATCAGCATCCACCCCCACTTTCACAGTAATTGAAAGGAAAAAGGGAATTTGTTAGGTGTAATCTTTTGTGACGCCATTAATCCCCAGCACTACAAATCACAGGTCCCGTCCACCTCGGGTCCACACAGACCACTGTGACTCCCGGCCAGCTGCCCAGCTGCTTCACATCTGCTTCAGGTAGGACTTGGAAAATGCCTCTCACCCTCTTTAAATGACTTGGAAATTCTAGAACTTTGAAACTACTCCACTGTATTTAAGGGGCCGACACTGATGTTTAAAGCGTAGTGGTATAATTTTTGCTTTCTGAAAATAGTCAGCTTTATATTATGTTTTATTATGTAACACGTTTCTACTAATGGTTATTTAGCAAATGCACAAATATATGAAACAAAACCGTAGTTGTACATAAAGATGCCCTTTGTGTGTGCATACTAAACACAGTTCAGTCCAGGACCGCCGCTCTGAGCCTGTTTATTAATTAAAACAAATTACTGCCAGCTTCAAATCTCTGAGTAAATCACCCAGAAATGGGCAAGTTCCAAATATAGCATATTCAAGGTACTCTTTGTGGGCAGGCATAATGGGATGAAGGGAGATTAATACTGAGCACAATCACGCACCCGTTCTTTTATGCACTGAGAAACCCAAATTTATTTGATTTTCTTTATTTTCCAGACCCACCAAAGCTGATTTGAAGAGCCGAAAACATGGCTGTTGTTGTAAGTTTTTACTTGTTTGAGACATTTTACAGAATTTCCTCTAACAGCCGTGTTAAAGTTCCTCATCTTGCTCCTTCACAAACAGCTGCAGCTCAACATTTCCCAAGGCCAAAGCCCTTTGTCATGGATGCCGTCAACAGCTACAGTTGCCTGAGCTGCTAATCTTTGATCCCTGTCTCAGACCCACTTTTCGTCCTTACTACGTATTTACAGGCTTTACAGGACTCATGTGAGAAAGATTAACCAGACACTGAGGCCTATTGATTATGGTCCTGTTGCTGGTGGATAGGCATTCTGAGTCACTGGGATTAGGAATCTCTCAAAGCACAGCACAACTGAGTCATGTGATAGAAATTACGTCTGGAGACTTTTAACTTTTACTCAAAGGTTTGCGTAACTCATTTTCCTTTTCCTTTTTCACTTTCCTCTTTGGTAAGAATTTGTAATAGGTTTTATCACGGAAAACAGCACCTTTAGATATTTATAAGCACCGGTGAAATACGTTGTGGCATAGATGTGTTTCTTTTTCCATCAGCCATTATGAAGCTCACATCAGTACACTCACTTTGAGACGCAGATGACAATAACAATATAAAATATTAACATGTTTCTTTTCAACGTGCCTCCAAGCAGGGAGTACATACTCATAATATCAGTGTCATAGAGGAGGAATGCCAAAATATATTATCTAGACCTGTATGTTCCCCGAACAGCAGGGGGAAAATAGCCCATTAATTTATTCTGGGTTTTTAATCCATTTTTATGTGTTCAAATGTTCCAGGTGATGTTATCTGAGATGACTTCATGTCAATTTTTACTTTATGACAAATGTAATTGGGCAACATTAAACATGTCACTTAAACAATTCACAACATAAACATTGTTAACTATAGAACATCTTCTGAAATGCTTTATCTTTTAGTTTTCCTTTGGAGTTAATGACATGGTGTATCACTTTACTGTCTCCACTCAGAGTGGAACTTACCGCATGGTCTCTGAAGAGGAGCAGGCTCTCAGGGCCAAGCTGGAACGTCTCACTGTCAAGGATCACGGGCCAGTGTTTGAACCATCGTCCAATGTGCCAGACCACACCAGGCAGAAGGTAGAATTATCTTTTTTTTTTTACTGGCATACAAAATCCAATCGGAACCTAAGAAGCAAGGGCAGGTGGTTTATTTAGGTAGAAAAGGTTGTTTATTTAATATTAATCTCTACTGCTGACGTTGGCTTTTAGTATTTGTGGAGAACAAGGTGATTTGAGAATCTAAAAGTCTAGATTTCTATTGAATGGCTCCAGGTTTAAAAAGATAACTTGTAAGTTCTCAGCTGATTGTGTTGTGATCTATCAGGAAAACTGTCAAAATGAATGCTTTTAGTCCCAGCATCCCAGCATTGGATAGTTCATCCAAATAGTAGAGAATGTTCCACTCACCACAGCCCTCACTGACTAATGGTATTGACTCTAACTTAGCTTGATGTTCTAAATTCAGCCTCATAACCATCAGTCATAGCCCAAACCTACATATTAGCTGGGCCTAACGCCACATCTGCCCAAAACAACATAATCATAGTGTCATAACTGAGTGCCTAAATGTACCAAAGATTATGGGCAAATTTGTCTGCCAGTGTTTTTGATAATCTTCCTTTACTATTTAAATGGAAACCAGAAGTGATCCTAAACTTGCTTTGCTGCTTCCTTTTCAACACAGTTAGCTAGCTTGCTAAAAATAAATGCCAGAGCTTTGAAAGGTAAAAAAGAAAATGTTTAGATGAACAAATTAATAATAGACCAGTCAAACATTCATTAACGGCTTCATGAACCCATCATTGAATATTTACTTTTTACAGTATGAAGTAATGCAGAACTTTAACTATGTAAATATGAACTGTGAACTAACTACAGGCAAAGGATGAGCTGAACGAGACAGATGAGAAACGAGTGTCTGCGGTGAAGGAGCTGCGCGGAATAATAAAAGAGAAGGCAGATGCGGGAGATGATCTGGCTAAAGGAGTGCAGGACACCTTTGGGGAGAAACCAGACAGTCTGCTGGTCCGCTTTATTCGTGCCAGGAAGTATGACGTTCCAAGAGCTTTTGATCTTATGAAGGGTGAGTTAAGATCTCCAGACTTGAATTCCCTTAGCTGTATTTTCTTCCTTAGCACATAACATAATAATGCTGTCAGTTTGAAAGAATATAACATATAACCCATATATCTTGGGGTGACATATGGGGTATATACACTGAGATGCAGAGTCATTTTAATAAACCCCTCAACACAGTCAAGAGTTGAGAACAGTTATATGGCACATTTCCACCAGTGGCTACACAGTGCGACAGGCTCAGCTTTATACAGTATTTTTAGCATTTCCACAAGAGGCTGGCCAAACTGAACAGTTTCAGTTTGAGCACATATTTGGCCAGGGCTCCATCACGGTTGAGCAGGGCCAATGGCAGGCTGCATAGCGCTAGTCAGATGTTTAGATAGCCACCCCTTTATGTGAACCCTACCTAAACGAAACGAAAAACGTCCAGTTTCAATGTCACAAATATGGGGACCAACATCAAGCTTTGCTGGTATATAGTTTTCTGGCGCTCGTGTCGCGCATAATGACATCATCGGCCGGTTGGCACCTTTTTCTGTCCCAAATTTGTGACAGAAAACCATCTAAACTGAGGTCTCTCAAATTGTGTAAGGCCGACTAGGTGCTAACGGAGAACTCCCATTAGACAAGCTTCAAAACTCACAACCCAACAGCCATTAAGTTTTCCATGGGCTCTTTCCAGGATATGTTCGCTTCAGAAAAGACTACCCTGAGCTGTTCGAAAATCTGACTCCGGAGGCTGTACGCAGCACCATCGAGGCCGGATACCCCGGCATCCTGCACAGCAGAGACAAATACGGCCGTGTAGTTCTGCTCTTCAACATTGAGAACTGGGACTATGAGGAGATCACTTTCGATGAGGTAGAGGATTTCACTTTTTACACTTAAGGAGAGTTTTTTTTCTTTTTTCTAATGTTTGACGACTCCTATAAGAAGGCTTCAGAAATGTTGGAAATCTATGATTGTGTGTTTTCAGATCTTGCGTGCCTATTGTGTAATTCTGGAGAAGCTTCTGGAGAACGAAGAAACTCAGATCAATGGCTTCTGCATCATTGAGAACTTCAAAGGATTCACCATGCAGCAAGCATCAGGCATTAAACCAACTGAGCTCAAGAAAATGGTGGACATGTTGCAGGTGAAAAACAGTCATTCGTCAGCTGTATAAGATCGGAAGCCGAGTGGTAAAAACAGATAGAGCGTAACATAAGCAGACCAAGAAGGGGACATATTAGAGGGACATTCCTAAATCAAAGCAATTGTTTCCCATCTTTTATCACTAAAGTGTGTTGCCTTTCTTGTTCCTCCAGGACTCATTCCCTGCCCGTTTCAAAGCTGTGCACTTCATCCACCAGCCCTGGTACTTCACCACCACCTACAATGTTGTCAAACCACTTATGAAGAGCAAGCTGCTAGAGAGAGTGAGTCAAATAAGTTCAATGAAATAAAATGACAAGAAGGTCAAACGAAGACTCAGTTTTCACAGAAAGAGTAAAACAAGTGAAACCCTCCGTGTTAAGCACCATCAACATCCACTGTTTGTGTTACAGGTCTTCGTCCACGGAGATGAGTTGGAAAATTACTACAAGGAGTTTGACGCGGACATCCTCCCCTCTGAGTTTGACGGAAAAGGCTCCAAGTATGATGGCAAGGCCACAGCAGCCAAGCTGTTCGACTAGATGGCCTCCAACCGCTTCCCAACGAGGCAGAGAGCCGTCATATGTTACAAACTCTACACACAGTGGAGATTCAAAGCCCAATCTAGCTGTGTGTTTGTAGGAATAAAGGTTTTGAATGAAAGACATGAATGTGTGAGAAGTTTGACAATGCAGTTTACAAAAGGTCCCAATAAAGCACACTCGGGGGAGTGAGTCTGTAGCTCGCAGTCGTACAGTATTTACACAGCACAAGATGACCAACTTAAAGGTTTTTTACCTAAAATTATAAAGGACAGAAACTCCACATGTATACTGACTGTTTTCTGATGCACATGGTTTTTAAAATCTAGTTTCACCAACTTGTTCCAATTTGAAATAAAAGGTTCTAACTAACAACTCTTGAAACTAGTTTGAAATCAGCCATTCCCTGTTCCTTTTACTTATTTTGTTTTTCAATAGGGACATTCTGTTACTGTGCACACACAAATCACTACTTCCTGTGTTCCCCAGATTCCCTACATCAAGATGTTGAGAACTTAAAACCTAAAACATCACCAGAAAGTAAGAAAATAATCATATTTAACAGTGTTGTAACTGTTTCAAAATTAAGAGAAGACTTAAAATACAAATCAGTGAATGTTCATGGTGGTGGAATTTGTGGTTATAAGCATATTTTAAGATTTCGAGAGTGGTTTCAACCCATCAGAGACCAGTGGCTGCACTGGAGGCAGTTTTTAATCTTACCATTCGTGCTTCAGAAAACAGTCAGTGCCTCGTTAAGCATTCAGAATTTGAGATTCTAATTCCAACATCATTTTTTTTGGTCTCTCCTGTGTTAATTTGTGCTTTGTTTGGACTAATAAATCCAACACAGCTTGTTTTAACAGCAGGTCCCAGCTTTCTCATCTTTTTTTCACCATCTCACCATTTTTTCACCACCTCCTGTAATCCCAACAAGTGCCTATCTCTTGTGTCTTCGAGTACTTTTTTCCCCTTCTTTTAGATTATGTTCTTTAAGTTTTAACCACTGTGCTACCAAGTGCACTTATAAGGATGTCAAAAAATGTACAATAAACTGTATATAATAGCAAGTTTTTGTCTTTTTTATTAATCAACAAATTTACAAGAGAGAAAATTAGAATGCTGTAAATACACACACGGTGTTGATGAAAGGGTTTTTTTAATGGGGTAAACCTAGCTCTCAGTTGTTCACCACAACAGAGAACAACACAATTATAATACCATTATCATAACAGCATAATCAAATCAAAATGTTAACAAAAAATGATGATATGCATAAAAGGGATCAAATGAATTAAAGTGCAAACTAAGCAGCCAAATAATCAGAACATATTGCACATACAGACACAGCGGTGGAATTTGAGCTAACCCAGGCAGATGAAGATTGTATTTAAAAGTTGATCATTAAAAAATGCACCGTAAGTAAAGCATAGGGACATTTCACCAAATTGATGGAGGTGGAAAACCAAAATCCAAATTCTGTGATATGTAATCAGTGGCATGACATACAAATAAAAAAGAAAACACATCAATTATCAGAACTTTCACTTTTCACATTTGGCTGTGCAAACACATTTTTTCATTTGAACTTTTACCAAGAAGTGAGTGTGGGTAGAATGAAAATGTGATTTCTTTAATTACAATCGATTATATTTTCAGATGTTTTAACTTAATGAGGAGTAATCGATGGATCTACCACATAGCAGTGCAACGCCTGGACAACAAAGCTTTCCGGATTTGGATAAAACACTTGAATATATTTTACAATTCTAAACCTCTTTAAACAAAAATCTTCAAATGACAAATTGTTTTGATTATTTTCTTTTAGAATTTTCAAAATAATTAGTAAGGCACTTCCACAAGATTTCAACTTCAATTTCAACTAACAACCAAACTGCAGGTAAACCTTGTTACATAATCATATGTAAACGTCACAGTAGCGGGTTAAGTTCTGTCAGCCAGCTATGTTATTTTGCAGCTCAATCATAGCAGCTGCCAGAAGGTAAACGACTGTTACACTGGAGGTTAAGTGGAAACAAGAGATAGGCCGTAACCGTTCGTAACAGGGGCCACATTACACTTGCAGATATAGTTTCCAAGATGGTTAGCTGACTTCCTCTGAAGCAGCCTTCTCTATTTTGTCCTTCTTTTTTCCAAATTATTGACTGTAAAGCCATCAGTGTTGAAGTAGACTATATTAGCAGGGCTGGGTGTGGGCTTGTGCTTGTTTGTCTTTGTAACAGGACACATGTTCTAACCACTGAGTGTTACCCTGGTACTTTGCCAGCAGGAGTCCACATCCTGGTGCTTGCCGCTCTTACAAACTGAGTGTTTCTTCTCCCAGAGGCACATGGCGTCGGTGTACTCCACTATGACCTTGTCCATCCAGGTGAGGGGTTGTGGGAATATAACAGCTCCTTCGAAGAAGCCCATGTGGCCTCCGTGGTGGGTGAGGGCAAATATGACATTGGGCATCTTCTCTATATGTGCATAAAAAAAGTAACACAAGTAAAAATAGATGAGAAGTTTCACATTTAAATCAAATCAAATCATCTTTAAAATTAAAAACACTTGCTTGGATAAAATCAATTAAAAAGGCTGATTTTGGACTTTAGAAGAATGCAGTCATGGTAAGGAAAAATCTGACAAATGGAATAGCAATTACTTCCACTCTTGTCTCACTGATTTGAAACAAAAACTTTCTGAAGTTGGGCAGTTCTCAATACTAAGACATATGCAGTCCATATCAATGAAAGCAGCAGAGAACTAAATTCATGCCAAATGTATGAACAGCACCACTCCTAACCGAGCAGCACGGGATCAGAATCAGTGATTGTCTTGAGGCCGGCAGGAGGAGGGACATCACTTTGGCGTCTGCAGCTGAAGTATCACAGATTAGCTGAAATGGACTAAACAAATTACTTATCACGCCCTGCGATGGACTGGCGGACTGTCCAGGGTGTACCCCGCCTCTCGCCCGTTGACCACTGGGATAGGCTCCAGTTCTCCCCGCGACCCCATTACGGAATAAGCGGTAATGATAATGGATGGATGGATGGAAATTACTTGTCACATGGAACAAATTTGCCTCTTCCAGCAGATGACCACAGGAGCAGTGACAGCACATTCATTAATGAGCCATTAGGGTTCATCACTAAAGAAAATCACTGTTTGCATTGTGTACGAGTGGTTTCTCTCTGGGTATTCCAGCCTCCTCTCACAATCTAAAAAAAAAAATGAAAAAAGCGTGACTTTAAATTTCTTGTAGGGCGAGTATGAGTGTGTGGTGTTCTCTTTCATTCATTTCTGTATGGAGTGACGACCTGTACTGGATGTATCCCGCCCCTTGCCCAATAACAACTGTTAGACTAAAAACAGTCAGAAATATCGAGAATGAAAACCAAACAGTTTGTTTCAATATACTGTATAGCACTGTTAAAACTATTGGGAGATTTTCCCCTGTTACATACTCCACTTTTTTTTCCCCTTTCGAGTCGGCACCTCTTAACAGTTCAAATTCTATAACCTACATAAATTCTATAACCTACATAAATGCACACATAAATGTACTGAGTATGATCTTAATTACTTAATCACTGGATTTGGACCACTGACTTCTCTGGTTTGATGTATTGCTTTAAAAAAATGTTTTGCATCTTGAGAGGTTCTTCAATTCATACCCAAAACAAACTCAACAGCGGCACACTGTGCTGTTGGTCTGTCACATTAGTAAGCTGTTGATAAGCTGCAAAAACATTAAGCAGGCACAGTGTATCCAAATGGAGTCAAATTTCGTCTCAAATGGCCAAGTCCTGAATGTACTTCTTAAAAAATCCAGTTTGCCATAACTCCACAAAAATGTTTGAACTAAAGCAGGCTGTTAAAAAATTACATTTTGAACGTACCTAGGTAGAGTGCATAGACATAAACATAGCTCATAATCAGCTAAATTCTTAGATTGTAGAGACAGCTTAAATACAAATACAGAATTGTAATTCTCATTGAGTGGCAAAATAGATTTTTTCATGGCTATTGTGTAGTATAATTATCATTATTTAATATTTTCTATTTTTTAGTAGTCTGGATAACTGTCTCCAACCATTTCATTAGAGTTATCTCGATCTTGACGATGAATAATTGAGCTCCACCTACTTTCAGCAGGGAGTTGTCGATAAAAGTGCTCAGTGAGGTCAGCCGGTAAGGCGTTCGGTTTCCGTTCAGAAACACACCACGGTCCTTTCCTACTGTTACTCTACACCACATTTATACCATCTCAGATTTTGTTGTACGAAGATAATCACGATGAACTGCAATTAATTAAATGTACATTTATTCTGTGGCCTATGACTCAGATAAAGTCTTTGAGTCTCGATTTTGAATATCTAAGTGAGAGACAGCAAAAAAGGCAAAAGGTGAGAAACAAACTGAATTCTGCATTCCTGTTTCACTTAAGCAAATTCTAATTGAGAATTGTCAATGTCAAAGTTTCCAAACATACAGGGACCCCGGTAGGGGAAACTGATGACTTATGACAAGGCAAGCGTGTAGGGCCCAGGAAGACTTTTACACACACTGCACTATACACATAACCCAGCAGCCAAGGCAGATCACATGGCCCTGAAAAATTTATCAAGACTGTCTAGCTGTGCTGTGCTGAGCAGTTTGCTGCCACAAGACTCAATACTCAAGACAGTGTCCAGCCCAGGGGGAAGGACAACAGGTTTGTTTACTCTACAACACTGGGGAAATAATCTACTGTTTGAGTGTTTGAGAAAACAAGCTAAATCTGCACAAATGACCTATCTAACTATCTAATGTGTCACTGTCCTAACCCATTAAGATTTTGTGAAACAATGACATCAACCCTATCAAGTGTGTGATAATATAGAGATTTTGCCTCTTGTCTCAACTTCAAACCTTACATTTTTTTAAAGGTTTGAAAGTAAAAGAAAGAAAAATAAAGTTAAAAATTTGACAATACAATCCCGATAGCTCTGCTCTTTTGTCTGCGGGGTGTGTGATGGCCACTGTTTAAAAAAAAAAAAAGGGTAAAAAAGAACTATTTTAATATGTCTCACAGAGAAAATTTGAGTCCATTTCGAAAGAACTTTGGGGTTTGGCTTTAGCAAATCAGAGACGTTAGTAGATCCTGCTAATCTAATGCCTCAGCTTTATTATATAGAGTTCTAACCTGCATTTGCTACAAATCATGGTGAACAAGGACCTTAAGGCTTATTCCTGAGCCTATGCAGTAAATTTGGAGCGAGGTTGTACATATAATAAACGTTTATCATACTTTACTACCCTGCAAGTGTCAGTTCGTGTTACTTAAAAAAAAACTTGATTAATTTACTATGCTTGAGCTCAAACACTTGAATAAATCAAAACAGGAAGGAAACTAAACTCTCAGGTTCAGCCGGAATGTCATTGCTGATGTCCTTCATTGTAGTCTTGTGCTTGCGTTGCATAGAAATTACTCTCAATTCATATCAATTTTATTTTAATTTTCATGCCCCCCTTTAATGATAAAAGATAAACACATTTAAGATATAGACATTATGTTCAGTTGAAGTTGAGTAGGAGGAAATGTTATTCAAATGTCAGAGCAATACCAAGAACGTGTCATGAGCAGCATGTAGTGTGGTTTGTATTCTCCAAGTTTCTGACTCGATTAGGTTTTCAGTTGACTTTTTCTACCTTATATAGTTTATTTCCTGTATTTTTATCTTTAAAATGTTTTACCCATGTTCCATTATCTTTACTTCCCTTTTCACACAGTGTTTCAACTACTATTCATATGGACTTTACTCCCTCAGTGTGTTTTCGCCGCTTTTTCAGTTGTTCCTTGTTGTATAGTTTGATCCAGTATTTTTTTCAGTTTCCCATTAATACCAAATACATCTGCCAGATATGCATCTCTCTTCATCAATATTTACTTGCATCTGCTTTCCCCATCAATCCTGACAGGATTTCCTTTTTCTGAAGGGTGTACTGAACTAAAATAAAAATTCTCAGATGATATTAATATCAAGCTAATTGGGATAATTTATTGGTTTTGACAATATTTTAGTCACTGAGGTGCAGATGTGGAATAAGAGAAAATGCTGCTCTGCAACTTGTGCTACACAGACAGAGGTAGCTTGTCTTTTGTAACATCACACTACTTGCTTTGAATTTCAAAACTATGGAAACCAAACAGACCCTGAATGGCTTTTAGAGAACTGTTATTATTTTCCATATAAAAAAACAAACAAAAAAACAAGGTAACAATTTCTTGTTTCTGCTGGCGGACCATCCAGGATGTACCCCGCCTCTCACCCATTGTATACTGGGATAGGCTCCAGTCCCCCTGCCACCCCGTTGGGACTAAGCAGTACAGAAAATGCATGGATAGGTGAATGTCTTGTTTCCATCTTCAAACAGACCTTGCAAATTATCTGAATTCTATTTTTTTCCTACTTCTCCATCATATGAACCCTTAGGGAATTCTGGTATTAACCACTAACCTGCAAGTGTGCGTGGAATTGCCAGAAGTGACTGATGGACAAGTGGGTCATCTGAGGAGTTCACCAAGAGGAGGGGAACCGTCACCTGGGGGGAAAAAACGGTCTCATTTATTTAATGAACTTGTTAATCTCCTAGCTATACATGTCACCACGCAGTACACCAGCATTCATTAGTAGCTCAGTAATCAATGGCAGTGAGCTGAAATACCAGGATTACTATTAGAAAACATACCCAAAGCACAAATTAATGGCAACTGGGACAGGAGTATCACCAAGGATATATTTGTAATGAATACTCGTTTTGACAGTGTCATGGTGTTGTGGTGGTTAGCACAGTCGCCTCCCAGGTTCTCAGTTTGAGTCCCTGGGGGATGGGTAGCTTTCTGTGTGGAGTTTGCATGTTCTCCTTGTGTCTGTGTGGGTTCTCTCAGGGTACTTAGGCTTCTTCCCACCGTCCAAAAACATGCAGGTTAGGCTAATTGAATGCTCCAAATTCCCCATAGGAGGGAATATGAGTGTGTGTGGTTGTTTGTCTTTGGCCCTGCGATGGACTGGTGACCGGCCTAGGTTGTACCTCGCCTCTCACCTGTTGTCAGCTCTCCCTAATGGGAATAAGCGGTTTAGAAAATGGAAGGATACTTCTTACTTACTTTGTGTATGTAGTGCACACAGCTTTCCTTCTCATAGTACTCCCTCAAGGAACCGTGGCCGTGGAATTTTCTGCAGTAGACATTTCATGGAGCCATCAGCAGATAAGATCATAATAACTTTGAGCTGTGTTTTGCATCCCGTCCCCGCCAAAGTCAAAGTCCAACAGTATGTCACCTCATTATGCTGTCATCAATCTGCATCAGAGACGTGGCTGCATACAGTCTATTCAGATCTGCATCGCCTATGTTGCTGGAGGTCATGCCCAACAAACTGCCCCTGTTTAAGAACATCAGCCTTCAGATAAATTAGGGCAAGAAGCTAAATCCATACCCACAACAGCCCCTCTGCATCCAACCATAACAGACCTTATACTGGAGAAGCAAAAACTAAAACATGAGTAATGTTAATTAGCTAAATCTTTCAGAATTTAGAGGACATCAGATATTCTTCTCTTACAGGTACAGATTGTATTATATTGTATTGTCACTATCTGTAACAGTAAGCAGAGAAACAACTTTAAGCATTTTTAAGAGAACAAGATCTAAGTTTTGTTTCCTTTTCCGCGACCTACACCACTGGTTAAAGTGATTTTTTTGACAGGACATAAGTTCCACGACAAGACAAACCATAAATCTGTATCTTGCTTGTATGATTCACCTGTGTGAAAGGACGAGTTTCTTCATATTGTCAGCCAAAACAAAGTTGTAAAGCCTCCGACAGTGGTCCCACTGAAGGAATGTTTCCTGGGCCCTTATTTAATACACAAAATCACATAAACACATGGACAAACAGAATTATACAAAAATATGTCTGAAAATAAGCCATAAAAAGGTTCAGCCAGTGTGTAAATAACAAAGATCCCTCTCTGGGACAAAATCCAGTCTGAGCTCAATTTATTTTTTCAGTCTACTAACCTGAGGGCACTATATCCCTGACAGACGCTGACACAGCACAGAACTTGGTCTTGATTGGAACGATTTTCTCCTAGAAACTTGCAGACAATGTTTCCTCCAAGACTGAAACCCACAACCACCAGTAGTGTTTGTGGAAAGGTGCGCTTGATGTAGCCCACCATGGCCCCAAACTCCCAGGTACAGCCTGAATGTGGGAGACACTTTTCTAATGTTAATCCACTTATTTGATCGATTTTACTATACTTAAAAAGTTGTTGTCAAATGTGTTCCCTGCTGATTAAAAATAAATCTAAGAAACTCTGTGTCAATAGTTTATGAATCTATATCCTAAAAAAATCACAGGTCACACATTCTGATCACTAAGTAACGAAAAGCCCAGAAAAAGTCCTCTTTACCGCAGGTGAACATGCGTGGGGAGGTGAGCTCCATGTTAGGCAGAGCTCCCAGGTGGTTGAGGACTGCGCAGCGGTAACCCTGCCGCTGGGAGTAATCCACAAAGGTCCGAATGTAGTTCTTCTCGCTATGGTTACCAATCCCAGGGCAGATTGCCATGGTTATGTCATCTGACATATATACACAAAGACACACAATGAAATTGGGAACACTTTAAAAACATTTTTGAAGAAAACAGGAGTCACGTGTGAGTGTGAAGTGGATATCATGTGTGTCTGTATTTGTGTGTTGAGTTAATTGGCTGCTGTAATGCGTAAAATCTTCCTCGTGGGAGTTCATTAGAGTTGATCCTGCTCATGCATTCTTGAGGGTGATGTACACATGATACAAATCAGCACATAAAACTTTGCAGGAGAGATGTGGATATACCTAAAATATAACAACATTTTTATACAAGTGCTTTTTAAAATAGACGTCAGTCCTCTGATTAAATCCCAAAAGCCAAATGCTTTGGTGCAGCAACAGAGACAACCTGACCTCCTGTGCTGTGGTCTCCTAGAGCTTCAAAAAGGTCAAAGGTTGCTGTGGCTCCATCTTGCATTGGGAGGAACTTGCGAACCCCATAAGGTGTTGGAGTGTTGATACGTCCCAGTTTGCCGTACAGCGCCGTCTGGAAATGACCACTTTTCCCCCAGAGCAAAGGAGGAACGTATCTGAAGAGAAAACAGAGACCACATATTTCATAACTGACCCTGAGGGAAAAAAACTTCTTCGTCTGGGTTTTTCCCTTCAGGGGTCACCATAGTGAGTCATTCATCTCCATCTAACCCCATTTCCAGCATCTTAGTCTCTCACATCAAGTACGTTTTAGATCTTGACGCCACACAAAAACACAAAAAGTCTTGGGTCTTCTCTTGGCCTCCTGCCTGGTATTTCTAGCTTCAGCCTAATTTTACTGATACTTTAACTATCCCTCCTTTTTATGTGTCCAACCATCTCAGTCTGACCTTTCTGGCTTAATCTCTAACATATTTTACATTAGCTGTCGCTCATTTGTGATCCTATCCATCCTCATCACTCCCAGAGAGAATCTCAACATCTCCATCTCTGCTACCTCTGTCTGTAAACCAAACAACATGGCTGGTCTATCACTTCCTTGTATACCTTTCCTTTCATTCTCGCAGATACTGACATTTTTCTCCACCTGTTCCAGACTGCTTAGGCACGTTTCTTCGCACCTTACACTTTCTTTACTCTGCACTTTAAATCCTCCACCTCTTTTATCTAAGTTCCCAGTAACCACGTGCCACCATTTGGGTGTCTGTCAGTCACACATGTATCCTGTCTTGCTAAAGCTAGCTTAATTTTTCTCCTTTACAGGGGCATGCCTCCATCTTTCTAGACTTTCCTCCACCTGGTTCTATGTCTCACCACAGACCACTATGTCATATGTCAAACAACATAGTCAGATTTTTTTATTTTTACCTAACCTCATCTGTCCATCAGAAGAAGGGGCAAAGAGCCGATCCTTGATACGGACCCACATCCCCTCAACACTGTCTTACAGCTCTTACACATGTCTTGCACCACTCAAGAATTTCTCATACAATGTCTCCATTACATATGCTTTCTCCAGACCTGGAGAACCAATGGAGCAAAGACATTTATTTACAGGACTGTAAACTTATCCTTTTTTAACTGAAAGATGGATTCCTCATTTGCAATTGACAATTACATGTCACCAAATTAAACATTATTTCAGAAACAGTAAAGTCCAAGGTTTGTGTAATTGTTTTTTTTTCTAATTACATGTTCAAGCCCACTATACGGATATACATTCAGCAGGGATTATATTAGGTCATGTTGCGAGGTAGTCAGAACAGCCTTAATTCTTCATGGGATACTATCAACAAGATACAGTATGGACCAAGATTTTGGTCCATACTGACATAGCATCACACAGTTCCTGCAGATTTGTGGTCTGCACATCTGTGCTGAGAATCTCTCTGTCCACCACATCCCTAAGGTGGTGATCTAGTGACTGTGGAGGCCACCGAAGTTCAGTGAACTCATTGTAATGTTAAAGAGTTTGAGATTATCAGAACTTTGTAACAGGCTGCATTATATTGCTCGAAGCAGCCATTAGAAAATGTGTACCGCGATCAAAAAGGGGTGGACATGGCCAGCAGCAATAAGGAGTTAGGCTACGACATTTAAACGATGCTCAGTTGGTACTAAGGCACGTTCATCCATACAACTCCCACTCACTGAATACTTAATCTTTTTGGGACCATTTTCCTGAAATTTTAGATATGGTTGTGTGCCAAAATCTCCACAATTTCTGAAATATTAAGACACACCCATCTGGAACAAACAACGATGCCACCTTCAAAGTCACATAAATTCTCTTTCTTCCCTATTATGCCTCAGTTTGCATTCAAGCAAGTTGTCTTGACCACCTCTAAATGCATTTATTGCAGCTACCCAATTGGTTAACTAGCCACTTGTGTTAATAAGCAATAAAACAGCTGTACAAAATAAAATGGCTGGTGTGAGTAAATATCCACATATAGCCCATTTAAGCTGAAGGAAACAAAAAGTAACAAGCAGCAGATTTTTTGATTGATTATTATAAACCTTTCTTTTCTAGAATACTATACTATGGTTGTATTAGAGTTCATATCCATGAAGCTTCCATATTTAAGTCCCATTCTAATCAATTTTTTATGTAAAATAAGATGTTCTACTACAGGTAAAAGTTCACCTTGGCAATTTCGCTTCCAGGAGCCATGACTACACAGATCTGTTATCACCCACAAATATCTAATATATAGGTTCTCATATAGCATTGTATATGGAAGTTCATAACTTCCCAGATGATATACGTTAAGGCATTACTTTATAATATAAATAAATCTACTAGTTTCAACATTAAAATAACTGATAGATGTGGCTAAAAGATTGTTTAGTCAAGTGAATTACTCTAAATAAAGCTCTGTTCGTTGGTGTTTATGGGGCCCTAAACTCTGTTAGGATAGCATTTTAAAGATTTTTTATGCTCTCCAGGTTCCAGGAAAAGTCTCTAGAACACTGACTATATAAAAAGTAACGCTCACTCTTTGGTCAGCATTGGGCAGGACTTGAGCAGGTAGCTACTGAGCGGTGTGTCCTGGTGGGTGATCTCCGGGGGGGCCGCCGGGCTCTTCAGGTTCAGACATCGGACAATGATGTAGAGGACAGCAGCCACTGCTGCCAGCTTCATGCCATCAAACATGGCTGGAAGCTCGGGGCCGAGGGTGTGCACATCACTGTCCTCAAGGATGGTCATGTTGGGTTTGATAGCTGCTGTGTTCGGAGTGTGTAAGAAAAACATACAGAGGTAATGAGCAGTCATGCTTTTAATCAATGTCATCATAAACCTCTCCTTTAAAAAAGGTTGAAAGATATACATCATAGAACTAGCTTGATCTGATTATTTAATTTACCTTCTGACTGTAATATAAACTATGGAGCTCAGAAACTTACTTCTCAAATGGTCTAGAAAGAGAGAGACAATGTAGTCCACTCTTTTATTATATGCCCTAATAGGCACTTTATTGTTTTGGGACCTCATAAGCATCTGTATGAAAACTTGTTTGCTCTGACATTTTATGACTAACCTCTGGACAAAGATTTGGATATTTGCTTGAGTCTACAGTACTGATCTTGTTAATTCCTAACTCATTCAGAGGAACACTTCCAAATCATTTACATAACTGCGACAGCCAGCTGTGATGCCCTGTCGATTTCAACCGTTTCCCTCAGCTTTTTGTCGCAGTCTAAAGAATGAACGATTGTATCTGTGCCCAGTCAGACCTGAAAAAACACAAAACCTTTCAAAACGCTCGTGTTATTGAGCAAGCGTCCTTAAACAAACTCGGAAAATGACATAAAAAAGGGAAAAACAAAACCAAACTCACTTTCTGACGGTGGTTTGTGGTTTTTACACTCATTTTAAAAGTTGGAATAAGGGTTAATAGAAAAGACTGGCGAAACGAGTTTTATTCTTCTTCAGGTAAAACCGCTCCAGCAGGAGTCCACGGAGAAACTTAAGAGAGCAGCGTAATAAATGTGACTAAGAAAACTACAACGAAAAATGACAACATGTGTCTAAATTTTCTAAAAGACACTTCCGGACTTACCGTGGTGTAAAAAAAAAGTCTCGTACGTTTTCGGGTTGAATCCACACCTACTTGCTCCGTCTCAACACCGCCTGTTGACAGCGGAGAGACCGACTGACCAGCATCGCACTAAAGATGCCTTTAGAGACCTCTCACAAAGCTCAGACATTTGACAATTACAGCGTATCTGGTGTCATCAATAAAATACGCAGTTTTTTTATTCGTATATGTCTATGCTTGACAGCTCTCAATTTAATCCTTAACGTATTAGTTTCATTGAATAAATGAATAAAATCACTCACGATCGCCTCCGTAATGCAGTGCATGTCTAAAGTCTTGCAGAAAATCCAGCAGCATTTTAAAGCAGCACTGCAAACAACATTCGACATCCTCTTTCACAGTCATTTACAGTAGCTGCCCTAATAAATTTCATTGGTCAGACATACACCAAATTTCTGCAAGACAACTGTGTCACAAATACATAAACTGATTAACTGTAAATCTCCTTTACAAACACCTTTTTTTTTTTAACCTACACTCGGGTAGCCTTCTTGATTCACGATCAGACAAGTTTTCATACAATTTAAACCATTAGATATAATGGGCATATAAGGCCCTTGCTCTGTGGCAAATCTTTGGTGCATCCATCCATCCATTTCAACTCATGGGGTCGCGGGGGGACTGGAACTGAACCCAGTAGTCAATGGGTCACAGCAGGGCCACACAAAGACACACAAGGACGAAGACAAACAACCAATTCTTCAATTGGAATATCAATTTTGGAATATCCAATGAACATAACATGTAGGTTTTTGGTGGGAGGAAGTCGGAGAACCTGAAGAGAGCCCAAGCAGACATAGGGATAACGTGCAAAGTCCACGTAGAAAGGTCCTGGTTGCCCCCGGGGACTCGATCCCAGAACCCTCTTGCTGTGAGGCGATGGTGCTAACCACCACACCGTTTCATTTATCTGAAATTCAAAATCTGGCATTCCATTTTTAGAGTGTCTTTAAAGTTATGTTTTTGTTTTGTTTTTTAATTTCTTATAAAATAAAATAGGAGGTGGTAAAGCAGCACAATGATTCTATTGAATAAAAATTGTTCGGAGTAGAGTATGTTTTTGATAAATTGAGAAAAGTGTTTGGGAACATATCACTCCTAAATTTCTGGGAATGTATCTGTTTCTCTTTCTTAAGCCGGATTGCTGAACTACCAAATGACCTCGGTGGTCATTTTTTAAAATGGGATGATATGATACTGTGATCAAATATTTCGAAGGCTTTTTTTTTTTTTGTAATAAACAAATCTTCCAATTACTGTCAGCCTGCAACGATCAGACAGATCTTTCAGTGAAAGTTTGAACCACTGGAGGGCGCCATCCACTAACTGTTTGACAAAGAGTCATGTGAAAAATAATGTAAGTTGTCCATAAAATTGTAACATTTTACAAATGAAAATACTTTATTTGAATTAAACATACCAATTTTTATACATCTGTGAACCACAACTGGATGACTAAAGCAACTATTAAGATCTCTTGACCACACTTAACATTCAGGTGAGTCATTTGAAAACCCAGTAAGCTGCAATATACGAGATGTGTTTAGGGACAGATGATGATAATGATATTTAATCACTTCTACTCTTTGAATTTCACTTCATAAATGTAATTAGAGGTGACTTATTCTTCCAATTAAAAGAACAAAAGTTACCCGTGAAAAAAAGAGGTGGATAAAGCAGCTGTGCTTGCAATGAACATTTTGTTTTGGGGTTTTTTCTTATAAATGCTAACTCCTGAACTAAAATGGCAGAGAGAAGTGAGAAATATTTGGGTGGATTAATTTAATTTCTGTGTGTAACAGAGAAGTGAAACTTTGGTGACACACATGTTAGACACTTGTGAAATTCTTCAGAAAATTCCCCCTGCTTGAATAATACATGATTTTGAGAATTATGTGATAATACACACTGAAGATTATGGTCAGACAGACTCCTGTCTCACTGAAGTTCTCTGTCACCATCAATTTGTGATTTAAAGAAACATTCATACTTTGCAAATGTCAGTAATGAAAAAAGGCTTTGTCAGACTGACTATAGAAAGATGCAGGCTCTTCTGCTGTTGAGTCTCACCACATTTGATTTCCCGATAAATGTAAACCAGCCATGTCTGTGCTTATGGTTTTGTGAATAATCTGGGTTCTGCTTTCCTTGAAAAAAGAAACTGGTTCATTTTCCCCCCATACCATAACAAATTTGTCCCAAATTTAAAGGCATTTTCAGGCATCCATTGCTCTTAAGTCATGAAATGTTTTAATTAAAGATTTTAAACTTATAAATTAAATCTTACATCGAAATAAAAATGCAACGATCTGAATAAAAAATGGGTAATTCACCTCTAAAAGACTGATTCTTCCTAAGGATGAGGAGGAAATAAAGGGGATATGAAATATATAGCAATTCTGATGTGCAAATAAAGGTATTGAATGTACTGTTAAGATACTGCCACTTTAAGTTCCAGGACATCCTGGAAGGGCCTTCACTAACTTGATATAAAAGTTTAATCATTGACATATTAGATTGATATTGACAATTAACATAAAAAACACAGGATTTTCATTTTTAAAAACTTAGGTTTTCTTTCATTCATTTCTTACACCTCATCTCTATATTCAGCAGATAAATTAACAGGGATACTGGGTGCTAGCATTTATCTTAATTTGAAATGATCATCAAGAGAGGGATTTGATTTCTTCAATTTTTTAATCTGGATTAAAATTTTAATCTGGATTAAGGGGAAGACCCAGGACCCGCTGGAGGGACTATGTGTCCCGGCTGGCCTGGGAACGCCTCGGGATCCCCCCGGAGGAGCTGGCTGAAGTGGCCGGGGAGAGGGAAGTCTGGGTCTCCCTGCTCCGGCTGCTGCCCCCGCGACCCGACTTCGGATGAGTGGAGGAGAATGGATGGATGGATGGATGGATTAAAAAATTGGGGGAAATATCATGGCGATCTAATTGAAAGTTACCACTAAAGTAGAGCAGGTTTCAATTAACATTCAAATATGCTGTAAGTGTGAGATCACTTATAGCTGCATTTAAATCCCTTTGTCTTGTTACTAGGTTACAGAAGGGTTAGTGTTGCAAAGTGTGCAAGATCTGTGGACAATGTAACTGTTATTGTTAAATGTCTAACTGAGAAGTGCAGGGTGGGACATTTCAGGAAGCTATCTACTCAGCAAACATGTATGTATGTCATTCTCTATTATGACAAACAATTTTACTGTACTTTAGTGAAATCATGTTCATTCAGGCAAGAGAAAAGAGCAAAAAGGTAAAGAGACATAAGGGATCTAATATAAATGGACATCGGTTCCAGACTTGGATCCATTAAAAGCAATTCTTCGATTTATGCCCATTCCCTCTGACAGAAACTGAAATCAACTCTGATCCAATGCTGGATCTCAGCTCAAAAAAACGCCCAAAGATTAACCTTTTGTCTTTTTACAATAAAAATCTGGCCTTAATCTGCATTTCAGAGTATTTCAAGCAGGGTGCCATCATGGGAATTTTCCCGGAAGATTTCAATCGGGCCATAAGTAGTGGCTGGCCTCTTTGATTACAATAAGTACACATCAACATATTTTCTTTCATTAGCTACTTAAAAAAAGGATTGAAAAATGAGGCAATACAAAACACTTGTGAGAATATTTAACTGAGAAAAACATTTTTATTAAACATTTTCTTTTCCTATTGCTACAAATATCATCAAACACTCTAACTTAGACACTGTAGCCAAATGCCAAATGATGTTCAGGGAAAAGTACAGCTCCCCTCCCTGGCTGCCACCTTATCCCCTCCCTGGCTGCCACCTTATCGTGGTGGAGGGGTTTGAGTGTCCCAGTGATCCTAGGAGCTATGTTGTCCGGGGCTTCAAGCCCCTGGTAGGGTCACCCAAGGCAAACAGGTCCTAGGTGAGGGATCAGACGAAGCGCAGCCAAGAAGACCCCTATGATGTCTAACAAAATTGGATCCAACGTTCCCTCGCCCGGGCGCGGGTCACCGGGGCCCCCCCCTGGAGCCAGGCCCAGGGGCGGGGCACGATGGCGAGCGCCTGGTGGCCGGGCCTTCACCCATGGGGCCCGGCCGGGCACAGCCCGAAAAGGCAACATGGGTCCCCCGTCCCATGGGCCCACCACCCATGGGACGGGCCATAGGGGTCGGGTGCGTTGTGCCCTGGGCGGCAGCCGGAGTCGGGGACCTTGGCGGACTGATCCCCGGCTGCAGAAGCTGGCTCTAGGGACGTGGAACGTCACCTCTCTGGCGGGGAAGGAGCCTGAGCTGGTGTGCGAGGCGGAGAGATTCCGGCTGGACATAGTCGGTCTCGCCTCGACACACAGCTCTGGCTCTGGAACCAGCCTTCTCGAGAGGGGTTGGACGCTCTGCTACTCTGGAGTTGCCCCCGGTGAGAGGCGCCGAGCAGGAGTGGGCATACTCATTGCCCCCCATCTCGGTGCCTGTACGTTGGGGTTTACCCCGGTGAGCGAGAGGGTAGCATCCCTTCGCCTTCGGGTGGGGGGACGGGTCCTGACTGTCGTTTGTGCCTATGCGCCTAGCGGCAGCACAGAGTACCCACCCTTTTTGGAGTCCTTAGAGGGGGTACTGGAGGGTGCCCCCCCCTGGGGACTCCCTCGTTTTGCTGGGGGACTTCAACGCTCACGTGGGCAACGACAGTGAGACCTGGAGGGGCGTGGTTGGGAGGAATGGCCCCCCCAGCTTGAACCCGAGCGGTGTTCTGTTTTTGGACTTCTGTGCTCGGCACGGATTGTCCATAACGAACACCATGTTCAGGCATAAGAGTGTCCATATGTGCACCTGGCACCAGGACACTCTAGGCCGCAGTTCAATGATCGACTTCGTTGTCGTTTCAGCTGATCTGCGGCCGCATGTTCTGGACACTCGGGTCAAGAGGGGGGCGGAGCTTTCCACTGACCACTACCTGGTGGTGAGTTGGCTCCGATGGTGGGGGAGGATGCCGGTGAGACCCGGGAGGCCCAAACGTGTTGTGAGGGTCTGCTGGGAGCGCCTGGCGGAGTCCCCTGTTAGGCGGAGCTTTAACTCCCACCTCCGGGAGAGCTTCAAGCACGTTCCGAGGGAGGCGGGGGACATTGAGTCCGAGTGGGCCGTGTTCCGCGCCTCCATCGATGACGCGGCCGCCCGGAGCTGCGGTCGCAGGGCTGTCGGTGCCTGTCGGGGCGGCAACCCTCGAACCCGCTGGTGGACACCGGCGGTGAGGGATGCCGTCAGGCTGAAGAAGGAGTCCTACCGGGCCTTTTTGGCCTGTGGGACTCCGGAGGCAGCCGATGGGTACCGGCAGTCCAAGCGACATGCGGCTCGGGTGGTCGCCGAGGCAAAAACTCGGGCGTGGGAGGAGTTTGGGGAGGCCATGGAAAAAGACTTCCGTACGGCCTCGAGGCGATTCTGGTCCACCATCCGGCGTCTCGGGGGGGGAAGCAGTGCCCCACCAACACTGTTTACAGTGGGGATGGGGTGCTGTTGACCTCAACTCGTGACGTTGTGGGTCGGTGGGCGGAGTACTTCGAGGACCTCCTCAATCCCACTGGCGTGTCCTCCTTTGGAGGGGCAGAGCCTGGGGATCCGGAGTTAGGATCTCTAATCTCCGGGGCTGAAGTCACCGAGGTAGTCAAAAAGCTCCGCGGTGGCAGGGCTCCGGGGGTGGATGAGATCCGCCCGGAGTTCCTTAAGGCTTTGGATGTTGTGGGGCTGTGTTGGCTAACGCGACTCTGCAACATCGCGTGGACATCAGGGGCAGTCCCGCTGGATTGGCAGACTGGGGTGGTGGTCCCCCTATTTAAAAAGGGGGACCGAAGGGTGTGTTCCAACTACAGGGGGATCACACTCTTAAGCCTCCCTGGGAAAGTCTATTCAGCGGTTCTGGAGAGGAGGGTCCGTCGGATAGTCGAGTCTCGGATCGAGGAGGAACAGTGTGGTTTTCGTCCTGGCCGTGGAACGCTGGACCAGCTCTATACCCTCAGCGGGGTCCTGGAGGGTGCATGGGAGTTCGCCCAACCAGTCCACATGTGTTTTGTGGACTTGGAGAAGGCGTTCGACCGTGTCCCTCGGGGTATCCTGTGGGGGGTGCTCCGGGAGTATGGGGTACCTGGCCCTTTGTTACGGGCTGTTCGGTCCCTGTACGACCGGAGTCAGAGTCTGGTTCGCATTGCCGGTAGTAAGTCGGATCCGTTTCCGGTGGGAGTTGGACTCCGCCAAGGTTGCCCTATGTCTCCGGTCCTGTTCATAACTTTTATGGACAGGATTTCTAGGTGCAGCCGAGGTGTTGAGGGTGTCAGTCTTGGTGGCCTTAGGATCGCATCTCTGCTTTTTGCAGATGATGTGGTCCTGTTGGCTCCATCAAGTCGGGACCTACAGCTCTCACTGGAGCGGTTCGCAGCCGAGTGCGAAGCGGCTGGGATGAGGATCAGTGCCTCCAAGTCCGAGACCATGGTCTCTCACCGGAAAAGGGTAGAGTGCCTTCTCCGGGTCGGAGCGGACGTCCTCCCCCAAGTGGAGGAGTTCAAGTATCTCGGGGTCTTGTTCGCGAACGGGGGAAGGGAGCGTGAGATCGATAGGCGGATCGGTGCGGCGTCTGCAGTAATGCGGGCGCTGTACCGGTCTGTCGTGATGAAGAGAGAGCTGAGCCTAAAAGCGAAGCTCTCAATTTATCGGTCGATCTACGTTCCCACCCTTGTCTATGGTCACGAACTTTGGGTAGTGACTGAAAGAACGAGATCGCGGATACAAGCGGCCGAAATGAGTTTCCTCCGCAGGGTGGCTGGGCTCTCCCTTAGAGATAGGGTGAGAAGCTCGGCCATCCGGGAGGGGCTCGGAGTAGAGCCGCTGCTCCTCCACGTGGAGAGGAGCCAGTTGAGGTGGCTCGGGCATCTGTTTAGGATGCCTCCTGGTCGCCTCCCTGGGGAGGTGTTCCGGGCTCGTCCCACCGGAAGAAGGCCCAGAGGAAGACCCAGGACCCGCTGGAGGGACTATGTGTCCCGGCTGGCCTGGGAACGCCTCGGGATCCCCCCGGAGGAGCTGGCTGAAGTGGCCGGGGAGAGGGAAGTCTGGGTTTCCCTCCTCCGGCTGCTGCCCCCGCGACCCGACCCCGGATAAGCGGTGGATAATGAATGAATGAATGAATGAATGAATGGAAAAGTACAGCTGTAGTTTTGTCAGTTAAATATGTCCACTGGATTCAATCAGGTCTTTTATGTGTCTTTAATAACTCCAAGTGTCTGCAATAACTCAAATCTTTGTGGGATATGTCACCCGAGGACTAACATGCAAATGTTGTCTTCATATGAAAAACATGTTGATCTATAACTTTGCCATCATCGGAATGATTGCCATTACCATCAGCCTTTCTCTTATTTTCATCCTGATCTTCTAGCCACCACATAGTCAATGTATCTTTCCATTTTAAACCCTTTTCAAAAACATCTTTGGAGCACTAACAAACAGAATCAATGCTTTTTTCACAGATAGTTGGGGTAACACTGGAAAAAGTATGAAATAAAAAGGAATATCATAACTCATGCTTAACACAGGAATCACACACCTAAACTTAATTTTAGAACTAGATGACGCAACTAGATAAACGCGATTCCACCTAGTACATTCTGTGACTGAGTATGAGCAATGCAATATGTGTTAAAGGGTTAAGCAAGAATGTTCCAAAATTATGATGAAAAACCTTAACCCACATAAATAACTCATGCCAATTAGCAGATTCACAATTAACCAGAATTGACTGTTTTCTCCTAAATCAGAAGCCAGCAGTAATGGGAAATACTTCATTGTTTTTGTAGCTTCAGCATGCCAGGTCACCTTTACATTGTTGTCATGACAATATCTCAAAACTGTTTTAAGTAAACAACTGTGAAAAGCTGGCAATGGTCACTGGTATGTGTGAGTGTAACATCAGACATTTGTTAGCAGTTATTCTTCTGATGGAAAATTAAAATCAACGATCTAAATCAAGTCACAGTATTGAAACTAATGCAATATATCTATTACTTTTACAGCCTCTTGTTTCTAGGCTAATTTACTGCTCACATTGACTTTTTTTTCTAAATAGAAGGAAGAACTGGGTGGAGCTTCAATAAAATACCAGGCTGTGATTGGATAAGGGCTGAGGCGCGCTTGTTCCTTGTCTTCGCCTGCTGCCTGGGAGTTTTAGTGTTCGAGCCGCCGCAGTAACGACGTCCAGACAGCCTCAGTGGACAGACTGCGTTGTTGCACAGCAAACTAACGAACTACAGCGTTTATTCGACGCACCAAAAACAACTGTCATGGAAGGGCAGGCGCGCTTCTTGTTCTGGCTGCAACTTTTCACAGCCTGCCTGGTGTTTGGGGTGAAAGGTAAGTTGTCCCAGTTGACAAAAATATCTGTTTACGATTAAATGACAGCATTTGACACCCTGGCCGTTGGTGTTACGATTAAGTAGGTTTGTATCGCACTACAAAGTGTTCCTATCAGCTTCTTTAAAAAAATAAGAAGCAGCAAACTCCTCATATTCTCAAATCTAGCAGTACCCCTACTGTACATTTTTTTTTGGCCAACTGTGTTTGGTGTGTGATGATTCAGTCACAGCATGGCAAAAGCGGCACCGTCACTTCATCGGAAGTAGCGAAGGGAACTGAAGTGAAGGGGCATACAAGTTTACCCGAACGCTAAAACCGGGTGCAAGATGTAAGAAACATTGAGGAGTGAGATTTTGTTTTTGGTAGTAAAAAAAATTACGTTAAGGTCCATTACAAATGTGAACTAGATCCGTTAATCTGGAGAAGACCTCGTTTTCAGGTTTTGTTGACACACTGCATTTCCCCTAGGCAGTTTTATCCAGCGACCCTGTTTCAAGATTCGCTACAATTCTTTCCCCTCTTCACCTCATGCCTTTGGGGCCTGTCTTTGTTTGCCATTCCATGCATTAAACACTTTTAGGCCATTTGACAAAAGATAAAATGTCCGGGCTGCTTAGCCTTCAGCATGTCACATTAACCATTTATTCTATGATGATTGATTTTCCAACTGGAATTAATGATCCTATTGTAAGTTTTTACCCCATTCCTTTGCTTGGTGATGTGTGTGTGTGTTTTTGTTGTTGTTGTTTTTTGCCTAAGATATTTCGACCCTCATGAACAATATCTCACTATCTATAAGTTAGCTATTATATCATAGATAAAATGAATTAGATTGGTTATTCTCTTGAATCAGTCCATACATTTTGCATTTCCCCTCCGTTTATCGAAGCAACAATATGTGTTATCCATCACTAGTTAGACCTTTCAGTGTAAATGATGACATAACACAAAATGATTCCACTTTATAGGTGAACTACAGAGCCTAAAAAGATCAAGCACGTTCCAGCATGTTTGTTCGTGGAGGCTTGTTGAGGGGACAGTTGAAGAGAATAGGTGTGGTTGTCCTGGCAGTCACGATTAGTCACATTTCCGGAGTCCGAAGTCAACTCCCCACCAGAATGCCGCTCTCAGAGACCTTTCATTCACTTTGCTTTGCTAGGGAGATTGTGGTGGTGGTTTGTGTGTGTGTGTGTGTGTGTGTGGGGGGACTGGACCTGGACCTGATCTGGTTCAATTCAGAAGGTTGCCGCTTGTTTGTGATTCCCTGCTGAGTGAAGCTGGCAATTGTATTCTGTAGTCTTTTCTAAAAGGACCACTCAGGATGGCTCAGTGAACTGGGGCTAAATATAGCAGAGCGCTGGACCACTGATATGGTTTGAGCACATGCATGCTTTTTGTGCATGCAGGGAGGTGCACGTGAACTGTTAACTGTTGAAACTGGTGCATGTTTACTTGTGGGTGAAGGATTTGCAAATATGTGAGCCAGATAATGGTTCTTATCTAGAGCTGAAGTCAAATAACTTAGTGTGTATTTAGAATGATTGGGTGACACATTTTAGCCTCGTCAGTGGAAAATGCTTAAATATATATACAACCACAATTCCAGGCATTGGAAACTCTAATGTAATAAAATGAAATAAAAAAACTAAACAGAACGAACAAGTCAGATAATGACACTCCTCAAATTTGTGGACCTTTTGACCTTGTGTCTAACATTTTGTTGCTCTGTTTAAACTTGTTTGAACCGTCTTAAGATGTGTCAATAATTTTCCTTAAATTGTAAAATACCTCACTTCCAAATTTCCTCATGAACTGGGTATATACAAACAAAATGACGAAATAATAAACATCTGTATAACTTCTATACCAGTTTGTTGTTTTTGTAAAGTGTTTCATTGACAAATGTGACGCATACCATCTGCCTTGCCTTAAGGCTGTTGTCTTCATCAGCAGTGATGGCCTTTTTTTTTTTCTGACTTTCCAAACAAATCCCCCAGGAAAGGAAAGGCTCTTTATATTCATGGTGAGCTTTGAATAGGACTGTAATCAATGTTTCATTGGTGTGTGGAGATTCTTCTCATTTGGGCCACTTTATCTGTGTCTGTCACCCCACTTCCCAATCTGCTGTGTTGAATATTTCACACGCTTAGCCAAGGAGGAATCTGGGAGCAAATGATACACGAGGAGAAACTGGTTTTCCAAGCTCTTTGTTTTTATATGATCGCAGAAGAAACTGGCAAACTGGTGACAGTGCTGGCATATGCTGTTAGGGAAACTATTCAGTTGATGCTGTTGTTGCTGTGTTTCAGTTACAGTTCATCACAGAAAAAGCGTGGTGTTTTGTTTAGTAGTGCGCGACTCCAGTATGTATTTTTAGATTTTTGGAGCGGCACCAGATGGCTGTGCTCTGGAGTAGCAATTGCAGATCAGAGAACGCTCACCTGCAGCTGGAGTCCTGCTGGTCTCGATATAAAAAACCTCAATAACAAATCAGTGCATCAGCCTTCATCCGTCCACTTCCTTTTGTACTTCAGGTTCAGATTCTTTGTCTTTTCAATCATCTGTGGTTTGGGAAAATGAGCACTACAGGGCCTGAATGTACTTCAACACATCCCTAACAGTTTGGATCCTGGGAAAGGAAGGGTTACGTTCGTATGTGACATAACCTTTCCTTGGCTTTCTGGAACACTGAGTCCCCACATTAGCTGCTAGCTCATATGCCTCATTTACTTTTCAGGCCTAGGAGCACAACATACACCCAAATTATATTCTTAACTCTTTTCATAAATGCGTTTGTGGTGTGATGATAGCATGCATGCTATTCCTATCTGAAGCAACAGAGACAAAAATATAAGACATGCCTGCAAAGATCATTATCTTATCTGCACATCAAAATAAAGGAACTTTCTCATCTTTATAGCATTCCTAAATAAGGTGGCATGTGTCCTTGTAAAGGCAAAGACACGTTCTACTTAAAAAGCAGTTGTAAAAACAGATTTATCTTTTTTGTCATATCTTTTTATCTTTTTTTAATATTTTTTGTTGCCCTTACCAAACAGATGATTGTCGATCATATTATGGTCTGGAATTCTTTACACACTTCTTAGACTGTGTAAGTGGATTATATTTGGTAAACCACTCATTTTCTACATATCATCTTTCATAACTTGAAGGGATTTTTGTCTGGTTAAATGTGCAGCAAAAAGTTTTTTTTTGGTCAAGTTTTTAATCCAAGCTAATAACTATTTCTTTATTTGGAGATATGTTGAATAAAATTGAACTAGGCCCAACCCTTAATGTTTTAAATTGTGTCACCCGTCCTCAGCAACTGTCAGCCACCAGTCTCCCAAAAGGAAATGTTTGTAAAAGCCTTTTTTCTAAGTTTCTACAGGAACTGTTTGTATAGTTCTGTGCTACGTTTCACAGTCACTCAAGCCACACTCAAAATACGCGCTGTTGAAGTTACCACAAATAACAAGCCCGCTTGATTTGTGGTAACTTTATCTCACCATTTTGAGCTTTGCACAGACTTTGTGCTTTTCCAGAATCGGACACATCTCTAGTTGGTGCGGTCACTCTAGGAGTGAATCATCACATCACAATTTCAGCCTCATTCTTGGCCCAAGGCATTATGGAAAAGCACAGACTATAACTCATAAGGAGAGAATAAAAACAAAATGCCTTCTGGGAATGGCCTTTCCTGCTTAACACAACACTGCATATCTTCCGAATTTGACGCTGTGGTCGAAACAAAGAGGGGCACCACAGTGGGTGCCTTCAACACTGGTACAGTTCTGTTTTTTGATAGTCTTTCAGTCTTTTTCAGTTCCCTTTGTGCTTCTTAGACAAAAATATTGAAGTTATAGCCTGCAAAGGACTACAGACACGAGTGATTAACTATTACTTAAGGATGTTAAACGTCCTTGATTTAAACATTCAAACATACTACATTTCTACAGAAATGTTCCTAAATGTTTCTCTAAACTGAAACTTGAAACAGGGATCCTTTAAATCGGAAGTAAGGTAATAAATTAGTATGTTTTTTTTTTCTTCTACATCTTCCAGACAGTCCCATCCTTTATCTGATTTTATCCATTAGGGGGTAGTTCAATTTAATGTCTCTTGGAACATAACCTTGACTATTTAATCTCCTAATTTCATTTTCTCAATACAGCCTGGCTGGCTTCCAGCTAAATGACCCCTCAGTCAGGACAGATCACAAGCAATGTTTACAGAGGCAGTTAGATAATCGTGGCTATCTCTCTAGTTTTTCATTTTGTCAACAATTATCAGCAAGATTGCCGGCAAAATATTTTTTAGGTAATTTACTTAGCTTTGACTTTACTTTGCTTTCACTTGGCACTAGTGTTTCCTGAATTGATTCCAATGGCGGAAGGGAGTTTGCACCCCCTCCCAAAGATAAGCATGCTGTAACATTTGGAGAAGGATGTATTGCCAGGGCCAAGCGAGCTGTTTGCTTAAGAATCCCCAGAGACCTCAATGCTCTCAAAGGCCCTGACACTGGATACAGCACTGATAACATTTGGCACTCATAGTTGTTTGAGTGTTTCATGGATAGATGAGCCAGATAGGAAGTTTGCAAAGTGATTAGCTTCTTTTTCTTTCTTCCTTCTCTCCCATTGAATGTTGCGCACATGTACTCAGCATCTCCCTAATTGCTGTGAATAACAGATATGATTCAGATTTTGTACATGAAAGGCTAAAGTTGGAGCTGCCAAATATCCATAAACTATTCCAAGCATTGTGAGGTTATTTAATTTCTTATTCAAAAGTCAGCAGTGATCTGAGCCTAAAATACAAAGGGAAAGGAAACAGAAATCGGTGAAACATCCTTTACTAAAAATAGTATTTAATTTGAATCACTATGAAATGCTGTTTTCAGCTGTTACACCCCAAACTCAACTGAAAACCCCCCAGCTTTTAGAGTAGAAGGTACAGAACAGTTTTTTATGTACTCCCAAGAGAATGTCTTTTTTAACTTTGTTTAAAAGTGGACAGAGTTCCCTTTAAAACGTCCACAACGACATACTGAAGAACATGGTCTGTGCTCCTGTGGTGTTTAAAGCACCAGTTAAACAGTTGGAACCCAACCATACTTTCCTGAAGTGTTCTCTTTACTGATGAGCAAAAAAACAACAACTTTTCTTCTTGTAAGTCAAAACACTTAGGTTATACGTAAAGACTGAGATTTACAGAATTATTTGTATTCGTTGCATTCATTTTTTTATTCTGTGTGATTTAGTCCCACATTAAACAGTTTGTCATGTGGACCTATTTGGAGCATAATAGATAGCTTTCATTTGATTTCCTGTATTCCAAAAAGCAGAGGTCTCATTTTCTCCTCTTTGTTTTGTCCACCCGGCTCAGGCAGACATGATTTCAGTTGTGCCTAGAGAGCTGCCAGATAATCAGGCAGGTTCAAACCGCACAGCACTCGCGTGCTGGTGGAAGCTTCCAGTGTTTGTGTTTACAGCCTAGTGATGGCTTACTCAGCTGTTCAGACCATCATGCTGGGCTTCCAACAGGTGGCCTCCAACATGTTTGTTAATGACTGACTGACACAGCAAGGCAGTGGAAAAAACATACAATAATGGGAGAAGACATAGTTTAATCACTGACTTTGCCAACTTCTGAAAAAGAGTGTTTATGCTAAATGTGTCTGAGTACGGAACACAAAATTGTAAATGTAAACTGCCAGGCATTTGTGAATGTTAAAAGGAAAGTATAAATGTCAAAGCTGGTTTCACACAATGTATATTACCATGATTTTTTATTTTTTTTAGCCCTGCTTTGATTTTTTAGTTATCTGCTTTTGGATTTGAGGATTATTACGGTTTTTGGTGCGGGAGCTAAGTATCTAAGTATTTGTCATTCCATCCTCTGTCTGCAGGTGATCCCTGTGATGTGAATGTGTGCAGTAATGGGGGAACCTGTGTGACTGGGACAGGGGCTCCGTTTATTTGCATCTGCCCCGATGGCTTCACTGGAGAAACCTGCAATGATACAGAAACAGGTAAGATGTCTATTAATCTGGGTTTTTTGTACTTAAGAAAAGGATTATTGGGAATTATTTCATAGTTATGATACTTAGGTTGTGTTTCGAAGCTGCTGTATACAAGGCAACTACTTTTTTTTTGTCTTCTAAAAGGGCCTTGCAACCCCAACCCTTGTAAGAATGATGGTATCTGTGAGGCAAAGGGCAACTCCCGCCGAGGCGATGTCTTCAATGAGTACGTCTGCAAATGCCAGCCAGGCTTTGAGGGAGTTCACTGCCAGATCAGTAAGCACTTTAAAAGTTTCTGTGTTGTATGTGTGGGATCGGGCTTTTCTTTTTCATGATCAGTTCTAATTGGACCTCTTAAAGGAATCTTGATTCAAAACTCTATTGTGCAAATGCAGACATTTACCTGTACAATTAATTTAGAAATGTAGTTGGATGCCTGTTTATTTGTGTGACCCCACACGCTAACGTGACACTGTTTTGGGTGTTGGCCGATAATTGGGCCACTGCTGTCCAAACGGGAGCTTCATTCATGCGTCACTCAGACCAGGTTGGTTGAATCGGTGTCAAGCCAGAGAGAGGCAAGCAATGGTGGGAACATGTGCTGCACTCCTCCAAACGCCTCCAGGCCTGCTCATAGAGACAGATGGCTACTGTTTACATGAAAAGGCAACAGAATAACTGTGGCCAAATGTGCACATGGAAGTAATAAAGAAAGAGTTATATGGGACCTTTCAAAAGAGACAACGTACTTTTTGTGTTTGATTGTTTGTATGCCTTTATATCCCAGGTGTCCAAGGAGCAGATTTATTTTCAAAGAAAGGTAACAATGAAAATGAGACCTGATTCGTTTGTTGTGTTTTGCTCTCTTGTCTCTTTCGCTTCTTGGGATCCAGGTGCTCTATGTTCTTTTAGGCTGCATGCAGAAGCTCAGGAATTCAAGAGCCCCTGCGCACACCCTCACAAACTTTATCTCTGACGACCAGGGGTTGTTTCTGAGTCAAGGCCAGCTACTAAATCTACAACAAGATTGTGTCAGGGTTAGCTGTTCGACCTTTTAATCAGTCTGACAGGTCTCTGCTTAACTAAATTATTTTCTGACCTCCCTTACTCGTCAAAACTTCACTAAACCATACGTATGAGGTCGAGGGCAGATCAGCTGTCTTGGAGCACTCATCTATTTTGATCCAGAGTTTGTTGATGCCACAGACATTTGACTTAGAAAACAACAGCCAAGTTATATTGTTTGTTGGGCTGTTGGGCTGTGATTTGTGGCTTTCGGGGCAAACATAACCATCATTTGGCCATAAAGTTTGCTTTGCTGTCAGAGTGAAAGCCGTGTGCAAAGCAGGTATTTACACTTATTAGATAATGTTTCAAGCATCGTAATAAGGAGAACTAATTCAACTCGCCAACATGTTTGGTCAGAGGGCCTCTGACTTTTCAGGATAATGACAACTTCAGGATAATGACAACTGATGGAGAGCTAAAGTGCTTCCTAAGTTGTGTGAGTCTGAAAGCCAAAATGACTGGCTGTTTAAAAAAACAAAAACAACAAACAAAAAAACGCAAGCACGGAGAGTTGTGTTAAATATAACATTTAGCCAGCGTCCTCACCCTCATGTCAAATGCATGTTGAGACAGACACTTTGGATCATCAGAGATTTTGCATTTTAAGTATTACCAGTGCTTTTTGGGGGAACATTATATGTTGAGGGTGGTTTTAAACAAACAAAACAAAACAAAAAGATTTTTTTTAAAATGGAACCTGGCAAGTAGGCAAGAGCGGACTGGAGCCAAATGTAGAAGAAGCTGTATTTTGCACATATATCGGCACATCCACTGAACTATAAATAGAAACGGTAAAGACGCAAAAGACGGACTTGAACAGAGCGGGGAAATGCATCTGATCTTCAACTGTTGGGAAAATAAGTTAAAAAGCTATTTTCCCATGTCTGTATTATTTCATGGCTGAGTACTGAACTGACATTCCTTCAAACAGATGGAGGCAAAAGGACAGCGTCCTTTCGGTCCGGGGGGGGGGGGCGGCTTAATCATGTGAGCCTGCACATCCCACATGAACAACTGCACATCTCGTGATCTCATAATCTGACTCTTTCTCATAAACATCCGCACATGGTTCATCCCTCGTGCCATTCTAGCCAACAGAAAGTGGTGGTCTCTGCTGAGCGCAGAAAACGTCAGCCCTGCTACTGTGCTACTGTTGCCGGGCGGAAAAGTGAACATGGAGGCGGAACGGTGAATTAAATCTGCCCTCCTGACAATGTCACACACTACTCAGGTCTGACTGCAGCATTTCTAAATGTCCTGTCAGACTGGCCTGAAAGCACTTATGGGTGACAGAAAGGGAGTGTGTTTCGGAGTGTGTGCGGAGACGCAGAAGAAAAAGGGAGATCTCAGGAGATGCTCATTCCAGGGCCAAACGGATAAACAGTACTGCCGAGGGAAAAAATAAACCCCTTTTTTTCTGCTTATAGTCTCCAAATCCCAGTTATTTTTGCTCGTTGGAAATCACCAAATAGTGTGTGTGTGCGAGTGTACCGATCTCTCATTTGTTTCGGGAGAGTTTTCAGCTCTTCCCAGGATGTGGTCATGTGGGAAAAATGGGCTAAGTGCCCCCAAATGAACACAGGCAGGGTGTTGCGGGCTTTGGTGTTTGTGATGTAATGGACTGAACAGAGAAAGACACGCACTCCCTGGTTTACTTTAGTCTGAATTAAATAAGCTGTGTAGATTTATCTGGGCTTCAAAGCTTCTTATCTGGAAACCTGACACAACACAGCTGTCAGGTTTATTATAGAGAAGGGGCACGCTCACAGGTAAACATCAACGTGTAAATAGCACAGGCCAGTCAGCAGAGGAGTCACGATTCCCCACATAAACCTGCTTGGAAATGAAAAGAACAAAAACCAAAAGAGGTGACTTAATGGAAATAAAATTGAATGCAACTTTTGAAATTAATAATCACAAGTCATATAAATCTGACTTTTAAAATGTGGGGAGAAGAGTCCTTGATTTAAAAAAATAAAATAAAATAAAAATAAAAACTAGCCACCACTTTTGTGTAAATGAAATCCTTTATTTGAGTTCTTCCGCAGAGGGAAATCCATCAAATGTTCAGGTCTTCCCTTTTATTTTCTTCCTTAACCACAGGAACATTAACTCATGACTGAACAACTTTATTTCTCTGACTAAGATGTACAGACCCTGCACTCAGAACGCAGGCCGATGAGCACATGCACTGCCATTTGACTTTGATACTGCGTCAGTCAGGTTTCAAACAAGCCATTCCAGAGGTTAAATGACTGTCTTTGATTGTGTACATTTGACTTAAGCAAATCAGTCTCTTAGCTTCTTCGTGCACAACTTTGCTCCTGCCCACATCTGTCATGTAAGTGGATTACAGTCTCGAGCGGACTAGGTTCGCAATCCTCCTGGAGCAGAGACGGCTGCCATATGGCGTACCAGTGGACTGGAGTTTTTCTCAGTCTGTTTTTAATTACCGTACTGGTCAAGCTCCTGGAGGTCATGGGACGTCCATAGGAAAAGTTTAAGTGGCTGGTCCTTTTTCCATTTTAATCAATTTTTTCTTCCCAAGTCTTAAACGAACTGATGTGGATTTCAACTATCCTGTCAAAACATCTGTCAGGCTTCATTGTGATTTTTTAATTTTTTAAAGGGTTTTCTGATGGAATGCAGGCACATCTGCATTTAAAAGCAGCTCGAAACAAAGGATTTTATGGTATTTTGGTGAGAGATCCAGTGGTTAGAGGTGTCATGACATTATCCAGAGATAGTGGCATGATCCTCATTATCCAGAGGTAGTGGCTTTGCTTCACAGCGTAACCATAAAACTCCTATGACAAGTGAAAATGACCGTTTAGACACAGAGCTATTTATAGAAGGAACATGTGGGCAGAGAGATGCAACTCTGAGTTAGTGCTGGTTGGATACATCACTTGTGCGTGTTTTCCTCAGTAAGAGGAACCATTAACGTGAGCAGAATTCTCCCGTTTGATACTCGGTGCTCTGTGCTGGAAGCGGTTGTCCCGCTCTGTTCACCGCAAATTTAGCTGATCCAGAGCTTGGTTAAATCTGATGTTAGCCTCACTGACAGCTCTTGTGGGTGAGGGATGGAAAGGAGTTTATTGTTTTTCCATTCTGCTGATTTGTTTTGCCCTCCCTCACTGTGAATGGCTTTGAATTATTTTGTAGGGGCGCCACCAAGAGGTGGTGAAAAGAATGGCAGGGAAATAGCCACATACAGTGAAACAATCCTTTTCCAAACCATACGGCCAATTTTTCATCAGCACGATGATTATCTTCTAATCCAGCCCTTCCTTTTGATACCAAAAATAACTTCCACTAACCATCTCTCCACAACAGCTCAGGTCCTCTTAGCTTGACTTAACAATAAAGCATGGCATGCTTAACTTTATACTGCACTTAAACCAAGCCTACAGTTAACCCATCCACCATCCTGTCGAGTTACTGACTGATTTATCTCTCTGCAGATGTGAACGATTGCGCCGGCCTGCCATGTCAGAATGGGGGCATTTGCAGAGACTTGAACGGAGATTTCAAATGCCACTGCCCTTCCCCTTATGTGGGCAAACACTGCCAACTTCGTGAGTATGACTTGCTAGCAATAAAAGCAGATTTGTAATAGAAAATATGAGATGATGGTAAGCATAAGTGAAGTGAAAAGATAGAGCTGGGAAGAGGGCCAAATTGTCAGGCTTAATAGGATGAGCGATAGCCAGCAAAATGGTTAGCGAAATGAGTAATCAGTACTTTTATTGTGGTAAAAGGAATTGGTACTTTGCGTCCTTTGTGGATTTATGGCCCACACACCACCACCTTTTTTTCTCCAGGCTGTATTTCCCTGCTCGGCATGGAGGGAGGAGGCATAGCTGAGTCCAAGATTTCAGCCTCATCAGTGCGCTACAGCCTGCTGGGCCTGCAGCGCTGGGGCCCCGAGCTGGCCCGCCTGCACAACAAGGGATTGGTTAACGCCTGGAGCGCAGCTGCCCATGACAAGAATCCCTGGATAGAAGTGAGTTCACTGAAATTGCTGTGGAAAAGTAATAAAAAAAGCTGGATCAGTAACGCTAATCATAAGGTGTTTAAGGCAGGGTTTTTAATAGGACAGAAACTGGAAAAAATAAAATAAAAAAGAGAAACCTTTTACCTTCATGAAATGATTTGCTTTATTTAAGCGGAAAAAAAGAGAGTCTCATTTTTTTGCCCTTTTTCCATTTTACCAGATCAACATGCAAAGAAAAATGCGTTTTACAGGCATAGTGACCCAGGGCGCCAGTCGCATGGGTACATCAGAGTTTATTAAGGCCTTCAAAGTGGCTTCCAGTCTTGACGGAAAGACATACACAATGTACAGGCCGGACGGACTGAGGAAGGACCAGGTTTGGAGATGAAACAAAACTCACTCATGAGTGAACTGAATTAAAACACTTAAGTGTTTTAATTCAGTGTTCAAAGGGGTGTTGGGAAGCTTTGGTAGTCCTGAAAGTTTGCCCCCTTATCCCTCCTTGGCAGGTATTTGTTGGGAACATCGACAATGACGGCACAAAGACCAACCTCTTTGACCCCCCCATCATTGCCCAGAACATCCGCATTATTCCTGTGGTGTGCCGCAAGGCCTGCACCATGCGCATGGAGCTGGTGGGCTGTGAACTCAACGGTAAGCTCACACCAGTAGAGAATCTGCATACCGGGAAGAGATTCCCAACATGTATTTGATGTAATGATTTTCAGCCCTACAATAAGTGACTGGCTGTATTTTGAAAGGAGAAAATATGTCTCAATAACTTTGCACAGATGTTTTCTATCTCTGAGTATTGCATAAAGATATATAAACACATCACGACATTTACTCAAACACATGACGATATTCACTTCAGTTGGATGGCAATAAGTTAGACCTTTTTTTTTTTTTCTTGGTGCACTGAATGTATTGATCCTATTCTAAACATTAGTTCTTGAAAGCCCTTTCTACTCTGCAGCAAATGTCTGTTCATCTGTTTTTTCCTCTCCTCATACGCTAGCGTGCTTCTTTTGAACTCCCTGGCTTTGTTGTGCTGTCAGACGTTCATCTCTCTTGATGCCTGTCGTGTTTTGGTGTTTGTTCTCCTATCACTCCTCTCAGTTCATGCACGATTCATAAGTGTTGGTTCTATTAAACGCTCATTTTCCTTTTTAACCCATTGCATCTGCCACTCTAATATTACCATATTGTCCTTTATGGGTGTTTGTTTGCTGGCTCACGTCATTGGCTGACTGGGGGTGCTTCCTTTCCATCTCCTGTCTATCATGCTTTCTTTCTTTCTCTCTCCTTTTTTTTCCAATTTCTCTTTTTCTCCGGATCTTCCTCTCTGCCCGGTCTTACCTTCACAGTGTATTCAAACACTTTAGGTTGTTCAGAGCCCATGGGCATGAAGTCCCGACTGGTGTCTGACAGCCAGATCACAGCATCCAGCACTTTCCGCACCTGGGGCATCGAAGCCTTCACCTGGCACCCACACTTCGCCCGGCTGGACAAACAGGGCAAGACCAATGCCTGGACCGCAGCCACCAACGACCGCTCAGAATGGCTACAGGTGGGAGAGTCAAGGAGAAAATACATGGTTGCTTTTATCTGCCACTTGCATCTTTGTTTAGCTCTTTGTACCTATTTATATATTTATTTATTTATTTATTTAGGTCGACCTGCTGTCTCCCAAAAGGGTAACAGGAATCGTCACACAGGGGGCAAAAGACTTTGGCTCCATCCACTTTCTCACATCTTTCAAAGTGGCTCACAGTGATGACGGGCAGTCCTGGACTGTGGTGAAGGATGAGGCAACAAACACTGATAAGGTTGGTCCAGTGGTTGTTGGTTGGGCGGGGTTGGGGGGACAAAAGAAATTAATTCATTGGATATGAATCCATAAATACATGATATATGGAAAAGAAATATCAGTTTCAGAGTTCCTCTGTAAAATGTTACATAAAAAAATAGCTTTTTAAAGTCACACATCAATTCCCACCAGTCAGATGAACCATGCTGAATCTAGTGGAACAGCTGGATGAGTCTGTCATCTTATCAAAACCACTTGTAACAATCACTGTCGGATGGTTAGTGTTTTGGCCAGAAACTGAGAGCTTTGAAGCTGCCAAATTGGATTCATCTACTGTAATCGTCCTAAACCAGGAATTCAGCCACTTTGTTCAGCCTGGGTTAGGGTTAGGAAATTGACTCGTCGTTGAATCTACTCATCTAGACACCTGGAAGCAGTTTTAAAAAAGACTAGGATTTTTTTTTTTTTCTGCATACATCTATTCATGGGAGCATCCAGTATATTTTCCAGATGTGAGCAGCATGCAGCCAAATTAGGTCACTTAATATCTTACAGTTCCTCTGATTTAAACCATAAAGAATTTTTGACCCAAGTCCATATTTTATGTTTTTTTATCTTTTCTCTTATCAATTGCAGTACTTTTACATGATTTCACTTAACTTGAGCTTTTTTGTTTTCACTGTTGTGCTTATTTGGTTATTTACGGCACTTAACTTCAATCAATGTTCATTTGGACTTTGCAAGAAAGTATTTATGACGCTATCGAGGAAACCTCCTTGAGGAATACTTTTATGTGTTTGCTTATGAATCAGATAAGCTAAAGAAATGCTACAACAGGTTGCTGCTCTCTGTCCAGATCTTCCTTGGGAACAGCGACAACAACGTTCACAAAAAGAACATTTTCGAGCCGCCGTTCTACAGCCGCTATGTCCGCATCCTGCCATGGGAGTGGCACGAGCGCATCACCCTGCGAATGGAGCTCCTGGGCTGCGATGAGTAGTGCTCCCCTGACCCACACCCTCCTTCCTCCCCTCCCTCCTCTCCCTCCTTCCTCGTCCTGAGCCGCACCTGCACTGCCTGGCTCTCACCTCTGGGGGGCAGCAAACAACAGCACATGTAATCAGATCACCATCACCATCAAAACCCTGGCTGGTCAGAGATGGGAGCTGTCACCCCTCGCCACTATTAGCGGGATCCTCATTTCTTGTTTTGTTTTCTTGTCGTCTGAAGGGATCACTCAAAACTGTGATCTCTTCAGAAAGCAACTGTTAACAAAATAAATCAAAAGTATTGATTCCTTTGTTCCTCTCTTAGAAGTCAGGGGTAACAAGATTGATGCTTTACCAATTGGTGCTGCTTGAACTTGGATCTTAGATCAACTCTACCTACCTAACACTGAACCTCCAAGACCCACAGCTGGTGATGTACATAAGCTCCAGGAAATGGCTTGCACATGACCTTTAATCAAACTCCCCATCTCCCCATTAGACATAGAGTATATAAATAAAATTTTAGAGGAAGCATGGTTGATTAACAAAAGCATCAAAAGCTAATCTCTTTATCAGAAAACTTGAATAATAAATCTACAAAAAAACTAAAGTCTTTCCTTTTACCGCTGATCATTTTCCTGTGATATAAGTTGGAAAATAACAAGCAATTAAAAAAAAAAAAAGAAAAAAAAAATCAAAACTCTTTAATATAGGCCAGTTTGGCACATGTTTAGAGTAAAAAGTGTCCCAAAGTGTGTCTTACAGTGTTATCTTTGCATTTTTTTAACGTGGTTTGGACAGTAAAATTCCCATTTTGTGTTTTCTCTGGTAGCTTTGCTTAGACCGCTTTTAGAATGTTTAACATGCAAGCTACGTGTGGTAATGGAGCGTAATTATTGCATAAATCTACAGTAGCCTGTAAAAGGAGAATGCACATCCTTGAGTGAGTTTTGCAAAAAAACCTGTGTTTGAAAGCGTCTATCCCATCATATGACATCATCTTGTGCCAACGCACCCTCAGGTTTTCACGTTCTTGGGTTTGTTTTGAAAAAAGAACTCCTGAATCCTGCTGAAGAAGCAGAACAAAGGACAAATGTGGTGCCCAATCGGTCGATGAACAGTCTCTATCAGTCAGTTTTGTAGCTAAACGGATACAATCTCAACACCTGAGGAAACACCCCCTCCCCCGCCGACAGGGAGGATGTTAGAAAGGCCAAGGTCAAAAACGATTCAGGATCATCGCCTACAGAGAGGAAAAAAGAGAAAGGGAAGCACTTTATTGCTTTTGATGAAATAATATGAGACTTAGATTTATGAGATCTACAGAAACGAGTCAAAAAAGAAAAACAGGATTTAGGCTTTTGTAATTTGGTAATGGTCTCAGTCATTTGACAGTGTTATTTGCAGCTCACATAAATGTTTTTTTATTTTATTTTATTAAGTGACGTTATTTGGTTATAATTTTGAAATTATATTATATTCTTTCATTCTCAGATTAGCAGACTGTCCATAAAACAGTAGTCACATTCTGTAGTTAATTATTATCCTAGATTTGTGTGAATCATAGCCTAATTAGCACCATCAACAGAGTTATTTAGCTACAAGTTTATGAGCACTGAAGGATGTTATCATCTCGGGTGAAAGTAGATCTGCGTACCACAAATGCTATTGAGCACCTCCCCTCGACTCACTCACTTTGCTATGCTTAGATGTGTTCACCCAGTTTGATTTTTTCTAGCACTTTCTTGTTCGTGTTTTATATTATACTGTTAAAATAAAAGAGAAAATTTTTTGAATGTTTTCATTGCATTGTGCAGGAAAAATAAGAAAAACCAAAACCAACAAAAAAAACAGTCTCTGAGTTTCTTTCCAGTTCAAAGCTTCAGACCTCTGCTAACAAGATGACCAAAACAATAAAAAGAATAGAGAAGTAACCAGATTCATTCAGATTTTTCAGATGGGCTCGTGCAATATTATTATACAGTGTTAGTTTTGATAACCATGAATATTAATTCAAGATCTTTAAAAATGCATGAGGGGACGGCAGCAGTGCCGAGAGGTCGTAGACAGCTGTTGGTGTCAAACACTGTAAAATATTTATTGTTGTCACAGACGGCTCTAGAAGCTGTCGTTTTTGTTACTCTGCATGCATTTTACTGACAAGTGTTGAGTTTGGTTTTTAATGGTGATATTGCGTCACTCTTAGCATTAAGTTTGTAATCCATTTTCTGTTTCCCTGCTTTTCTGTTTTTTATTACTATTAAAATCAAATTGATGACACTGGTGTGCTCATATGGTCCATTTCTTGCTATGCTCACTGTTGACCTCATAGATTTTTGACTGGATTTGGAGGTTTATTTTTTTTCATTTTTTTATATCAGTATTGTGTTTTTAAAAAGATGTTGTTTGCCCTTTGTATCTCCTGATGAAGACTAAATAAAGATTAAAGAAAATAAATGATTTAAAATACAAACTTCGTGAAAATTCCTTGAATTTTTCAGAGTATTCCACATCCACAATGGAAGAGGGTTATATTTCTAATCATGCAGAATTAGATGGAGCTGTTTTCCATTTAAAAGGTGGAAGATTAAATGCCCGAAAGCGCAGAGGGTCGTTTTTGCCTGTTTAGCATTTAAACGCCCCAGGGGCTCAATCTCTCTTTGTGCCATGCAATCTTTTAAGGTATCTTCACCCGAGCGGGGCCTGAATTCTTCCCGTCTCATTACGACGTGTGAAGGTGGTGTTTTCAGTAGAGAAATACTCCTGCTGGGCTCCAGGCTCACAATCTATATGAAAATGCATTCAGACTTTGACGCTGTGAAGGTTAAATCCTGTTAGAGGCGCAGGACCGTTCTGTGCTGCAACCGTCCAAACATAAATCCACCAACAGAATTTGAGATATTCTGTAATATGGTACAGATGGCCACCTGATTACATTGCTTTGTTGTGCTTGTTGAGAAAATGCTGGTTGTTTGTAAGGGAAAAAGGTTAAACTCCACCAGATATCCTCTGTACAGCAGCTGTTTTTGCCTTGGGCCTGAAGGCTGCAGTGTGGAAGACCCTAATGACAGCATTCTTCCCTCCTTTTGTTTCCCCTTTTAATCTGCACTTTAAGTCTCCATTTTTTCTGTTCTCCATTGTTCCTGATGGCCTGAGAAGGGTATGTGGATGGACGTTTGTTCTCGTTTCTTTCAACCCGGCAGTTTAAACATCTCCACCCTCTGGTGAGAATCTCATATTTACACTTTCCCTTATATTATGTGACACTTTTCACTTATTTCTGCAAAATGCTCCTCATGACTCGAGAAGGGAATCAATCCTAGCATTGTGATGGATTTATAATAAATAAATCCCAATCAATTCCATCAATTTCTCCACTGTGAGATCAATAAAGCTCTTATCCAATCTTAATTCACTGAGGATCTCATTTGTCAGCTTTTCAATTCCCAAAATCCATGTCCGTGGTTGATTTTGATGCAAAACGCTAACCCTGTGGCTCTCAACACTTTTTAATGGTCAACAAAACAGTAAATCGTATCAAGATCATGAATGGCTGCCCAGATAATGAGACCAAATGGATCAAATTTTAGAATCCATCCAGCCCTCCTGGACTTGATAGGAAGACACCTGCGGCACACCCAGATCCAGGAAGACCGGCCAGGTTTCCTGACAGATTGGGTCCCCAGAAGACAGGAAAGAGGGGGCAGCGAGGAGCACAACACCAAGCCCGGGACAGCTGCTAGAAAGAGAAATGGGTGTAATGACAAACATAATGTCATATGCATGTGGACAGTGAGGAGAGCCCCCCCAGCAGCTGAAGCTCATAACCACATAGCATTACTCTTGAGTAGGGCTCCAAATTTTGCCATTATGGTGAAGATTATTGTTACGGTTTGTAAGATCAGAAATCATTAAATGTAAGCAGCTCAATTGCTTTTGGTACTTCTTTTCTAAACTACACTTTTTACACACACAGCTATCATGTATTATACTTAATGAAAGAGACCTTTTCATAATTTTTTTTATTAAAAAGATCTTATAACAGCTATATCCTAAATATTAAATTAAGTTTTAACCATAGACGTACAAAGTTGGGACTGCCCCTCTCAATGTTGTAAACCAACAAATTATTGATGAAGCACACGTGTTTGTGATTTCTGTAGTATCAAGTGTTCCAAGCTAAGCCTATAAAACAATAATTTAATGCAGGGCCTTTTCATCTAAAGGGGTACACTGGGTGCATTTTTCTTTTTTTCATTTAACCTGTTTTTATTTCCTTTTGTGGTTGTATGAATTTCATTAAATCTGTCACAGTTGCCTCAGAAAACAGCAGATGTATAATTACCTACCGTCACCCCCCCCCACACACACACACACTTTGTTTGGTTTCCTGGTGCCAGTGGTGACAAATCAGTGGTGACAAATCAGGCCAAAAAGGGCAGGAAACTGGAGGCGCCACATCTGTTTTAAACAGGAAGGATCCGCTCCTGGATAACAACTTCTATCTCAGTACATTCACAGATAACATGTCGTCCGAAGCTATTTCTGCTCAATTGAACGCTTGAAGCTGGTAACTTGGCAGGTGATGACAGTCTTTTCCACAATGATGTAGAAAACACTACTTCTCATTTTTAGATTTGGAATGTTTAGCCAAGTTGAACCCACATTTGCGAAGGTGTAAAAGTAGGAATTGCCGTGTTTGTTTCCAATTACAGTTAATTTAATCTCCTATCTTTTAATCGAGTTAGAAAATATCTCCCTGAGCTCAAAACTTGAAACTCCTGATAATCCTTCATTGAATCTTTCCCCTCTAATCACGTCGGTGAGTCTGTCTCAGACTCATACACATTTTGTTGGTAATCATCCTTTTCTGTGAGAAATCTTTGCTAATGACAGTGTTCTGTTGCTCCCACTGGCACCATCAACTCCAGGTGTCTTCAATCAAATCAAACAGGCCAATTTTTCCTTTTCCTTCTTTTTCTGTTATCACTCTGGGCTCTGCTCACCTCTCTGGCCCTGAATGTTGGTGCCTGTCGCTGAAATTATACCCCTCAGAGGCCTCAGTCACCCAGCAGTTCACAGGGGGCTGCTGGTATTTAGAGCCCGAGGCTAAAGCCTTTCATCTGGGACTTTGGGAAGAGCACCAGTCTGGTCTCTTCAAACAGGATTGGAGATAATGGCTTTAGAGACGAACTGGGTGGGGTAGGGGCTGAGAATGGGGGGGGTGCCGACACTGAGTGCAGAATTTGAAGGAGGTCATTGATGGCTAATGACGCCGTCTCTTGTGGGATTTAATTAGATATTGGAATAAAGCAGCTTTGTTGAGTAACACAAATGCAAGCCCAACAGTCTTTGTGAAGACATTCTGATGACAGCCAAATGCTTGTGGCCATTCTCATAGACAAGAAGCTTGACCTTGGAAAAACTTTGGAACTGCTCCATTGCCAAGCATGTGGCATGGCAGTGTCTGAGTGTCAGTTTTTGTTCTTTGGCTTTCACAGAGAATGTCTTCACTCTTCGTTGAAGCACCTTGAAATTTCGTCGAAGGTTTCTCACTTGACTGAGAACAACTGACTTCTGATATCACCATATTTTGTTTCGGAAATGTCGGATGTGTTACCTACCCACTTCGGGGTGAGGTGAACAAGGAGAGTGATTAGCGGAGCAAAGACCTGGTAAGAAAATATTGGTGCAGCCAAAGGAAGCTGAGGGACATGAATGGTGGCAGAGACATAAAGATACATAGGAGATAGAGGACCCACACCAAATTAAAATGCAGAAAAATATAATCCAATTCACCAAACCAAAAAAATTAACTCATATAACCAAGAACGTGACAATGAGATAAAGAAAACCCACTCTCTTTTGTGATAAAAGAAAAACAGCCTTAGACGAACATCACGTCACACATTAAGCAGTGACCTGATCTATTTAGTAATAACTCAAGAGTGAGTGTGAAAATAAAAGTAAAATAGAATGTGTTAGCAGTATCAGGGGCACCAAACTATTCATTGATGGCTGCTGCCCTGCAGCTTGTAGATGTATTCCCTGCTTTCAACACACCTTATTCAGATTGAATATATCGTTTCAAAATGTTTTTAAGTTCTGCACACAACTGCTAATGATGCATTGATTTATGGATGCAGGGAAACATCTAAAACCATACCTCCTAGTCAATGTTAGGGAGATTTGAAGATCAGTCACCCCACTCATTCAGATTTGATGTCAGATGACTGCTTTAAATCCTCCTTGATATTTTTCATTCAGTTTTTAAAGTATCTTTCCAGTTTTAAATCCAAAACTTTAATTTCTCACCGAATATAAGCAGAATTGATATTGACAGCGCTTGCAGTTGTTTGCTAATGCATGTTTATTATCATAGACTTAACTGATGCAAGCATCAAATAATATCTCGTAAACAGTGCATTATGAACCTGTTGCAATGTTAACATGTGTCACTACTTATCAGTGAGTCTGAATCCAGCCCCAATGAATGTGATTGTGGCTGCCCTGTTGCTGTTACAGCGGAATAAATCTTTAGGATCAGGTTATTTTCTGTGTCAAAGGAAAGAGTATGTTGTGAGAACACAATAAATAAACAAACTGTTGGGTCAGCATGTGTGCCTAACAGGCTTAATTTTCAGCAATTACAGTGATTTACGATTGAACACTGGCTATCTTCCAGGAAAGCTCTTTCCTCCACACCCTCCACCAGGCACCACTGCATTCTGTTCCACGGAGAAAGTGCTGGGCTTCGGTTGCTGTTGTGCTGACTGGGTGTCAATCAGAAAATGAGCTGCAGCAGGGGGCTGACCACAAAGGATGCAGGGCCCTTAAAACTTTTCCTACTCTTCTGTTCACCGAAGCTCCTTTGAAGAGTGGTAAAGATGGCGTGTCAGACAATAGCAGTAGAGCACCTTGGGGTTGAGCCAGTGTCAGGAGGGCAGCAGCCAGCTGCTCTGTGATAGCCAGCCTTCACTCAAATATTTGGGTGGTGGCACAGCAGCAGCCCCAAAGGAGAGGGGGAATTTCCCTTGTCTTCCACCATGCCTGCTATTATTTCAGCTAATGACTGAAATATGAGTTCATGTGCCAATATTTGCTGTGTTACTTGAGGCCATGGAAAAGCAGAGGTGCATATTATGCCCCTTCAGCCTTAGATCACAATGCAGAATCAAACAGCCAATGACAATTGTGCTTAATACTGGATGAGTTCTAAATTTATTATGGCCATTGGTAGGCTATAACTTATTTTGTCACCTCATCACTAAACAAAATTTGACAATTGAACGGTTTAGCATAACTTAGAAGTCGTAGCACTACAGTGTATACAATGCTTACAAGTTGGTAATGTTCTCTTTGTATTTCCAGCCAGCCAGTTCAGAGTGAGGTTATGCAAGGCTGGATCATGCAGAGAAAAAGCAGTAAAGCCCACCTGCATTGTTAACTGCTAATAAGACTTTTCCACTGCTTTTTAAATGGCATTCCACCTTTGGAAACTTGTGACCCCTGTTTTGGAAATTAATGCTTACATGATGTAATGCCAAATTTGAGCAAAAACTGCTTGTTCTGTAGTGAGGACGTATGTAAACATAACAGTTATTGACTATTGTCATGTAACTCTTGCCTCCTTTCAGCATGTAAAGATCATAAGTATGTATTTGACACCACATTTCATAGTGTTAAGATAAGGTCAGGGAAAGGGGTCAACTTGATAGGCCTCACGCCCACAAATTTTACAGAACCATGCAAAATTGCTCCATCTGTGTGCAAGATGGGGTTATGCAGTATTGGTACCGGTAGGTATTTATCTGTCTCCCACGTCTTTCTTTCTATAATTCGGTCTTTTAAATTGCTCAAACTTTTCTGTTCTTGACTTTACACTCCCCTATGTGAAATTTGAAGCTGATGCCAACATACAAGTAAACAGCAAAACTGAAAAAAAAAAAAATCAGGGCTTTACCTTGCTGGAATAATAAATTTATGCTTGTCCCCAGTATATTTAATCTCAGCTCACATTTTTTTAAGCTTATGTCTGGGAACCATAAAGCAAGTGATGGGTGTGTTTCGCAGCATTCAGAAAATAAAGGGTGAATGAAAAGTCTGTGTTTTATTGTTAGTTGTGGCAAAAGCATGTAAGACCTTTACTTGACTCAAATTGTATCCATAACTAGAGAGGTAACCAGTTTTGTTAGCGCCATGGCATTCTGACGCATTTGCCGTTGGATGATGTAAAAAAAAAAACAACACAAAAAAACTCCCCCATCTTCAAAGGGGATGCTTCGGCTCGTGACGTAGTCGCGCGCTCTTCTTGATGGAAGGACTCACCGGACAGGAGGGAGACGGCGAAGGATGAGCAGGAGGTAAACTGAGCTGCAGACACGCTGGACGGACGGATACATATCGGTGAGTCCGCTTTTGACGAGCGCAGATATTTTCCCACACGGACGAACGTTCTTGACACCGCCGACAGAAGGCACAATTTATAAAACAAAAGCCATTTAAATCGGTGGTTTGGTTAACCTGGTAGGAGATGGGCTCAGGTGAGACTAGCTATTGTAACCACTTTATGAGCCAATCAGAGACTAAAAAAACAAAACACACAGTTTCTTTTGACAGTTTCTACTGACATTTGGTAGCTTTGCAGTAAATTGTAAAAGGAAAAACAAGGATATTTGCCAGCTTGCATGTCTTCATCATACCTCTTTTTACTCTACAAGGTACTTAATCGACATGCTCGACCATTTAAGCCAAACTGCTGGTTATGGCTCCTGTTATTTTCCCACATTTTCCCACAATTTATAACAACAACCATTACAAGAGGACTGCAGTCAAAATGTATGTATTTTCTGAACCTTTTAACTTTCACATAAAATATGAAGTTATCTATATTAGGGACTGACTAAAACACAAACGGATACTAGAAACTTTCCATATGTATCTAATCATTATTTTGTTATGGGGTTGACAAATATATGCAGTTTTAACTTAAAGCTTGCGTATTATGCGACTGTTTGGAAGTTGTTGGGAGCTGGAAGGGGGCTCGTTGTTTATGCCTGTCTTTGCCCCATCCGTTGACAGCATTATGGTGAATCTACATCGCCCCCTGCTGGCCGTGTGGGTGTATCTTCTGCTCCCCGGCGGCCAGAGCAGGATCGTCGGCTACAGCAATGGCTTTCACTATCAAGATATCAACAACGGGAACGGAAACGGGGAGAGTAGGTGCTTTGTGAGCCTGAGTGCTCATGAAAAGCTGGGAAAAGCTGGGCAGATTATTGTGTGTTTACTGAGGGGCACAGATGTATTGTATGCATCATTTGTGTACACCATAATACAGCTGGCTGGAAGGGAGCTGGGTGTGGGAAGACAACTGGTCTGTAATTGGTGGATCTAGATCAGCCTGCCAAGGTCACCAAAACAAACCTTTGCAGTGAATGACACTGTTTATTGTTAGATATAATAAGCATGTGTTCAAGATGTGTGTTTTGTTTTTTTAAATTTTCTTTTCCCCTTTCCATTTCTGAGCAAATCCACATTTCTGTGACATATCGGACATGTACATATTGCAGCATTTAGTTTGACTTATTCAACTCACCACATTGACAATGAAGATCTGAGGGCATTATAGAGCATTAAACACTTTTTTTTTTGGGATGAGTGATCAAGCATAACAGTAAGAAATCAGGGGTTTACATCAATACATTTTTAGTCTGCATAAACATAGTCAAGAATATTTTCTATGTAATTTATAAATTCAAGTTTTTTTTTACTCAAGATATTTTTATTGAATTTTACATAACCAAAAAACAGAGCACAGTTATGAGATGTTACAAGGTGGGCTTGTAAAACCCAGTAAAGACAAGTTGTTCATACAAATGTTTGTTGTGTCATACAAAAGAGATATAGACTTCACAAATCAAAAAAGTGGTATGACAACTACAGTAAAACAAGTCAAGTAGTGAAGCACAAAGATATAATACAATAAAACAAAATAACCCCTTCCCCATCACCCCACCCGTCACTGCCAAAACTATATCATCACTCCACAACACTCAGGACCCGCCTAGGTAGAATCAGTGCAGTTGAGCATGTCTGAACTATTAGAGAGCTGGAAATGTTTTTAAGAAAGGACCCCACAAATTTTCAAATGTAACAAGAGACTATAAATTCAAGTTTTTAAAAAATGATTGCCGAAGAGCACCTGCTGTGAAATGACGGTGAGAACTAAATTTACAGTGATACCTGTTAACCAGCACAGATTTAAAGCAGGAATATTTTGGTTTGAATCCGAACATGCCATCCTAATCACTGGTAGATTCTAGTTAGCACATGCCATATTTCTGCTGTGTCTTTTTGTCTTTTTCTAGTATATTTCAATGGGATTCGGCTCCACGTTGAGTCCCCCCAGTCTTCAGTGTCGGCCTCCAGGGGTAGCAGTGTCACCCTTCCCTGTTACTACCGCTACGAGCCTGAATTGAGCACGCCACGCAGGACTCGTGTCAAATGGTCCTGGCTGCCTGCTAGCAGCATCACCACAACCAGTCCCCCTAAAACCTTCGTCAAAGAAACTGAGGTCATGGTCGCCATGGGTGACCGCCATCGCAGCTATGGCAACTTTCAGGGTCGTGTGCGCCTGCGACGCTCAGATCCAGGAGACATGTCTCTTGTGATAAACGAGCTGCAGCCGAATGACACGGGACGGTATCGCTGTGAGGTGATTGATGGCCTGGAAGATGACAGTGTGACAGTGGAGCTGGAGATGAGGGGTGAGATAACACACTTCATGTAAATCTTCAATGTTTGCATTGGATGGTTTATCTTCCCCTTAAGAAGTGCCTCAAAATGCAGTGATACTTTGAGGCTTTTCTACATTAGCTTCATAGCTTGATGAAGTGGCTACATCTGGGTTCCATATCCTGCGTACTTCATGGCTGATTTGTCCAAAAAAAAAAGCAGCTCGGGTGTGGACAAAAGACTTAATATTTTCTGAGACCACAAATATAAAAAAAACGGTTGTGAAAGTTAATCTTCTGTGATCCTGTGCTGTCTTAGGTCAAGACCGACTTGCCAGTTCCACCTTCTTGTTCCACTTTAGTGACCTATGTATACCAACACAGAATCATAATGTTATGTTAAAGTTTTATAAGTTAAAGTTTTAGTATGGGCAGGAATTACCTATGGTAATTCTTGCAGCTGATCCAATGAGGCCTGATTAAACACATTAAGTTATAGAAGGGTTATTCAGCATTGTTATTTGTTCTGGGCAGATTTTCAAACAAACCAGAAAAAAGTCACAAAGGTAAAAAAAGAGTCTGCTTTTTGGCCTCCTGTACACAACATACATTCAAGTCTGTTGTCCAGATGAGCACTAAGATATCTGCATGTCTTAACTACCTCCACCTCTGCAAAGATAGAAATTGTGTTTATTACCCGTCCTCATAAAATCCACAGTCACCCTCTTTCTCTTGTTATTTAAGATAAGGTGATTGTTTCTACACAATGCCACTGATAGGTCGATCCCTTCCCTAAAGCTGACTTCTTGCCAACCACTGACACATCCCACATTTGAAGATCAATGCTAGGATTTCTTTGAACGAGTCTGGACTTTGAGGATCCGAGATAGCTGGATCCCCTTAGGGGCAGCTTACAAAAACTATTTTTAGTAAAAAATACTTCTTTATTGAAGAAGAACAAACTAAAAGGCTGCTCAAAGGCAGGATAAAAATAAAAACACAGAGATTCTCAAAACATGTAAAGTACGACCAAAATTCACTGAATAAAAAGCACAGGAAAGAGTTACAACATAAATTCCCTGCTCAGCAGGAGAAGTGAAAAAGTTTGCCTCAGTACTCTCTGCTGTGCAGACCACTGGTGCAAATTCTTTAGAAAGAGAATGTCAGTCTTAAAAACCAGAACAACACAGAGGCTCAGATAAGCAGACAAGAGATTTTCAATAGCACCAAGCTTACACCAGAGGAATCTGAGTTATCTGGCACTGGGAAGGATAACCTGGCAAGCTTAAATAGCTGAGTGAGATAAGCTTCAGGTGAGTACCTCCGAGGCCACACCTACCTGGATGCCTTTAGGGTCAAGCTACTAAGAGAAAACCCCCCAAAAGTCCCACTTTTACTTCACTAGTACTTTTTGGGGCTCAAATCCTTAATAATACAAGCAACTGTAAAGGCATTAATAGCTATTAGTTCAAATTTCCATACAATAATTCAAGCTGAATTGCATCGAAAGTCCAGTTGAAATTGAATGACAAGGCCAGTTGGGAGTTTGAAAGCTTATCAAAAAGGTTTAAAAGGTGTTCAGTGTTACCAATGCGAAACAATCACAGTCTCTCATGGACATGATAGATAGATAGATAGATAGATAGATAGATAGATAGATAGATAGAT